AGTGTGTTATCAACATTACTCTCACACTAAATCTAAAACACAGCACTGTACCAGCTACTAGGAAGAACATTAACTCTATCCCAGCTGAAACCAGGGCATGTCTATAAGCAATATAAAGCTTTTTCTAGATGATGGAGTAATCAATGAAGATTATCAGAACTACTGAAGAACATATTTCATCAATCACTGTTGATACTAATGTTTCATTGTGGTTTCATTAATGACAGGATGTTAAGGTCCAGTTCTCCTTAGTTACATGTTTGTGTGATACCAGTTTTCTGTAGCTAAACATTCTGAATTTTGTTCTTTCAGGTAATACATTAAATTGTTTAATTAAGGACAGATGTCTTGTGTGCATTTTTGGGTACACTCATAAAATTAAAATTGCATATTGTTATCATAGGTTTTGTCAGCTGATCTTTTGAAAGCTAAATAAGTTTATAATCAGTGAAAACATTTTGACATTTTGCTTTAAAAACATTTTGAAGTACCTTATATTAACATTTAACTTTACTGCACTAATCAGGTCACAAGTAAGTATTTATTAAAAATCCATTATTTTAGCCTTTATTTAATGACTGACTTCTAAGGGTTGTTACTTGTCCAGTTGCTGAGACAGTAATACTATAATTCTAGGGGCATGGAGGATATACTCCCATATAATTAGAAAAGAGAGGAGGTGATTGATCATGTTTTCTTATCTTTTCTGTTAATTCATTTAGTTCTTCTTCGTTTACTCTATTTGTATAACTCTATTTGATATTTTGATCCAATGGGATTAGTGAATAGAGGGACTTTTAACATGAAATTTGAAAGAGCACATAGCTATTTGCTTTTAAGAATTAGATCCTTTTTCTGTCTGTACGAAAAAAATGAGATGTAAAAGAAAAAGGTGAAAAAGCCCACGTAGAAGGAGGTATGGACAGTTTTAAATAATTCATAAAAGGAAAACTAGGGAAAATACGAGCCCTCTCTAGAAGGAAACAGGAGACCTTGGTTACCTGGGACATGGAGAAGGCTGAGGTACTCAGTGACTTTTTTGCCTCAGTCTTCACTGGCATGTGCTCCAGCCACACCACCCAAGATGAAGAGGGCAGAGATGGGGATTGGGAGAATGAAGAACTGCCGGCTGTAGGAGAAGATCAGGTACAAGACCATCTAAGGAGCCTGAAGGTGCACAGGGCCATGGGACCTGATGGGATGCATCTGTGGGTCCTGAGGGAACTGGCGGATGAAGTGGCTAAGCCACTATCCATCATATTTGAGATGTCATGGCAGTCCAGTGAAGTTCCTGCTGACTGGAAAAGGGGAAACATAACCCTCATTTTTAAAAAAAGACCTGGGGAACTACAGGTGAGTCAGTCTCACCTCTGTGCCTGGCAACATCATGGAGATCATGCTTGGAAATTATGCTAGGGCACGTGGCAAATAAGGAAGTGATTGGTGACAGCCAACACAGCTTCACTAAGGGCAAATCATGCCTTACAAATTTGTTTGCCTTCAACGACGGGTTTACAGCGTTGGTGGATAAGGGAAGAGCAACCGATGTCATCTACCTGGACTTGTGCAAAGTATTTGACACTGTCCTGCATGATGTCCTTGTCTCTAAATTGGAGAGACAAAGATTTGATGGGTGGACCACTTGGTGGATAAGGAATAAGTTGCCGCTAATGGCTCGATGTCCAAGTGGAGAGCAGTGACGAGTGGCGTTCGTTAGGGAGCAGTGTTGGGGCTGGTGCTGTTTAACATCTTTGCTGGCGACATGGACAGTGGGATCGAGTGCACCCTCAGCGAGTTCACCGACAGCACCGAGCTGTGTGGATCAGAACTTTCTAGCCATGGGCGAGTTCACTAGGAGCTTCCTAAAGAAAACAGTCGGTAACCAACAAAGGACTTTCTGAGTAGGAAACTAGTCTGCTGACTGTACTTTAGTGATGTTTATTTTATTGAATGTACTGTGAATAAGTAATGAACTATCTCTGTAGCTTTGTGACACCTTATAAAGTTTTCTCTGTAGAACAGGATTGTAAAATGATTTGAGGCATGAACAAAACAGTGTTTGGCTTGCTTTGACAGCTTGCCATTTTCCTATACCTACCCTTGGAATACAGGGATTCAGCTTCCACCCCCTTTACAGAACACCTTATTTTGTGCTTATGCTAATGAAATTGAGGACTCCATACTGTCTCTGTCCTCATACAGTGTGTTAAAGACACTTGATTTCACTGGCAATGTGATTTATTCCTTCCTTCCACCTCCCACTGTCCTGATGCCTTATTTTAGCAATACAGTAGTAAAGTAGTATGTGTTAGTGAGCTTATTTAGCACAGCTTTTTTTTTTTTTTTTTTTTTTTTTTTAATTAATGTACTTCACTGTTTGTATCCTTACTTTCTTCATGACAGTTAGTTAGTTGTAATAGCTGCATGCTTGTTCTTCTGGGGTCATAGCACGTGGCCTGGTTTCAGGGAAATGTTGGCTTCTCCTGCTGGAAAAGTGACTCTTGTCTTCAACAGCTGTTGCCAGAAAAATCCCTTAGGGCATTTATTTCTTCAGACTGCTTTATCTCTCTTATAAATTCAGGAAATGTTGATATTCTGTGTTTTTTATTTGCTTCAGATGATCTATACCACATTGTTTTTAAAGTGTGTATTTTACTTAGCTGCCAAATGCTTTTCATTGCCGGTGCAGTGTAGCAGATGGGTTTGAAGGGTTCAATTAAATGTAATTTGGGCTTCCATTTTTCTTGCAGCATCTTTACATGGCTCCTTAAATCAACATCAACGTTTTTCAGGGCTTTGCAGTAATCCTGTAGTTTGCTCATTTCTAATAATTTCATCATTTATCCGTATAGCATTTAGGAAAAGGTATAGTCTGATTTTACATTTCTTATGTACCATTGTTGATTGGTGGTTTTGAAAAACAGATGTGATGTTTAAAAATGCCATTTATATTGCTATTTAATCCATTATTCTCAGCTTTTAGTAAATGTTGGATTCTTTGAGTGCTTGCAGTTCTTTCATAATTTTCTTTTGCAATTAGATAATTATTACAGGTTAATTATGGGATACAACAAAGCGTTAAACAGTTCTTTTGGGACATGTTTTAGACCTTATCTCCTCCCAAGTTCCTGTTCCTACTGTTTCTTACCAAGTAATATCTTTGAAAAATGTGTAGCCTGTAAGAGTTGGTCCTTAGCTATAATCTGGGCCATCTCAGTAGGCTGTAGGAGTGTCAAGTACAACACACTGCAGTGGATTGTATGTGTTTAATGTGCAGCTGCAGTTCATGAAGTTGGAGGCTTTGGGCTATATTTTCATGATTTCACATCTAAGTTCAGGATTTACCTTTTACAGCATCCTCAGCAAGTGTTTACTGAATATATCGTTTCCTAAAACAAGTTTCTTGCATGATATTGGTTTTGTTGGCAGTCCTTAGATGTGATTACTATTGGTACCTTCTTCACCTGCTTCAGGAACTCTGTGTTATTGTTTGCATATCTTGCCCCCACTCCTCTCTTCTGCATTTTTGCTAGTAAAGTGACAGAATAGATCTTTTCTGTGCTGCTAGTAGGTGTCAGACACATGGGTAGAGGTGAGATGTCTTGCAGATCTGAATTCTAGACTAAGCATTGTAGCACAGAAACATGGCAGTAGCTATCCTTAGTGACCTGCTTTAATTTCTGTGCCAGAGCTTTTTATCTTTCTACACTGCAGTTGTGTTTAGCATAAGCTAATATTTTTTCCTTTGTCTTGTCCATGAGTTGTGATGCAGGCAGATAGTTTGCTGAAGACATTAATTTCATCTGGTTTTAAGAATATCAATATAGCTGCTAACACAGGCAGCTTTGTGATTTGTATTTTCATATGGGCTGGTTTTGATATCTGTGGACTTGTAGTATCACTATTTCATGCCAGGCTTTGAAACAGAGAAGAATTACGGTAATAAATATTGTCTGTATTCTAAGAATTAAGCAGATGCAGTATGTAACTTTTCTTTGATTTGGTTTATGTTCATATTTAGATGTTACTTGACACCTGAGTTAGTAATCAAACATACCAGTGTTAGTATTATATTTTTATTATGAAAAAATGAGAGTCCCTGAGCTCAGTTGTTGATGTATGTTATGTATGCCTTCCTGTGAGCCACTGACCTGTTTTTTCTTCAGTTTACTCCAGATCTTACGGTGCTGTGCTCTAGCCTTAAAAAGTATTGTTGCCTTGGTAAAAAAGTGCAAAAGCATGTTACAGTACTTCAGGGACTGTAATGAATCCAGGAAAGAAAAAAGACTGATTAACTGGATCAGAAAGGTGTGGGTGATATTTTACAAACAGACTGATGGAATCTATTCCCTCTTGACTAGAGAACTGGAGGGTTATTGGTAGTTCTTTCTGAGAAATTATTTCTTTACAAATGCGACTATGGTCTCTAATAATAATCATGCTGATTTATGACTTCTCAAAGTTTGGTGGCAATACTTGTGTAGTCTCAAAAGTAGATGTGAGAGGAAAGTGCTAGCTTATGAAATGCATTATCATCTCAGAGAGAACTGTGTAATGTCAGTAAGATTTTCAGTAGAATGATATTTCATTTCCATTTGCATTTCTGATTACAGTCTCTACAGTTTTACATTACAACTTAGAGAGCTATGTGATTTTTAGTTATAACCTATTGACGGTGTAGTGTGGTCTGCCTTTATTACTCTAACTCTCCAAGCCTCTTTACTGAAGGCATAGCTCAAGTTAGATAACATAGAAGAAAAATGCTTTTCTGTGACAAGAAAAAACTCGGTCATCAGGTGCATTTAGGGCGGGTTTTATTAAGCATTTTAAGTTGGAAAGATCTGTGAGCGCCACTGAAAGATACAATCTACTAGTGCCCTTCTCCTCAGTACTCACTCCCTTCTACTGGCCGAGGTGTTAAATGAGGCCAGGGAATAGATCTGGCTGAAAATGACAGAAAAAAAATAGTTTTAAAGTTATTTGTTATGTTTATTTTTCAGCGATGTGCATATTGTAAGCACCTTGGAGCCACTATCAAATGCTGTGAAGAGAAATGTACCCAGATGTACCATTACCCCTGTGCTGCTGGAGCAGGCACATTTCAGGATTTCAGTAACTTGTCCCTCCTTTGTCCAGACCATATTGATCAGGCTCCTGAAAGATGTAAGTACCCAGTATTCACATGACACAATTAGTAACAGGTTTTATGAAAACTGCTCTGTGGTAGGATCAGCTTAAGAGCACATTTGTTTAGACCTATTTTCCCAGTTCACGTACCCAAGAATTCACATATGTTCAGGTATGAGAAAGATACAAGTTCGTAGTCTTCTATTTTTAAAGACTGACAGTGGGGCACAGCAAAGTTAGTATTTTTCTTTTTTTTTTTTTTAGTGACAGAACATGGAAATGGTTTACTCATAAGGCTGGGCTTCCATGAGGTTTTAGTTCAAACCAATAGGCTTTCTTACTTGCCCTAACTCAAGTTAGAGCAACCATATTGCAAACACTTCAACTAAATAATAGGTTTAGATCTGTTAGGAGCTTTATTTTGTACTTGTTCCAAAGAAGAGTTGATCCTAAAGCTCTCAGTTTTATCTCGAGGAGAATAAAACTGTGTCTTTTGGTTAGGCTTTATTAAGGTTTAAAATGAATGTACTTTTGTTATGAGATTAGTTGAGTATATCAGAAAACCAAATTAAGTGAGTGGTTATGAAGTATATTAATTAAATTTGACTTTCATAAGAATGATCACGTTTTGTATGCGTAAGAACTACTAAAGAATTTCTTGGGTTCATTGAATTGTTCATAATTTTTAATGAAATAATAATTGAAAAAATTAATTCTTTGTAGCAAAGGAAGAAGCAAATTGTGCAGTGTGCGACAGCCCTGGAGACCTCTTAGATCAACTTTTTTGTACTACCTGTGGCCAGCACTACCATGGGATGTGCCTGGACATACAAGTTACACCTTTAAAAAGAGCAGGTTGGCAGTGTCCTGATTGCAAAGTGTGCCAGAACTGCAAGTAAGTGAGACTTAAGGGACACAGAGGAAGGTGGTATGAGATTTATGTTCTGTGATTTTAAAACTTCTATTTTATTAACTGTTCTTTTTTGTGAAAAGTGTAGATTATTCACACAGATATATCTTTTATGATATTATACTAAATAGATGAACAATCCCACGTGTTGGGAACTTTCTTCTAAAAGAGCAGAGCTGGAACATTATACCCCCAGTTATCATTATCTTGGCAGGTTCTGAAGAGCAGCAAAACCTTCTGGCTTTTTCCTCCTTTTATACAGGAGGATTTTTCTCAAACTTACCAAATTAACAAATTGGTTTAATTTAGTGCCTTTACAGTCTGTGAACCTGTGCTTCTACTCAGCTGACATTTCAGCTGTGCATGTACCACATACTGGGGAGGTCCCCTGCACTAGGCCCTCTCTTCTATTTTGTAATATCTTACAGAGGCAGTTAATGAGTCATTATGAAAACAAATACATGGCTTAGTTGAGCAAAGAAAAAAAGTGACATGAATGACCATGATTGAATTGTTACACCAGACAAATACTGAGACAATGAAACATAATTGTTGTGGTAGTATAAGGGTTCACTTAGAAAACTGACGGCTTGTACGCTTATTCCTATATAACTTCATCTGATGAGCACGGCAGGGTTCTTTTGCTTGCTTGTTGTTTTGTTTTTTAAAGGGCTTAATAGAAAAGAAATAAGAATTTTATTCAGCTTTAGTCAGATCAGCTGGTACAGTATGAAGGAAAAAAGCCACCTCACTACTGCCTCATCTACCTGATCAGTCAGTGCTTTGCTGTTTTCCAAGCAGATCACTCAGTATTTGCTAGCATTCTGATTCACTCGCTTTAAAGATTGTTCCCTGATCACACACGGCTGATACCGAATGCCAGCAATGAAGTTATAATAATGAAGCACGTTCTAAGAATGTGCTCAGCTGCCCTCTGAGCTCAAACCACGACAGTATCCTTAAAAGTGTCGTGCTGGATAATTACAGTATTTGCTAACAAACCCTCTCTGTAGTGGAAAAGTAGAAGAAAATGTGATGTTTTCACACCTATTCCTTTATGCAGCATGGCAGTTTTATGCCAGCATTGAAAAATAGCATTTTAAGCATATCTCCATACAAAGAGAGAGTGTTTACTGTTTTTTAAAGTACCGGGTCTCCTAGGTAATGAAGTAGGATCTAGTATGTGCAATGCCATATATTATGAAGCTTTATCAAGGCAAATCTTGTGTCATTTTTATTTATTGAAATAATTTATTTAAACTAGGGCGGAACACAGTGACTTTAAATATTACCAAACTATTTGTCTTATTCTTTGCGAGTTTATTTTATTGCTGAAATTTGTGGTGGAGCTCTGTACCTCCTCACGATTGTAGGAAAATTGAAATCTCTTACTTTAATGTTTGTTTTGCTCTTGCAGTCATATTGGTTGACATTGTAGGAGCTCTGGTAGTCAGAGGTGATGGCTCGTTTTTCTCTTTGGAAAAAATACAGTCAGACTGTTTGTAGGAACAAGTATGGTTGCATGTTCTTTTCAGAAAGAAGTAAAGTACATATTTCAGATTTTGAACTGATTTCAGTACAGAAAGGTCATTAAATCTTCCTACATGTATGTAAATGAAAGTGGGCCCATTTCTAGAAGTCGGAATCCTTGCACGGGATCAGCAGTTGTCAAAGTAAGCGTAGCAGTCTTCATCCATACTAAAATATGAATTTGAGGGCATTATCTCTGGAGCTATTTGTAAGTGGTATTCATATATTTTCATGTGCTCAGCTATGTGTCTTCCTGTTTAGACTTTTCATTAGATAGATTTTTGTTATGGCTTGTTTAAATAGTTTTTTTTTAACCACGTGTTAATTTTCTTAGACATTCTGGGGAAGACAACAAGATGCTGGTGTGCGATACATGCGATAAAGGCTACCATACTTTCTGTCTACAACCGGTTATGGATGCTGTACCAACAAATGGTTGGAAATGTAAAGTAAGTTAAAGGTTTCAGAATAATTCCTTGTCGTTATAGGGGCCCACATTATGCTGTTCTAGGTGTCGAGCGGACTGCTGTCGCTGTGTAACTAACTTGTAATTTCTGAAGGAATCCCGCTCGTATGTAACGATGTGGCTCTGCAGCTGCTGTGTGAGGGTAGCTGTCAGTGGCTGAAGCAGCCTCTGGAGGACAGTACATCAACCCCCATAGGAGAAAGTGGAAGCGTAGGATCCAGATGGAGTGAATAACCTTCACTTAATGACAGCTGCTCTAACTGTTTTAGTAAACTAAAACCTATGCAGTTTACCTATGTAATCTATACTAGAAGACTCCTTATATTCAGCTGTTTCTTGCTTATGAGAATGGAGGTTCTGCAGCTCAGGGGTTCCTTTGCATTTGAGGAGGGCAGGATGAATTTGTTGTTTTATCAGTAATATTGTAAGTGTAAGTAGTAATAAAAATATGATTTCAGCATAACAGGGGAAGTCCCTGTATATGAGATGTATGTAATTTCATAGTCAGTTTGTGGCAGTCATAAGACAACTCCCTTTTATTTATAAAAAGCTTGGTCTCTTAAGAAATACTCCTTTCGAGCCAGGGAGTAGCCCAAGGAAACTCTTCTTGCTGTTGCAAAGGCTCTTCATGGTCTGTTATCAGATCTTGGATAATTTATTAGTGTTACCAAGGACAGAAACTTTATTTAATTTAATTCAAAGCAGGAAAATGTCAGTTAATGGCAGTTCTGTCACATTGTGAAATACCATAATTAACAACTAAATTCTTGTGATCTCTAGAACTGTAGAGTATGTGCTGAGTGTGGCACACGAACAAGTTGTCAGTGGCACCATAATTGTTTGGTATGTGACAGTTGTTACCAACAGCAAGACAACTTATCTTGTCCTTTCTGTGAAAAACTGTGCCTCCAAGACTTCCAGAAAGATATGTTGCATTGTCACATGTGCAAAAGGTAAGAATCCTAATTTTTGTTAAATTGTACTGAAATGTCTAAAGTTTGTGGTGAACTGTATGACACTGATGCGTTTCTGTGAAGGGTGTGGACTGTATTTGATGTACAATGCTATAGTATCTTGTGCAACATCTTGATCCTTCATCTCTAAATACAGTGAACAATAGTAGGAAGTCCTATTTTAATCTTAGCAAATAAGTATTAATTGGCAGTTACCTGAGGTGTATAGAGAAATATGTGCTGCTGCTGCTTCTTACGTTGCATCTGTTTTGTGAGTAAGCAGACTAGAAGAGTCAATGTCCTAACTTTTAAAGACACAGTGTTATGGGGTTTTTTACATTTTCAAGTATGTGTTCTCTGGTTAATTTTATGTGTTTTGCTATGCAGGAATTTAAAAAACAAAACAAAGCAAAATGTGCTCTTTTCAACCTTATAAGTATGTGGGCTGTGTTTCATACTCAATGCTATAGTATCTTGCTGTGCAATGTCTTGGTATTGCTATAAGTGTTGTGGTGTCCCCTTGACTTTAGTGGTAGTTTAAGTCTTCAAATTTAAATTTGTTAACTGCTTGACATAGTGATACATCATGCTTATTTCTCTAAAATTCTTCATAATAAAGCACTGGTTGGCGTTTTTTATTTCCCCATAGGAATGGGAAACTGCTATTTAAAAGTTGATTTTTACTAGGATACTTTATATATTTATTATTAAAGTCATAGTCTAACATTAATAGACTAAATTAATCTCTCTAGGTGGATTCACATAGAATGTGACAGATCTCCAGGTAGTGAATTGGAGTCTCAGTTGAAAGACTACATCTGCACTCTTTGTAAGCAAGAAGGGGATCAGACTCAGTCACATGATGTAATGGACACTTCTGAACTAATTCCTGAACCCGACAGTATAACAGGTAATCAGACATAATCTTTATATTTCCAAAATGCTAACATCAAATACAGGTATCTGCAGCTGTCTCACTAAGTCTTTTGTGAACCAGCCACTCATATTCTGCTCTGTAGAGTTCATCCATTCCTTCTAATAGCAGGAGCTTCTCAAGCATGGGTGGAGCCATCTTCTCAATATGCTTTCTGGCTTCAGGATATCCTGTATTAGGAACTTGGGCAAGTAAGCACCTTAATGGTGGCTCTCAACCTTCCAGCTCCAGCTTTCCAGCCTGTAACTGCAAACTTCTCTGTTTTGTTTTGTTTTGTTTTGTTTTTTGACATGGTACGGTTCATTAATGTATTCGACAGCCTAACTTTATTCAGTTTTGCATAACTACTATGCATAAGCCAGTTTCTGGTAGATGTTCCTGAAAACATCCGTTTTTCCTGTTTCCTTCTTGCTACTTGTCACTCTCATAGTGCCCTTTCTCCTCACTATGTGCAGGTAGGATACAGCAGTGGAAGCTGGACAGTGTTCAAGGGACAGGTATATTTAAACAGCTTTTAATCAGTTGTTGTTTTTCAAAACTATATAATCAGTCATCTTGTTTCTGAGAGATCCTTATCTAAATGGACAAATTAAGTAAAAAGTGAAAAGGGAATTTGCAGAAAAGTGTAAAAGTATTTATTTTAAAATTACTCGGTAACAGTTAGGAAGCACAGAGAGAACTTGGATCTGTTGATCTGAGTCCAGTGGATAATCCACAAGACTTGTGTTGTGAACTCATAACTGAATGCCTTTGCGTTTCACACCATGTGCACTGTTGAATAGCACCTACTCTCATGCTAGCTGAATTTCCTAAGTACAGTTGTAGATATATTTGGAAGCGAGGTAAAATCTAACAGATTAACTGCACTACCACTGCCATGTGCATTTTTGATGCTTAAAGCGAAATGCTTGTGCATTGATCTTTTGTTAAAAGAAATTGCTAGCTCAGTTGTGTAAGTATCTGTGTTTTCGAAAGCCTGATAATTTTTTACTGGAAAGGAGAGGTGTTGGACTGCAACAAAACTCTTTAATTTTTGTGTGTTCAAAGATGTTTTGTGTAAACAAGTCATCCTCTTTGATGTTGGCCTGTATGTGTAAGCTCATCCCTTTTATGAGCAGTAATGAAATGATGAAAAAGGTGATCCTGGAGGAAGGGCAGTGACAGTAGGTAAATGTACGTAAGTGGGCAGAAGAACTGTCAGTGATCCTGTGCACTGGGTTAGAGAAAGTGGTGACTTCAGCCTTTGAAGATCACTTCCATTCTGAAAGGTTAGTAGAGGCTGTTGGACTCTCGGGCACTGTATTTAGAACATTCAGGATGAAGTCCAAGTGATACCCAAGTCTTACGCTGGAAAAATTCCCCATCTTCTACTGAAAACCGTTTTGAATAAGTAACAGGTTTATTTGAAAGGCTGAAGTTTTAAGTAATACTTCTGTTAGGATTTCTAGCTAGTAGAAGCATACTCTTATCCCCAAGGAAGAACAGGACTGTCATCTCAACTACTAGGAGTAATCTGGAGCTATTACAGTCATGCGGTGTTTTATACTCAGGAGAGCATTTTTGTACATTAAAATCAGATTGGGAGCTAATCTAAATGATCATTTCCTCAAAGTTAAAATATCACTTTAAAGTTGATAGAGTCTGAGAGCAGTTTTTATGTGCTAAAAGTAGCATTACCTCATAGTTCCTGGCTTTTTGAACTTTAAAAAGACTTTCTTGAACAGAAAGCTATATTCATTTGACTATTTTTCGTGCTAACATCCGTGGAGGATCAGTTCCTTTTGAGTTAAAACTTACTGTATACTTTGTTTTTTCTGCTCCTACTTTGTCCAGTGCATTTTAATAATTTTCTTAACTGAAAAAGCTTTTACATGAGGGAAAAAATAAGTATTTCCTGTTTCTGTGCTGTATGATACTGTTAACCAAAGAAGTGCTCGCTAGCCCCTTTTCCATGCAGATTCCTTATTTAATAGGTGGAACTCACAGATGAAGGGATCTTAGTTCTAAAGTGGCAAAATTTAGTTTTCATGTTGTTGAACAGCTGTAGATTGAAAATCAATATTCCAAGTGCTGATAGTAGATGGAATCTCATATCTATGCTGTAAATCACTGTAGGATTTGAAGCCTTCATGCTACAAGTCCTGTTTTGTTTAGCAGACTGGAATTTTTTGTATTGCTCAGGTAATGCAAAATTCTGTGACTGTGTACATTTAGTTTTCACAAATAGGTGTATGCAGTTGCTTTACAGACATTTTTCACTGTCTGAAAGGTATAAAAAGCTTCAGTGTTAATGAGAAAAAGGCTCTTAGCCTTTAAGGAGTACTATATAGTTTCCCTAACCTTCTCATTGACCTGATTTGTCCCAACTCCTATCACATTGTTAAACACATTCTCTTTAGCCAAAAGGTCAAATGGTGACAGCAACTACTGATGACAATAGAATAAACATCATACCAATTTCGATAACTTCTTTGCCTCTCCTTAAGCTTGTACAATGGAAATGGAAATGGAAAGTGGTGAAGATGTGACAATTCAGGAACAGCCCATTACTGGTGATGGTCCTGGTCAAGAATCAGCTGTTGGATGTGTCACAGACGGTAAGAAAGTTTTGCAGGCTGAGAAAATGACAGTACAGAAGCCTTTAGCGCACCCACTTCCATTCAGCAAGGTTTGTGGTACTTTATAAATTTAAGAGGAAAAAGTACCTGGAAAGCTGTAGGAGACAAATTGCATCAGTTCTACTTTCTGAACAGTCAAGTGACAGTATTAACTTCTTTGATGAAGAAGTATTTTATTGAAGGCAAAGATTCCTTTGTGTAGGAGAAAGTTGGTTTACTTTTTTTAGTGGGACTGGCTTTCTCCAAAAGCTGGAAATACAGTTAAATGCTTTTGTACACTGGAGGTTTATAGTACAAACTATTATTTGTTGCTACTCAAATACAGTCACTCACACTTTCTCTTCAGGTCTTTTTTGTTTGTAGCTGCAAATAACTGGATTGGATTCATTTCCTCTGGTGTGTTTTGGGGCATGCTGCAGAACTTATTTCCAATTTATGTGCTTTGTGGCTGTAACTCCACAAGTATCCTTGGTTAAGGATGTCATCTTTTCTTTTTTCCCTTTGAAAATAAAAGATAATTTATTTAATAAAGAAATGTACTCATCCAGACAGGGTGTGCTGCAGTAACTGATCATAGTGTTCTGGGAATAAATATAACTTATCAATCACACATGAAGTACCAGCCAAAGAAAAGAACACAAGTAGAATGGTTTCTGGGTCAAGTCCTCTAAATGTGTTAGTGACCAATATCAGTGACAAAGAACTTGCCAGTATGTACCACCCGCTCCCAACTGATGTTGGAGGATGGTTGCTATAAGGGGAAACAAGAAACTTGCATATAAAGCCAAAGCAAAAAAAAAAATCTTGCCGGTTAGCTGTGATCACTGTTACGCATCACAACCTGTGGTATTAGGGCCATGATTTAAAACTATCAGTGAAGGCACATTCATAATAAAATGCTAGGCTTTGAACTGTAGTGGCTGAGGGGGTTGTAGCAGTGTGAATTTAAGAAGAGTGCAAGTGTAATAGACAGTAAGTGGCCTGTAAAAGCATCAGGGTCCATCATGAGAAGCCAAATTCGGAGCAAAGAATGTGGTTCTCCATGGAATGGATACAAGACTGGCTATTCCTTGGTGAAGAATGTTGTGGATGAAAGGTGCTTGATTTGGTTCAAGGGAAGGCTGGACAAATATTTTTGAAAGAAATCCATGAGATATTAGTAAATTAAAAACCAGCACCAGCTGTTTTCATTTCAAGTGATTTCCTAAAGTCTGAAAGAGTGCTAGGAGGGAAGTGTTTTTTATTTGTACTTGTCATGTTGTTCTTAGCTGTCTGCTTTTTGGAAGTGTTGGGACAGTTGCTTAAAATACATTAATTTATGCTAGCCTACATCTTCAATACACAGAAATGAAAAAGCAGAAGCTACTTTTAGCTGCCTACCTGGAAATATGTGTTCACATTCCTCAAAAATTAACCTTGAGTCTACTTTCTTGTGATTTACTCTGTTGTGTTTCCAGTGAAGAAAAATAATGAACTAAAAACATAGACTACTATAAACATATGTACAAAGAAAGGTATTTATGAAGTATCTTTTAAGCTATGTATTAAATTCACTTAAGCAAAGCGATACGTACTTGGTGTACTTGTTGTGTACCAAGTATACTTGTTGACTGGTACACCCGTGTAAGTTTTTCTTCTTTGAACTGAGCCTTTAATATGATTGTACTTAGTTACAGGCATGTCACCAGAAGAAAAGACCACAGAACTGGAAACAGAAGTCTCTGTTGAAGTTAATTCAGCTGAAGTGGAAATGTCTCCTGAAAAGACACCAGCATCTGGTGACAGTCAGACTGAGAAAATGATGGAAGTGATGGAAGGTGTTCAAGCTGTAATACATCAGGAGTTAGACAAAAAAGTGGAAGAGACACAGCTACCACAAGGTAGTGTGGAGGTGTCAGAAGTATCCACAGTAGACTCTCGGTCTCTGTCTTCAGTACCTGAGACCGTAACTGTGACGCCAGAAATAGAGGAGACTGAAAGCAAGGGAGATACTTGTATCCCTGTAGAACAACAACTGGAAATAATAAAAGTGCAGAAAGATGTAGAAAAAGGAGAAACCCATGAAAAGTCAGAAACACCAGCTCTCCTAGAAGTAGAAACTACTTCTGCAAATGAAGGTGTTGCAAATAGTTCACCAGTTGGAGACAAACCCTTAAAATCACCAACTGAGACTTACCCCTCACTTCCCCCATTGGTTAATATAAACAAGACAAACGTGTCTTCCTCGCCAGATGTTTCATTAGACTTGCATTCTGCACGAGATGTACAGCACAGTCAGCCCCCAGCATTGCCTTCTGCTGCTGGAAGTGCTCTCCCAACGACTTATATATCAGTCACTCCAAAAATTGGCATGGGAAAACCAGCCATCACCAAACGCAAGTTTTCTCCTGGAAGACCCAGATCAAGACAGGTAAGCTTGTCAAATATTTTATTATACATTTATGAAGCACACAGTTCAGATTTCAGTATAATGCATTAAATTCACCTATTTTTTAGGACGTAGTATGCATTTATTCTTCTAAGTGAATGTGTAGTTTATTTCTTCTTCATGTTAAATAATTGAGAGATCAAACATCATAAAGGTTCTCTAGTGAGAATGTTTCCTTCAGCTCATGCTTACAGCAAAATAAGAGAAAATTTGTTGTATTTTTAATACACATGCTACAAATGCAGATATATTTAATGCTGTGCCTTTAACCTTATCTCTTAATCATTTTCATATATGCATTTATTTTGCCTAGTACTTTCAAATTGTCTTAACTTTTCTGAAGCTGGCTTTACAGAAAAACCTACAACTTGTTTCTGTCACACTACCAGATACTATCTTGATCGACATTGGTGTTGCAAATAATTGGATGGTTTTGTTACATTAGCAAATACCACGTAAGAACTGTTTGGTACCAGTTGTGATTTGACTAGGATTAAGTTTGATGAGTGAAAAGAATCTTGAAGTCTGTCACCTTCTGCAACATCTTGCTCTCTGAGTTGTGTAGTTGTGCGGATAATAGTTCGTCATTCTGTAGGCTTTATTTTGTGTTTCCAAAATTCTACACAAAAAGTATGTCTGTGTGACAAATTACTGTTTCATTTTTGTTCTCATCACAGTTTATTTTTTGTCTTTGGAACTTCTAGGTTGATGATTTCATGCTTTTCTGAACTTAGTGTTAGAAAAGCTTTTTATATATTGCACATTTCTTTCCATTTTTATGTTACCTAAGGGTTCAAAATTCTTGGTTTCTAAGAAAAGGTATGAGATAGAGTTCTGAAAAGGTTGAAAGTGTATAATAAAGTCAGCAAACATGATATAAGAAATTAATTTTGGAAGGTTTTAGAGTATCTCTGGTGGGTTTTTTTACCCTAATATACAAGGATGTATAAATTATTTTTTTTCTTAATACTCTGTACTGTCTTAAAAACTAAAATTTCTTATCTCAGTTTATTATGCATACTGAAGAGGGGTGGGGTTCTTAAGCAGTCTAAAATGGATACAGGTTTTCTGTTGGGGAAGTTTATTTGTTGTCTTTCCTGTCCCAGTAAGAGCTGTATTTATTTTTCTGTGCAATTTGCGCCCTGCTCTGCATAGGAACCAGCATCATCATACTGGTAATAAAATACGTTAACCACCAGAGAACCCACTGAGGAAAACGTGAGGGCTGACCCCAACTTTAGTTGCCTGTAGCAGAATAGATACGCATCTTAAAAAAAAAAATAAAATAAAAAAATCATCTGTAAAGTAGCAATTTATGTGTTCTGTGAGCACTAGAGTATACACATTAAGCTCTTAAGATGCGGTGTGAGTAATGCAAATAAAACTGAGTTGAATTAAAGTTTATAAGTAAGGTGTAAAACAAAATCCCAGCTGTGATGCTGCATAAATAAAATCTTTTCAATAGTTTGCAAGTTACATTTTAAAATAAAAAGGTATTTAGCAGCTTAGCAGTACCAGTTGTAGAATTGGACAAGTTACTTGTAAAATTCACAATCGGTCTTGTAGCAATACGTTAGAAGTCTGTGAAGGTTTCTTTTGATTTCGATTATCTTTGTCTTGCACTTTAAACACCTATTAAGCTGGAACTTTTGTGAAGCAAATAGCAATTTTCTGGTAAGAAAAGCACATGCATACTTTGTTTTAAGTCACAGTATGCTTTCTTGCTTTCTACAGCTTATTCAGTTTTAGCACAGTTCAGCACGTTGTAGAAATCTGTGAAAAATTGTCTTGAGTAAGGACTGAAAAAAAAAGTGACCATGTGGATACTTGATTAGTGAAAAATATGCACTTTTCCTGACAAGTAATCTCAATTCAGCTTAACTAGTTGGTAGAGGTTTGGGCTTTGGGATCTTTTTCAGACTATTCATTGGTCAGTTTTTACTTTTGTTCATCTGATTCTCCCATGTTGGACATACCTGTAGGTGATGTGTCTTTTGAAAAAAGAGAAACAGCTTGTGTATAATAGATGTTTTCTAAACCAGCTTTATTATTAGGACCTTAGTTCTGCTTCCACTGAAATTAGAAATTCTGTTTATTTTGCTGCAGTTAGGTTTTTCTAGTTCACTGTGCAGTAAGGTTTATTTCATATTTGCAGAAATATGTATATGCTTTAAACAGTGACAAAATTAGTGCTGTAAGTTTGCTGTGTTAACATCCTACCTGGGGCCTTTGCTGAGGGACTGAAACCTGTCAAATGACGATCTGTAGAGTATAAATAACAGATTTAGAAACGTCCACTTATAGGGAGGTGCTTTCCTTCTGAGCAAGATTTAATTGGACAAATCTGCAATAGATGAGGCAGGTGTTTAAATATTTTAGCCTTTGAATTAGACACAGAAATTGGTTTAGGTTTTGTTTAGGTCTTACTATTTTTGCTGTAAACGTTCAGTTTTTTTAAAAAATTGTGGACTTCTCCAAATCAAGAGCTGTGGATAGGAGTGGAAGCCTCTAAATATATTTGATTGTCAAAGAACAAGACCTTGTGTTTTCATCTAACTATGCTTAATTTATGTCATCTTAAAAAGTGCACTTTACATATAGTGATTTTTTTCTTAATGTTTATTCTAGTTCTCAGGAGAAAAAATGCTTAATTTTTCCGATATTTGTGCCAGCAGCCCTATTTATGACTCTATAAGCAACTCATTATGTATGATTTTAGAAACTGATTCACAAATTGGCAAAAGAAGAAGCCTCATAGCTGTAACTTTGATCTTCCTTCCGATGCTCTCTCTTGCCCACCTTCAGTGCTCTCCAGACGCTTACATGTGCCGGGGCCTGCTTTGGTTTCCTGTTACTTGACAATTTGGGGCAGGTTTAAAGGCAAGTAAGCAGGTTTTCACCAGGTATGAAAACAAAGAATTAAGACCTGTTGGCTTTTTGTGTCATACTCTACAGACACTACAAAATGGATGTTTTCTCCAAATTCTGGATTAGGGAGAGCAATCATATTAGTCAGGTTCTGGCAGCTGAGAAAAGTGCTGCTTTCTGCTGATCCATCTTATTTTCCACGCGAAGTGCAGCCTCACCGCTGAAGAAGGGACATAACCTTAATTTAAAAGATTTTAGCATGACACAGTGTTTCAGTGCTTGTCTGTCTGAAGATGATCCCATTGATCCAAAACAAGTAAAAAGTGGGGAAAACAATTCTGGAGGAAAAAACGCTTCTATGAAGCTATAGGTATAGCTGTTCAGAATAAACCAGGTCCTGTGTGGTTCTTCTCTGGGTGTCACTAAAGAGGAATTTTGCCTTCTCAAAAGCAAGTTAATTTTATAGGTCTGAGGTTTGCTTCTCTCTGTTTGAAAAGTAACACATAATGCTACTGTTTTGCTTTATGTCAGGACCTAGATTATGCAATACAAATGTTACCTTGCAGCTGGATGTGTTCTTAGTAATATGTCTTAGAGGGAGGTGAAACAAGAGAGGAAAGTTACACAAATAGGGTTGGGTTATTTTCATGGATTAAAGAGGTTGTGGTTCTTGTACTTAGTGAAGCTAACATTGACTCCACAACTGCTTGCTTCTGTTGCACAGAGGAACTGTCCTTGCAGAACTAGTTGCTTGTCCAGGACTGCACAGGTTTAAAATAGATACATCATAAAGAGTCTGATTACTCTGTGGACCCCAAAGACAAGCCAACACTAGCCAATTTCCACAGATCGCAGTATTCTTCAATTTATCCTAGAAGATTTAAATCATTTAATATGTAGTTTACCTTATTGGAATGTCCCTCTCCTGTTTAAAAAAAAAAAAAAAAAAAAAATTAAAAATCCATTGCAATGGATTTCTGGAACTTTGTAAGAAGAAGAATAGGAAAACAAATTCTATGGATCCTGAGTATATTGCTTCTCAATTTTACAAGACACATGCCTCACTGTAGTCAGGGAAATCCTTATAAATGAATAGTTTCTGATTTGGATTTGTTTTTGTTAAATTTCATGTATTGTGCTGGGCAGTAGGATGAAGGATTGTCCCTTTCTTCAAAATCTATTAATAGAATTGCTAATGAAATATATTTGAATAATTATTCAGTTTTGCTATTAAATACAAAGTTATGCATAATCTGAAGTGATTTTCTGTATTGGATATTAGTAGTTTGAATTTGCAGTAGGCTTTAGCAATGTGTTTGAAACACCACTACATCACTCCTATTTTGAAGGGACTAAAACCCATCTCACAAACCATGAAGACAGTATTCTACTTAAAAAGGCTTCGTGAGTCCCTTCCAGGTCCCTATCAGCATTGCTGTCATCACCACCCCTCTCCCCCCTAGCATTTTTGCAGGCATCTCTACTTTGGTTAGAATCAACAGGAGAAAATCCATCTTCTAAACAAAAGAGGAGCTATGCATAAATCAATATGTAAGTACAGTTATACTGATAAGAATTGGTTTTGCTGGTGCAAGCTTATTCTACTTTGGAGAATGTGTTTTTCCTGTGTCAGCATAAGAACTCCTATCAGTAAGGGACATTTCTGCAAGCAGTGTTTGTTAGGATAGCATATTATCCATACCTTCAGCTAGAGGTAGGCTTTAAATCTGCGTCCAGCCCAATGAGAAGATCCTCTATCTGCCATGCTCAGCATCTCACAGACTTCCCATGGGTTTTGGTCCATGGGGTGTCTCGTTTCTGTTACCCTACTCCATAATGGAACCAAATTGGTTTTTATATATATCTGAAACTTAGTTGTTCTTAGATCAGAAACACTCACTAGTAGCTGCCAGCATGATAAAGTTATTACAGTGATGTCCTGAGAGTTGTGTCTGTACAGGGTCTTCTCCATGGAATATGCAGATTCTCCACCCTTGCCTATAAACTGCAAATTTATGCCAGGAGTGGGACCTGTCTTTGATCTTTTCCATATTTCTTTTTCCTCTAATAGTACTCTTAAATTATCATGTAAGTTTGCTAATGACTAATCTGACATATATCTAGTTTGAAATAAATCTTCACAAGGAAAATGGGTCTTTATTTTATGTGGAGGTATACTTTAAATGGTATTGGGTATATTCTATGTATCTGAACTGAACAAATTTGAATAGTTATTTTTGCTACAGCACTGTGTACTGGAAAACATAATGTAAAGTCAGTAAATGGAGGACATTACAACATATGCAACATTGTAAGACTGGTAGGTAAAGAGTTAAGAATGGTCTATAGAATAATACTGAATAGTAAATAATAAACTACTGTTTTTATTATAACATATGTATTATTTTAGAATGCGTTCCATGGAAAATACTGTGATTAGAGGCATTTAATTTTCATCATGAAGCTATTGGTGATCACTACATATTTCTAGGTGTTGTAAGAGATTTTCTAAAATGACACTGAAAAATGCAAAACACTGTGATGAGTTTGAATTCTTTCTTGGGTATTAGGGCTTTTTTGCTGTCTTCAATTACATGGTACCACTAAGTACGTTGTTGTAGTGGTAGATGTTGGAAAAAAAGATCAGAAAGAGTCTTTCTCAAGGATTAGTTTTTGTTATGGTTTTTATATGTTTTTTTTTAATGAGGGGAGCTATAGTTTGAACTGATTAAATTTTGTTCACAACCCTAAAATTACATTAAATATTAAATTGCAAATCCAGCTTTGTGCATTTGTGATTGCAGTAGATTTCATAAAGCGTTAAGCAGCTAAACACAGTCAGTGGTAATTTAGTGAGATCTCCTGACCCATGCTGACACTGGGTTTCCTTTTGTTATAATTTACTTGCAGCTGTGTTGTTCAATTTCGAGGACTCAAGAATATGATGGAGAATTAGAACTTCCTGTTTCTGTCACAGTACATAATTATTGCCGTGGTTCTGATGTAAATGAACTGAATAGAACTTTCTCTTCAGTGTTGTGTGGTAACAGGCATTAATTAAAAGCCAAAATATAATTAATGCATCTCTTTGATGTAATTAATTTGTTCGTAGTATTGTGGAAATGTGTGTTTTTAATTAAGTTTATCTGACCAAGAATTCAAATGTTTCTGATCTACAATAAAACTTGGATTAAATTTCCAATTTAATTCTTAACAATATGGTTCATAAATCATATACAGTTCATTTTGTTTTGCAAGACCAAATATTTCATATTCAGATTTAATATTCTATTAGCTTTTAATCTTTTGAATATACTGAATCGCTAGAGAAGTGTATCTTCATAAAAGGAAAATAATTTTGTGTGTCCCAAATAAGAGTAGGTGGGTTTAGTTTTTGATTAAGTATTTTCAGCACATCTGAGATCTTGAATTTTGACCTTTAGCCAGCATATTGCCTCCCTTATAAATTGATGTAAAGATTGTTTCTGTGATACGCAGATTTTGAGTTGCTCTTGTATAAGAACAGTTACTATGCATTATGAATTTTAGAAAGATACGGAAACTGTAATTAAAAGTCAGTGAAATTTTTAACTTTATCGTGCTAAAATGGAACATTCTTTGATATTAAATATATGGCTAGCATAGTAAAGGTAGCTTTCCTATTGCCACAAACCTGCTGATTTAGTTGCTAACTAGTGTGACAGTGCTTAGTAAAAACATGAGAATTTGAAGAAGTGTTTCATAAACTGCAGTGCCCTTGATACAACAAAATCAGACTTCAGTCTTGCCACTTCTGCCTGGTGGAAGCTACTGCAGTCTTGAGGAGAGGGATTCACCCAACCACCGATATCTGCAGTGCTAAAGATCTGCCGTGGCCACCTCGAGGTCCCCGTTGGGGTCACTGGAGAGAATTGGGGACACGTAGGGTGGGACTGACCTGACAGCCTCTACCCCGTGCGGTGAGCTGCCCTTTGCGAGCAGCCGTTTCCCTTCCTTGACCATGCCGGGAGCCCAGGGTGGTTCAGCAGAGGTAGAGAGTGATGTGTGTTTCAGAGGAATCACCCCCAGGAAGTGTTTGGGTAGGTGTATCCAGCCTCTGTTTCTGTGGAAGTTTGTTTGCTTTCTTTCCTCCATTTCTGACTCAGTGCAGTTGTGCCCACGTTATGTCATTAACGTTACGCCCTTGTGCTGTGGATGTGACCAGGGACTCCCCTCCACCTCTGCCTTTGCAGGTGCAGAAGGTTGAGCAAAAGCTCAACACTATTCCCTTGTTAGAAGTTGTGGAACCTTTTGATCTGGGGCAGTCTGACTGAAGTCAAGCCCAAAACTGGGATAGCAGAATGTTACTGTGTAAGCTGTTGACTCCAGCATGTTCACCCTAACCCCGAGTGCAAGCCAGCAGTTGCGGGCACCAGCAGTTCAGCTGGAGTGTTCTTTGCAAGCACCTTGGCAGAAGGAAGACAATGATGGGCAGTTGAAAGCACACAGGTAGTCTTCTGGCCACTAAGCACTTTGTAGGTTGTGTGTCTAATTACCACCTTGTGTGGGCAGAATTGTAATGTTTTTATATTTGTGTTACATTGTCCGTATTCCCTTTCCCATGCAGGCATAGCTAAACTCCTAGCAAGCAGATTTATACTGAATACCATCATGTCCATCCACACTGTGGATTGTACCACAACAAAAATGTTGGCATTTTTAAAATGCAACTTTTATGCGTAATTAAGCTTTTAGGTCACTGCCAAGCTTTTTCTTTTGGATCCATTGTGCTAGTTTGAATGCTGAGCTATCTGAGCAGCCATAGGTGACTGCCTACCCAGCTCTGCAAGCAGAAGGCATCCAGTGAGCTTTTCCTCATGTGCTTGAGGGTAAGTGAGATGTTGGCTCATACTCACCTCCATCAGCAGAGAGAGCTAACCTGACTGTGTCTTACACAGATTAGGGAGGTCTTGCCCATGAACCTTCTGGCCCGAAATCAGTTGCAGGGCAGTTTCAGTCAGCACAGCTGTGAGCAAAATACCTATTTACAGTCTGAGATGAATATATGTTTTGATGAGTTGTTGATTCAGAGAAACTGTTTCCCACACATTCTTGATGGAGAATATTTAATTTCAGAGAAAAGAACAAAACAAAACACAAACCACATTTTGCAAAGCTATCTAATTTTTCTTCATGCTTATTATTGTATAGACCAGTATTCAAAGGTGTAAATGTGTTTGGGCTTGCCCATGTGAGCCGTTATGCATGTGTGAATAGTTGGGACTATTAGTATGCATGAGGTTATTCCTCTGTGTATCATCCATGCGGTTCTACTGTTGAACATCATTCTCAAGAAGGTAAACCTATGCTTTTCATCTGCTTTACTTTTCACCTTGGTATTCATTATTTCTTAATCTCACAAACTTAGAATTAGGAAAATGTATTATACTTTAACTATTCTAATGTGTAAATGTAGAATGAAGTTATTTGATGGCTGTCTCCTGCAGGCTTTACTCAGAGTTTGAGAAAGTCTTCCACAGATTTTCATGTGTATGAGGAACTTAGGCAGCTTTTTTTTCATGTCCTTCTTAGCATCTTCTGCTTATTTTGCCATATTTCTTGTGACAGTTATACAGTATCTCACCATGATGTGAACTAGATAAATAGGGACAATAATAATTTAGTTAAACAGAGTTTGTAGGTGCACCATATGGATGTATATTATTACATGTTTATAATAACATATTAAAATTCAATACCACAGCATAACATGAAAACACCAGGGTGAAAAAAAAATTAGTGGTGGTGGTTTATAATGCTTTATCTGTGGCAAATTTGCAGGAAAGAGATACTTTGTTAATTAACATGGCTGTTTTTCTTTTCTATTCCAATGGTTTATTTATATTGCTTTTGTTTGACATGCTTCTCAAACTAGTTGTTGCTGTGATTGTCAGTAGTTTAGACTCAAAAGTCGACTAAGGCCATCTGTTCTTTCAAAATGTGATTTGAAGTGTAAAAGGGAATGTTATCATCTCAAACTACTGTCTTCTTCATTTGATGCAATAAAATTTAGGGATATAATTTGTTGCTATGATTGTTTGCTTTCAGTTTGTAATATGCTTTGTTTATAAAGCTCATTTTGTTGTACTTAACCATCAGTTGGAGGTTAATATTTGTTTCAGTGTATGTTTTAATGAGAACCTAAACATTTCCCACCTTCCTCTCACTTGGTGAACTAATTGACTACTTAAGTTAACGTAGAAATGCCTATGCCTGCATGTGCTTTGCTTTTCAGATTTTTTTTGTTGCTTGCTTTTTTCTTTTTCTTTTTTTTTTCTTTTTTTTCTCTTTTTTTTTTTTTTTTTTTTTTTTTTTATGTTGCGAAGTTTTATACATCTATTTTCTCACCTACCGTATCCTAGGGGGCTTGGAGTACCAATAATACAGTCAGCCCACCTTCCTGGTCCCCAGACATTTCAGAAGGTCGGGACATTTTTAAATCCAGACAGCTTCCTGGCAGTGCCATTTGGAGCATCAAAGTGGTAAATAATTTGAATTTATTTTCATGTATCCATTGCTATCTTTCTGCTGTAGAGACTAGTGATGAAATTCTGTATCTCACAACCGAATTAATCTTCCATTCTATTACTGTTAAAGGCCTTTAAAAATTATTGAAACTTTGGAGCTTTCAGGTTAAAAAAATATGTGCTTTCCAGACTGGGCAGTATGATGGCATTGCCCTGATTTTCAGTGGCAGAGAATAGCTTGTATTATCAATTTTTTGTGTCTCTCGAGTGCTTCACTTTTTGTGGTTGGCTTTACGTAGCTGTCAAAATGAATTACTTGAGAAGGAGAATGTCCTTAAGACTGGCAGTAAGGTAAGCCAGGCACGGAAAGGAGCAGAGATCTGAAGGGTGGCTTGAATTTGTTGCTGTGGAGAAATCCTGTAGAGTGGATTCAAAGTGACATCATTTTTAGCTTATGGGGGAATAAATAACAACTTTCCTACCTGATTAGATGGACCAAAGGTTGTATCCACAGTGACATTTACCATTAAAAACACCTGAAGAAACTATCTTTTTTAAATAAAGTCAAAAAAGCTAAATGATGAAACTGGCAAATAGCTATAGCTTCCCAATGATTTATTTTCATCTCACTTTAACTGTCATGCTAATTTTATGTTAATTTGACATTAGCCTAGCTTTTGCTGCTTTGAGCATTAATTTTCAGCTTAATATTCAGCATTAACATTGATACAAGTATGTGCTTATTTCCTGTTACTAGTTGTGTGAAAATAACAATACTGATACCTGGTCTGAAACAGATAAAATAAGAAACATGCCAGAAGAGTTTACATCTTAAAAAACTGACACTTGTATGTCCTGTGTGTGCATATGTATTAACTCCATATATATGTAAGAACAGCATTTTTTGTTTCACCTTAGTACATATAAGCACTTCAGCCATCAGTAGCATCCTTCCTTTCACTTCCTAAAATAGCATTGCGTTACATTACATCGTTGTATAAGAGTAAGTCAACTTAATTTCTCTTTCCATTATTAGATGATGTTAATAAGATCTTAACATTGGGATGCTTGAATTCTCCCTTTAATTGCGACTATAAACTTCTATATCTTTAAAACAGAGGTTGACATATTTGAAAAATACTGCTGGCAATATTGAGCCCATAGTGCTGTTTTCCATCCAGGGAACTCCTGTCTCTGTCAGTAGAGGCTGTTCATGTCTGGTGACAGCATCCCCAAGGAGCTTTGTGGTTCCGTCAATGTTGTTTTATTGAGTAAATGTTTTGTCTTGGTATTAAAAGTAGTTTCCAGCAAACATTGGGATACAGACACCGTGTCTAGATACTTTCTGGATGGAGTTGGCCTGTATTAGGAGCCGAGATTATTCGCAGATTTGAAATGCAATAATCTCATTTTTTTTCATAGTAGGAAAGGTGCTTATTTGAGTATATACCATAATTATCGTCAGTTATACAGATCAGAGGCTCTGAAGCATGTTGTAAAGATGTCTGATATACCAGCCAGAACTCGGGGACATTGTGAATATGTTCTCTTTCCTCTCTGGAAGTGATTAGGGAGAATTATTGATCCTTTTTGTGTTCAGTTAATTTTGAAATAAATAAAAAAAAAAAATCAAAGTCACAGTATTAATATCAGGTAATTATTATTAAAAACATGCTTGCTTTTCCACAGTTAATTGTAGTTGAACATACTGTGAATACTTCAGAGCACACAACACTGCAACTGTGCATCTGCATCTAAAATAAGGGGGAAAAAGAAGCTGTCTAAAAATAAGTGGATATTTTGTAAGAAAAATGTCATGTTATGGGAAATGTTGATCTGAGTGTAATTGATATAATTAATATAAAAAGTTCTCTCTGTATCTGCTGAATTAAGAGAGTTTCATGGAGCCAGCCTCCTCTTTCACTTTGGATTAGGTCCTAATAAATTCCAATTTTTGCTTGATTATTCATAGTGTAAGAAAAGCATCTATGATTGCAAGTAATCAAGTGTCCAGACCCTGTCCAGAAGTCCCATGACTGTCTGAGCTGACTGTTTAAAAACAAAAGAAAAATGAATCATAGAATAGAGGATATTTATTTTGGATATGTTACAAGTGTGGGGAAAAAAAATACATTTCCACATTTCCCGTTATTCCTGAGCAGAAAATAAAGTTTTCTGGTTTTGGCTGCTTTCTCACTGGTGGTAAAGGTGATCATATTATGTCATGTAAGTAGCTAAAGGTATTTCACAATGATTTATGCAGTAACTTAATGACTGTGGCCTAGTGTGCTCATATTCACTGGAAATCATAGGGTGTTTTTTTACTTATGTTTTTCCCTAAATGTGTTGAACAAGTTTGAATCCCATATAACAAAAAAACCCTTCAGGTTGCACTTCAATTGTTATCTTATATTGAATAGGGCCGTGGATCAGGATTCCCGGGGAAGCGGAGGCCTCGTGGTGCAGGTCTTTCAGGAAGAGGTGGCAGAGGTAGATCAAAACTGAAAAATGGAGTTGGGACTGTAGTCATTCCAGGGGTAAGGACATTTATTTTTAAGTTATATTGTAGTCTGATAATATAACATAATTTGATTCAGCTATAATCCTTGTATTAAAATACTGTTTAAAACCAAAGAGCGCTAAAAAGCAGAGGTATTTGATAAATCCTGGCTATTATTGCATGTTTATGATGAAGAACTACAGCACTGTAGCTTAATGGAAGTAGTTTTGTGCTGCTCTTGCCACTTAAAGGGACAACTGTTTTGGGGGAGTCTGAGAGTACTTCCATTTTCTCGGGTAGAAAACATGCTGGGTACAGGGGGCACTCACTGGAGCAGAAGAAGGGAGAGCAAGGCTTGTGCATAAGAATGTAACCGCAGCCGTAGCGGATCAGACCAGGGGATCTTCTTCCCAAGGGACCAAAACAGTGCTGGGGGAAGAGTACAAAAACCCAAAGAGGCCTGGGGAAGAATGCACTTCAGTTCGTGGCTTGGGGACTTGCTGAACAGGAGGTGGTATTTTTGTCTTGGGCAGCCTGTGTTGGAGTTCTCTTTCATGAATTTGTCTACTCAGTTTTATAAAAACTTCTGGAAACCATGTTAACCTTTTTTAGTTCTACAGCTCATCAGCCTTTGTTCTAAATTGCTGCCTGCTGGTTTCATTGCCTGCTCCTTAGTGCTCTTACAGAAGGTGCAGTAAAGAGTTGTTTTCTATTCGCCTCCTCCATCCATGCCACTCAGTTTCTAGAGATGTCTATCATTTCTCCTCCTTTTCCTTCCACTCTTTCCATGCTAGTCTGGGGAATCCTCATATTTTGAGTCGTTCCTTATATGGAAGCTATTCCATACTTTTTATCATCCTTCTAAGTTGTTTTGTCATGTTCATTTTTTTACTTTGTGGACTTCCATCTGCCTTTTTATAGCCCAACACTCAGCTTTGTAAAGTTCTTGTGTAGTTCTTCACAGTTGTCTTCTGTTTTTTATTACTCTGAATATCTTAGTATTACTGACAGGCTTTGTCACCTTGCTCCTTCCTTGAATTTTCAGATTGCAAGCCAAGTGTGTTGAACACCATGGCCTGTCAGCAGACATCCTCTATCAGATTTCCACTAGTGCTGTTCTCCCACATAGAAAACTGATAATTTATTCTACTCTTTATTTTGTGTTTTGTGTCAATATAGGGACCATTCCTCTAACTCCATGTCAGTTTACCTTTTTCTAAGGAACACTGGTGAAGGACTTGGCCAAAGGAATTTGGTAACAAAGTTAGTTATGTCAGTCAGATTTCCCTATCTCCAGGCTTGCTGACTCCTTTGGAGAACTCTGATAGACCCTAATTTACCATAATTAAAGCTTCCTTGACTCTTTAACAAAACATATATCAGTGTGGCTGCAAGTTCTTTGTTGTGAACAAATTCAGATATTCTGTAGGATGGTACACAGCTTTCCCCCAGAAACGTTTGAGAAAATGGTAGTTATGTTTTCCATCTCCCATTCCTACAGCATTGAAGTGATTCTAAGCAAGTCATTGCTCACTGCAGTTGATAGTTAAGCTATTTCATACCTGAAGTCATTTTAAAACTATTAAATCTTACACAGTTCTGGTCTGCTCCTCATAAGAAGAGGGATTTTAGTATGAGAAACTGTTGGAAATCTGGACTGAAAAACATTCATATTTCTTTTTTCCCTGCTATGGACTTGGCTTTTTTTGAACATTCCTTTTAAAGTTTGATTATCAATCAGCCCTGCAGATTTTGAGAAGCATCCTGTTCTCATGTTCACAGAACAACCTACTAATTTTTATGTCTTTATGAAGTAATTCCTCAGACTCTCTTTAGAGCTGTTTTTCTTTGTTGTTGCATACAATTTGTTTGAGTTTATACGTCACTGTGACACTTTTTGTTACCTATATAATAATTTCCTGGAATACCGTGGTATTTGTGGTCTGGGAAAGGGGCAAACATCTCTACGATTGTTCCCTTCTAAAGGTTTGGATAGTCGAGATTCATAGCAGCTATATGATTTTGAACATACAGGATGAGTTCCACTGAGGCTATTTATAGGTACCTTGTTGAATTGGAGGCATTCACATAATTATTTAGTCATCAGTACAGGAAAGACATGGGCCTGTTGGAGCAGGTCTAGAGGAGGCCACAAAGGTGATCAGGGGGCTGGAGCAGCTCCCCTGGGAGGCCAGGCTGAGAGAGTTAGGGGTGTTCAGCCTGGAGAAGAGAAGGCTCCGGGGAGACCTTTGAGCGGCCTCCCAGTGCTTAAAGGGGGGACAGGAAAGGTGGGGAGGGACTCTTTGAGAGGGGATGTGGGGATAGGACAAGGCGTAATGATTTTAAACTGAGAGTAGATTTAGATTAGATAGAAGGAAGACATTCTATACAGTGAGGGTGGTGAGGCACTGGAACAGGTTGCTCAGAGAGATGGTAGATGCCCCCTCCTTGGAAGCTCTCAGGGTCAGCTTGGACAGGGCTCTGAGCTGCCTGATCTTGTTGAAGACGTCCCTGCTTATTGCAGGGGGGTTGGACTAGATGACCTTTGAGGGTCCCTTCCAACTCAAACCATTCTGTGATCATAAAGCACAGATTTGTACTTTAAAGGAAGCTGGGTTTTATAGAACACACTCTTAAAAAATTTTGTAACTGAACAGAGGATACTGAGTTAAATAAATTGCTGTAAATACAAAAGGAACATAATTTCCCACAATTTCCTATAGAAATTTGATCCTTTGATTCATCAAGTAAATGGCAGCTTCAGAGCTCTAGAGCAGAGATGTGGTTGTCTTGTGATAGAGTAGATGAAGGCAGCAATACCAAGAGACCAGCTTTTTGCCAGATAAGTGTTTGAAATGGGAGTATTTTCAGCCCCTTTGCACAAACTGATTCTTAATCAGAATGGGATCATGACCTGTGGACAACTACACAAATTTGGAAATGTCTAAGTGTATCTTGACAATAGGGAGGAAGGTGGCTACAGGTTAACTCAAGCTGGGTCACGTCTGGCTTTAAGCAAGCATCAGTCCTTCAAATTCTGCTCTTTTGTATGTGCAAGCAATTCCAGGAACTATGTGGAACCAGTGGAAATGCATCCAAGGGAAAGGCTTGCCCTGAAAGTATCAAGAGGCCTTTCAGGAGGTTTTTGGTTAATTAGTTAGTTACACCTGCAGTGCTCTCAACCATTCAGTAATTAAAACACATTAACAATATATCCCCTTTTTAGCTGATTCTCAGTAAATGCTGATTTTCAGCAACCGTGTATCAGAAAGATTCCTGTAGCTGTTGTAATGATATTTACATTTGTCTGTAGATATTTGGATTTGTAAACTATTTAAATTATTATTTAAACAAAACTATTGGTGTAAGACTTAAACTGTATTTTAAATAATCCACACTTATAAAATTAGAACAGCTGGTAAAACAAAGTTCTATTTCTCTATCAGGCATTTGTTCTTTTATATAGAACTGTGTGCTCTTATCATCCAAACTTCCACAGCCACTGCTGGTTCAGAGAGTAAATAGCTAGGCCTGATAATTTAAATTCATGGATAGCAAATTCTGTGTAGCAATATTTGCATGAAAGTCAGAACACAGTTGAAACCTTTTTTTCTTGTTTTTCTTCCTGAGAAGCTATATGTACATTTATACACTGAATCGATAAAGGGCAGGTCAGAGTAACAATCACTTGATCAAAAGGAGAACAGATGTCTACAGTAAGAATTTACGGATTGAGATCAAAACAGCTGTTTCAAGTTCAATGCAAGTTTTTGTGGGTAAGATAGATAAGAGTCCTAAAGAAACTGCTTACGGAGAGTATCTTAACTCTTGTAAGTTTAGAATTCTTGCCTGTTCTTCTAACATACTTGGAACATTAGCTGAACCACATTTTAGGCAACATGTGACAAATTTAGATTTCTGCAATTGCTCTTTGCATTAATACTCAGAAGTATATTGCTGCAGTTAACTTTTTCATTAGGAGAACTATAGTGCTTATATGTAGGGAACAGAGCAGACTGGTCCCAATATGACAATTTCTGCATGGTGATATTTTTTTCTTGGACTAAGTCTTTCTTTCCATTTCCATTTTGAAGTTCAATGGGGTAATGTGTAAAGGAGGATGAAGGGGAGGAAGAGACTATGTCTGTAAAACTGAAATAGTGATGATGCTTGTACCAGTGTGACAATGTGAATTAATATAGTAATTTCTGATTAAGGTAGCTTTTCTTGAAAGTTCGTACTGTATGAATAAATATTTGCAAAGCTCATATTCTCTGGTACTATAAAAAATTAGCATATTTATAGAGTAAGTTTCATCTTGTCTCAGAAAATGTGGTATACTTGCTACTTACGTTTTGTGTTTTTTTTAATAGGCCACAACTATGGATATTTCAGCTAACAAAGATGAGGAAGAAAACTCGATGCATAATACAGTTGTCCTCTTCTCTAACAGTGACAAGTTCACTCTCCATCAGGTTAGGATAATAGTTACTGTATTTTCATTTTGGTTTTCTGCTTTCAATTAGAAAAAAGTAAATTAATATCCTTGTTAGGAATTAAATTACACAGCAAACTAGTTGGATTTTACAATTACATTTTTTCAGAATTCATTGTCTGGCATGTGTTGAAAGTCTGCTATCCTCTATCATTTCAGGATATGTGCGTAGTTTGTGGGAGTTTTGGCCAAGGTGCTGAGGGCAGGTTGCTTGCCTGTTCTCAATGTGGTCAGTGTTACCATCCATACTGTGTCAGTATTAAGGTGAGTGCTTTTGTTACATAAAAAAATGACTTGATTACACAGTTTTCATATTGTACTTTAATAGCACTGTGCTGCCTTTGGTTTTGTGGTAATTAGGGGAGTCATTAACTTGTTAGATATTCATCAGCTAATGTGACCATTATTTGTATGCGACTTGTGAAAGACTTTAATTAAATGTCATTTTATAGTATGCATCGCCTCAAAAGAAATTAACCTTTATGTAATTTTGCAACCATAAATAGCACTGATTATCCAGCAGTTGGTTAAAATAACAGTTTGAGATATAAGCTTAAAATCTAAATACAAGCAGAATTAAAAGTAAAGAAAAAAAATGTACTGCATCTTCATTTACTAGGGGCATAAGGTTTAGTTGATTCAATTTGTCTGTTGGCTGTCAGAATTGACAGCAGTTGGAGTGGTTAATTAATACATTTTACATTCATTAGTCTAGGAGAGAATGTGTGAAAATTAAATTTGAATGGTATGAGATGACTTAGCAAGCACATAATAAGCTATTTACTGCAATATATACACTATACATTCTTCATTGTTTATTTTGTAAGTATATCTATGTAGAAGTGGGGTTTTTTTAAACATGTCACAAAACTGTATTTTAAATGCACTTTACGAAATACCATATGCATATTTCATGCAACTAGAATTTGGCTTTGTGTTTATATACTACTCGTGCATTACATATTAATTACAATAAATTAGTTGTTTGCTTCAGATGACTAAAATCCCAATACTGGTTATGACAGATAATTTAGGAAAGATGCAGGATTTGTAGTGACCTGAATCTTGGCTTTACTACACAGCTGAAAAAAAGCAGCCGTGTATTCTCCTTCATCCCTACAGGACCAGCTACTCCTGTAAGGAGTAAACTGTTCCACATGTAGATCCAATGCAGTATATGTTCTCTGGTATGTTAGTTTATCTGAAGAAATTATATTCTGGAATAGTATCAGATTCTTTCTGATTTTTATTAATTACATTTTCTTTCTGTTTAATCCATTCTCATTTTTTGAAGCTTCAGAAATTCTACTTGATAAACAGCTACTTGTGATGTGGGCAGTGTGCACAGAAGAGCATCCCCGTGCTCCCCTAGCCAGGCCTTAATTTATACAAGGATTGCACTGCATAGAGCAGTTTTCAGATAATTTTCACCTTGCCATTTGCAGATTACTAAAGTGGTGCTTAGCAAAGGTTGGAGGTGCCTGGAGTGCACGGTGTGTGAAGCCTGTGGGAAAGCCACAGATCCTGGAAGACTGCTCCTCTGTGATGACTGCGACATCAGCTACCACACATACTGCTTAGATCCACCCCTGCAGACAGTTCCAAAGGGAGGCTGGAAGTGCAAATGGTGTGTTTGCTTCTGGGGTCAAAAATATTAACTGTTGGCCTCTTTTGTTTCTTTTTGTCACTTCGTATTTGCAATGTCAATTGAACTGTAATAATGTGTTAATTGTGTTTAAGCCAGGTGTATTAAACAAAGCAAACAAAATACTTTTGAATTGTTTCATTCACGTACCAATTTCATAGGGAAACTGTTACCTTCTCTTGGTACTATTTCTCTATGCCAAATACCATGTAAGTAGAGGTGGACAAAAATTTTGGTTTTGAAACTCTTATCAAAAAACCCCCAAACAATTTACGTTCATTTTAGCATTGGAAAAGTGAATGGACGTTTCACTAAAATGTTCTCAAAAGAAAACCCTCTGAAAACCATTCATTTTTACTTAAGTGAAAAACAAACAGGCTAGACCTCTCACATTGTTAAGTCTCCATATGTCAAAGTGAATGGCTTCTGGAAGCAGGAACTCCTTTGACCTGTTGAGCTGTTACAGACACCGATCTGCCTGTTTCTGCAGATTGAAGCAAACTCTTGCTTACGAAAGCTCTTTAAAAAAGTATAAAAATTGTTGGTATTGTTCAAAATCTAAGTAATACCATTTAAATTCAATTAAAATATTGCTTGACCTGAAATTAATCTTCCCCCCACCCCATGGTTAGTGATCTAAAACTTCATTATTCACCCAGTTCTAAGTAGAAGGGTTTTAAAGCCACAAAATAAACTTCCTGTGAACTGAAAGTAATAGATAATTTTGTCTGTTCTGCAGGTGTGTTTGGTGCAGACACTGTGGAGCAACTTCTCCAGGTTTAAGATGTGAATGGCAAAATAATTACACACAGTGTGCTCCCTGCGCAAGTTTGTCTACCTGCCCTATCTGCTATCGCACTTACAGGGATGAAGAGCTTATAATTCAGTGTAGACAATGTGATCGGTAAGGATTTCTAATGTTTTACAGGTTTTTCCTGTTTAAGTCTTGTTTTAATTTTTTTCCCCTAATATAAAAGCATAAAGATGAAGGGAATGGTCTTGTGGTAAAAAGCATTGGATTGAGTCTCAGAAGTCTCTTATTAGTTCATTCCTTGTACCACAGACTTAACTATATGGATCTGAGCAAATGAATTAATTACTCTGTGCCTCATTTTTCCCCTCTGTAAAAATAAAGCTAATTTACCTTGCAAGACTATTGTTGTACCACTAAATCTAGATTACATTATATCAAAAGGCTAAAATGGTTGCAGTACAGGGAGAAAATTATAATACTAAGACATACTTGCTTCTGGGACATTGTTTTATAGAGTTCCTTCCTGTGAAGGGAAATAGGTAATCTGATACTGTATATACAGTATTTAACACACACCACTGTAGGGGAATGCTGTATATGGAGAACCTGATTGAGTCATCATTTCTCCTTAGAAGAATTTAAACTAAACAAGTATTTCACATTTACTTGGACCATATACTGATATTTGGGTCTCCTAAAACACCACATATTTCCTTTAAATTGTATTTTTTCCCCCACTTAATTTCTAGATGGATGCATGCAATCTGTCAGAACTTAAACACAGAGGAGGAAGTGGAAAACATAGCTGATATGGGTTTTGACTGTACCATTTGTAGGCCATACATACCACCAACAAACGGTAAGAAGACAATTGAAACCAATGGCAGGATTGCACACTGCAATAAATAGGTTTGAGAATGTGTTATGGTTCTTTTCTTTGGTAGAGGTTTGCCTCATGGTAGAAGTAAGTTTTTTCATGTTTATTTTAAGGGCCCTTCTGGAAGTGTCCTCAACTCTTTCACACCCTCTAGTGATTGGCTGCAAGGCCAAAGAAAACCTAGCAGGGGGAATGCTGGATGGATTTATTGAAGATAATTTGTGTAAACGACTAAAAGCACTTGGTATTGAAAGGGTAAAAGGCATCTTACTTTGTCAAGTGTAAGGAAGAGGGCCCAGTTCTCTGAAGTTATTAACTGCAGAAGAATCTGCAGAGTTCGCTGTACTTTCCTGCTCCAGAACTTTCTTGTTAGTTAAAACGTGTAGTTCTTTCTGATGAACTTTGCTCTTCTCCATATATGTTACCAGTGAAGATATATACTGACTTCCTCATTAGTGTGTATTACAGTTCTATAGCAGTGGTACTTCAGGAGCTGAGGTTACTGCAGTTTTTCTCTTTGAGCACAGCTACAACATCTGGTTCCGTGGGATGGTACTGGTTAATGTTACTGTGAGTGGCCTGTCAGCAATTAGATTGGCCTATTACGTGATTTATGATCTTGCTACAAGGGTGGTACCCCAGGTCTGTTTTCTCTGCGTGTCAGCTCACGGAGTTTCTGGTTCAGTCTGCAACTTTTACAGAGCACTGACACCTGTACCCATTTTTAGTGTAATAACATCTTAAAGTGTTCACATTATCCCTTTGCTGGGGTATCATGAGAGTACAGCAGGAGGAGGGTATAAGAACTAAGCAAATGTTTCAAGAAATATTCGTGTCCACCAACACGTTGATAAGATTGGCTTTCTTGATCAAGATTGAAGATAACATGAGACGTGTTCAGGAGGACTGTCAAGAAAAGTTCAGTAGAGCATCTAATGTCCCTTTAGACTGGCAGGTCCTCATAACATTGTGGCAGTAACTGTAATTGACTGATGTGACCTTAGAGGTTTATTTACTCCCTTGTCAACTATGCATGGTTGAGGAACACTTCCAAGTATCCCACTTTTATTAGGATTAAAAGAATGACTTACACTTACGTATTTCAACAAGTCGCTTCATTTTTGAAATCTGCTTCAGAAATCCAAAAAGAAAGAGGTTTTGCAAGTGGGAAACCCAAGAAACTTGCAGATATAACACAGACTTTTTGTTTATTTTGATAATAAGCCTTGGTCAGTTAAAGCAAAAAGGTCCAAGTAAGAAATACTCCCTCTTCCTTTCTCTTTCAAGTTGGCAGAGCTACCTATTAGAAATAATTAAAATATGTGAGATGGAACAACTTCAGAAGATGGTATCGGAGATGTTTTACTTCCAGGCATAAGCTGTCCCCTGAGTTGGCCCTTCTTACACACCTCTGTGAAGTTGCGTTGCTTAGGTTTGTCTTCTGAGGAATAGGAACCGCTCCTGCAAGACCTGCTAGGAAGTTCCCAAGCTTTCTTTGCAGGGTTTTTTTCACCTTTTTCTATAAGACAAGTTTCTCTTCTTATTCTTTCATGTTTTGACTCAGTATATATAATACCTCTTTAACACGTGTACATTTGCACAGTTGCATGTCTGAATATGTCATTTGATGCATGTCCATAGAAATACTTGCATGTACTTTTATATGAAATGTTTCAGCCTTTCGTTAATTCTTCTACAACTCCTTTGAAAGTTTTCTATAATTTTTTGTTTCAGAGTGAGAACAGTTAGTATTTGATAAACTTTGAGAAACAAATATTAGTTAACAGTAGAAAGCTTCTTAAAATGTACCATATTGTGGGATTCTTATTGGGATGGTTCTTGCTCTTTCCATTTGATGTATCACAGATGTGTTGAAAGTATTATTACAAGTTTTTTAACTACTTTATTTCTAGAAGAATCAAGAGCCCCTTAACCTAATAAATTACCAGTAAGTTGCAGGTTTACTGTAGGTAAAGAGTAAGTGCTTCTAGCATGTAGGTATTGAGAAAGAGCTTCCATTTTTCTTGCTTAAGAAAATGGACACTTAAATTTGTAAGAGCTCTTCCCTATCTCATCATATCTGATAATCTTACAAAGTCATCTTCTTCAGGAAACAGAAATAAATAGTTTTTTTTCTTCTTGAACATACATAAATATCAAAAACCAGCATGTGGTCAGATTTGCTCCAAAGTAGTATACCATAAACCTTCATTACTTGATTCTTTTGAAATAATAATCTCTGATCAGTGTTTCATCAGTTTTCTTTTAGTATGGTCTTAAGTTACAACATATGTCCCCCAGTGTATTGCTGTTCCTTGTAGAAAATTTTTTCTATTTTAGATTGCTTGAGTATTATCGTGACTGTCTACTAGCAGCTGCTCTAGGTAGCAGCAGCTTTTCCTCTGTCCTGTAATTCTTGCACATTCAGGAGAGGTGTGTGCATCTCTCATCTACTTTCACTCCCAGACAAGCAATTCTCAGCTATCTACCCATCACTTCTGCCTTTCTGTCATCTGCCCTTGTACATTGTATGCCACATCTGCAAATTTCATCCCTTCCTCACTTAACCCCATCCTCTCTCCAGCCACACACTCCAGCTTCTTCCTCCTCCGGTGGGGTTTTCTTTTTCTGCAGGAGGCAAAGGGTCCGGCTCTGCCTGTTTTTCTTTAGCTAGTTACAACTGATCTGGTAACAGTTTCTGATAGCTGCCTGTGTGCATGTATTCCTGCTGTGACTCCAGTCAGCGTGCCCACACAGGCAGCCAGGAGTTCATATCACTAATTCAGAGATGCTCAATATTGCCAGTGATACGCGTATAAAGGCGGGGAGGCTCTGTTGTACCATTTTCATGAAACTGAATTAAATTTTTCTTCATTCTGAAACTTAATTCTATGTACTTTACAAATAAAGGGTACAAAAGCAACGTAATGCTGTGTGTTAAAAGATTAACTTGTCACATTTATTATGTCAACTTCTGTGTTCTTGTCCGTTACTGTATTTACGAAGAAGTTCCTGCATTGTGCACACAGTTATGCAGGCATCGAATAGTGTTGCTGTTTCTACATCAACCATTTTGCTCTATCCCTTACACCAATTAATTTCTTCCTAGAATTGTTCTTTTCTATTACAGCCTTTCAAATGGCAGCTCCCTTTCTTTTTGAAACCGTGATTCTTCTCATCTGTGCAATTATTTGTTTTCAACTGAAGCTATTAAATACTGTACAATATTCAGCATGCTTAAACCCTTTTGCAAATAAGCGTAACAGTTTTGGTTAAACTTCACCTAAGTGCTTCAGGAAGCAATTTTTTGTTCAATTTTAATTTTTTTTATCTTAATCTTTCTCTAACAGTACTGTGTTTCTCTGTTATACATTTTATTAATTTTAATCTTTAATCTGCACTCTAATTAGCTTCTTTTCTGGGAGTCTGTTTGATACTGTCTTCAAACACTGTTTATGAAGCTTTTGTGAGTTGGTCTCTGAAGGCCTCACCTCGCTATCAGTTTTTTTATTTGACTATTTCCACTCAGTCTCCAAAGCTAAAATCGTTCACAATCTGACCTGGACCTGAATAATGCTCCCCGTTGTTTGACTTTTAAATTAGGATTTCAAATTCCCATTCAGATGTGTCTTCCTGAATTTTTTTGTTTACCTTAGATTCCAATTCAATAATTGCTATCTCTGTCTTAAAACATCTTGTAAATTATAATCAATTAAGTGAACAGGTGACATCTTATTCCATTCTGAGTATTTCTTAAAATCTGCAGGTTTTTTTCTGTTGTTTCATTTCAATTTTTTTGAGTATCTTCCATCCTGCAGCTTGTCCCATATTTTTTAGTTTCCCTCCAGTTCAGTGTCTCTTTCAAGATCTCATTTTCAGTTTATTATCTTCCTTGTCTTTTCCTTCCATTCTTGTGTATCAGTTTTTCATTAATTCTCATAGGCTGCTTTTCTTCACTAATTGCATAGAATATTGGTTTTCTGTAGGGTATACTGTATACATCAGTTAGACCTTACATAAAACTTTTAACGGCCTATAGTTTTTGAAGACAGGCTTTCACTTTCCTTAAATTTTTTTATATGCTTAGAAATCATCCTTTAGATTCTGTATTCATTATTGTTTTTAGCAAAGAATTTAAGTGTTACTTGGAAGCTTTTGTGCTTTTCTTAGTCTTGCCCTCGACTCCTGTATGAGATGGTGAGCAGCAGCACACGTGCAGTGGTCTAACGTGTCTGAGAAACACTGACCCTCCCACGGGTGCTTTGCCTCAGTGGTCTCATCTTGTGTGGCAGATGCAAAGTAAATACTCCAGATGTTGGTTTGAGTCTTAAATTCAGCATGGGTAAGATTTCTAGGCAAGAAAGAAGTGTGAATAAACTTGCCTATCTGGTAATGCTAACCATGCCAAACTAACGTTTTCTGATTGTAGTTCTCAGTGTTTGCAAGATAGAAGCTTCTAATTTTCCCTTTACTTACTCTGTCTACATAATCTCTGTAAAGTCACTACTAATAATAAAAGTCTAGTCTCCACATCACAGGCTAGTGAAGCGTGATTACAGCTGTAATTAAGGCAGATGGGAAGAGCATTTCTACCCACAAAAATGTAGCCTAGTATTGTAGGACATACTGATCATTATTTGTTCAGTCATACTGTTCCAGTGCTTCCCTGAAGTGCACAAGCTGTAGTTTTTAACTTGAATTTCTGCTATTCCATATATTGTTATTCTTATCTTGAATAAGGATTACCCTATCTAACTTGGACAAGTCATGTATCATGTCTTCTCAGATAGCTCAGCCTTCTCATACGTGTTGTATAAGAGACCTGACAGCATAGACACAGTTAGAATCTTGTGTGCGAAGCTGTTGGAGCGTGCCTACCCCTCCTTGGGGAAACACGGCAGTGAACAATACCCAGTTCACAAAGGCCTCCCATTTTTCATGCTTAGGTCAGCAAAACCTGGATGTCATGACTAGTGTAGAGGTTACTTTCAAATCCAGTAGATCCAGTGTATTCATTTGCCCTTGGTCCAGTAGAAGAAGATCATTTACCATTGAGTTCAGTGCTGTTCCAATGCCATTCTTGGCTCTAGGAAGTTGGAGAACTTCAGTTTGTATCAGGGTTGTTTTGTAGTCACGTCTTCTGTGACGCTGAAAAGCACTTTATTTTAAAGGTGCTAGTGAATGTTGCAAACAGTATAAATTAGGGAGTTTAACAGAACTGTTTGAAGGAAAATTAATTGATAGTTTCAGTTTAAATCAAGTCACCATTTTTAAAAGTTGAAATTATTTTCCTTATATTTTTCAGTGCCTTCTTTGGACTGTTGTGATTCATCAGTTGGAGCTCAGATAATTTCAAAATCAAAAGAACTAGGTAAAGAATGTAAATGCTTAATCTTTGAACATTTAGCATATTTTAAGGGTACATTTTTACATGAGACAAAACCTCCTTTTTCTGTGATTTTATAACACACAACATTAACTATCTTTCAGTTACCGCAGCATGCTTTTTCTTTTTTTTTTTTTTTTTTCCCTCATTCTATCTTCTTTCTTCTCTTTTGCCTGCCATACCTGCACTAAAATAATTACTTCTAAATTATGCTTTGATCCTGCAGACTTAGCTGCTTGCCTTAATATTAATGGTGATAGCAGTAGGGCTGAGTCAAGCGTGTACACAAATGTTTACAGGCTTGAGCTGTAGGAGGACAGAACTTTTCTGTATTTGTCTGGTTTGTGCAAGAAACATATATAATAATATATGAACACATACATAATTTTGACAATCCTACTCACAAGTCACTTTTTATAATGATAGTACCTAACAGCTTCCATCATGTCGGAATTTTTCCATTTGATACCACACAAATGTAGTTCTGAGAGAAGGTTCTCCCCTCAAATCTTTAATCTGAAAAAGACTATGCGATTTTTTTAAAGCAAATGCTCCTTCATAGTTCAACATAAGAAAACAGTCATCTGGGAAAAATTGTGTTCAGAACCAGCTGTGTTTTGAGGTGTGAGATGTTACATAAGAAAATATTTTTGGTTAAAGGGAACAAATGTTACAGTGTTCATATGTTTTAAGAAACTGTGTTAGCAAATCATTATTTAATTGGCTCCAAAGAGCTGAGACATCATTGCAGCCTCTTCATTAGTTGCTAATTCCTGGAAAGTTCCCAAACCTCTGCCTGCAGGGCCCTAGCACAGGTGACAGCGCCTTTCTACATGGTGAATTAAGGAGTGTTAGAGTTTATCAGTAGACTCAATTGTCATGTAACAGCTTGAGGAGGAGGCAGTCTTGCAGGTCTTGGGAGACTTGGGTTCTACCCACGATTTCCAACTTCATTTTGAGCAGCTCACTGGATATAACTTATTTTTTGTTTGTCTATAAAATAGGGCTAATAACTTGCCTGAGTTACTAAGAGTTCTGGGATAAGGCTTAAGGTCATTAGGAAGATGAAGGTACAGTGCTGAGGGCTGGATGAAGGCCCTGGCCAATAAGCAGCAGAGAGCCAAAGTAAGACTTGAACAGTTTTCTGTGACTGCCAGGGATACAGAAATACCCTGCAAGGCACAAGTGATCAAATCATTCTTTCTAATGAGTCCTTGGTGTAAGTTGTTTTGTAGTAATATAATGGATAGTTGCTGGATTTGACATCAGACTCATAATTATAAAGCTGTAACTGTAATGTGTAAGACAGTATCAGATATCTGTTTTATTTATACCAATTTTCTCACTCATGAATCAGCTCCATACATGTGGATTATTATCTCTTAAAAGTGCTATTCCTAAAAATCACGGACTTGTAAATTAAAGAGTTTTGTATTACTGTTATGATTCATTTAACTCTTATAGACCCACCGAAGACATACACCCAGGATGGAGTCTGCTTGACAGAATCCGGCATGTCTCAGTTACAGAGCCTAACTGTTACAGTACCGAGAAGAAAACGGACGAAACCAAAGCTTAAACTGAAGATTATAAATCAGAACAGTGTGGCTGTGCTTCAGACACCCCCAGATGCCCAGTCAGAACACTCAAGAGATGGGGAGATGGATGACAGTAGAGGTAGCAGTCTACTTTTGGCATGTCTTGTATCTTGGAGTGGTGCAGTACATGTGTGTATTGCAAATAGCCCTGGGAGTTTTTAATATACCGATACTCGTATGTTCTGTACAGAATGCTTTATGGAAATAGTCATGGCTCGTTGCTGTCCATTTCAGGGGTTTTTCTTGCTGTTGTTCTGTTTATAGGTCATCCATCGTATAGGAAGCTTACTTTCTAAGGCTCGCAACAATGGAAATGCACGTTGCCTTTTTTTGCCTAATGCTTGGGTTACCTTTAGGAAATATTGTGCACTCACTGAGCACAAGGGTATTTTGAAGCTCTCAAATTTAGTGCAAATGCTGTTTGAGAGCGGTAACGTTGGCTCAGCAATGTAGTGTCTAGATCACTGTAAAGCTGGTATTTAAAATAAGGGGGAAAGTGGAGTAAAAGCCTATTTGCTAAGGGTATGTCTTTTTTCTGAAATAAATAAGGTGGGCTGACCTGAGAGTCTGAGGAAAAAAAAAAAATTAATTTCATTGTATTTCCATAGATGAAATGATGAAATGAACTTTTTTTTTTTTTTTTGTCTTCATCTCCAAAGTAGAATTGAAGACAGATTTTGAGTTTGGAAGTGAATTCCAAGTGTTGCTCTACTTCAAGTAGATGACACTGTATGTGGAATCCTACCAAAGGATTTCAGGTTCCAGGATAGGGTATCCATGGAGTATGGAGGAAGGGGAAGATTTAACAGTATTTTTGCAGCCTCTAAGGCTGATGAGAAATGGTGGAATCTGGGCTAACAGTTGTCTACCCAAACACGTCCCTGTGTATGGGGATGGCATTTCAGTCAATGGTAGAAGCCCTTGGGAGAGCTCCTTCTACCACAAGTCTAGACATGGAGCAAAGATCCACACATCCCAGGGCCACCAGTAGTTGTCTCATCTGCTTCCCTCACAGCTGAGCAAGCACAGCAGCCTCAGCCAGAGGAGACCGAGGGTGGGAGATGGGAGTAGGAAAAGCACAAAGGAGCAGCCAGACCCAGTCTTCAAATTCCAGCTCTTCAACACTAGGAACTGCAAGCCAGCATAATGCTCCTGTCCTCTTTGCCATGGTCTGGCTGTATCCTGATAAGTGTGTTGGTAGAACAGGTGTTAATTTTTGTCCTGGGAAAGGACTTAAATGGCAGGTGTGAGTGTCATTCCATGAGTCACGCAGATGAGAGGAACAGAGGAACATGGGCACCTCACCTCACCACAATCTAAGGTGCTTTCTGTGTATGCAACATTGCCTCAGTTGTTAATCAGATTAGATATCATTAGAATACGATTATATCATTAGATATCATTAGAAGCTTTTTTTAGATAGAGAGTGTGCTTGAGATAACTGGGTAGTTTAACCATCAGTGCAGTTGCAGTGTTAACTTGTTGATAAAAGTATTGTTCCCATTGTTTGATTAGGACATTCTTACCATCTGCTGTTGACAAGAAGTGGTGGCAGTTTTTTGTTTTTTTGTTTTTTTGTTTTTTTGTTTTGTTTTGGTTTGGTTTTTTTGTTTTTTGTTTTTTATAATAGCTTCCCTTTATTTGTTTATAACCTTGAAAACAGTTAACTAGTTGTTTTTCCTTTCATTTCCGTCGGTATTCACAGGATTTGGTACATTATTCTAACATTACACTGACTCTTAAATGTCATCTCATACTTTCACATAGTTATCAGGTGGGTTATTGAAAGCAAAAAAGCTTTTGATTTTTGTTTGAAGGCATCAAGATAGAGAATTAACCAATTCCTGTGTCGTTCTTTTTCAGTGGCTAATCATCTTTACTTTTACAAATGCGTGACTGTTTTCTATATAACTTCGTCTAAATTTAGTACCTCCTTGTGGGTTTTATAGGTATTCCTTTTCAACTAGATAACAAGATACATAAATATAATAGCAGAGTGTGAAAGGGAGAGCCAAAGCTTCCACAGACTTTAATTTCAGTTCTGATCACCTTTCATTGCCTTTTTAAGAGTTAGAGCACATTCATATGTGTGACGGTAACAGCACAGCATGTACATGGTAGATTGGCTGGATTTCCTGGAAGCTCTACTTGTGCTCTGTAGAGTGGATCAGTGCCGGTTCTCTGAATGTCTGAAATTTTTGTATGAGCATCGGGATGAATAAAGCTGTGCTGCAGCTTTGATTGGAGCAACATACTGTAGTAGTTCCAGAAAAACAGGAATAACTCTTATTTTGACTGTAAAGTTCCAGGTGGAAAAAAGAGGCTGTATCTGAGAAATAGTAGTTTTGTTACCCTCTCATCCATAGACTTTGATCAGGTGCTCCACATTTGAAAGTCTACTTGAAAGTTCAGCTTGCTTTGGGAGCTTCAGCTTTGGTAGTCTTAACGTGGCTCTTCTGCTGCTATTAGTAGAGCTGTGCTTTGTAAGTAAATGGGAAGGACTACTGTGATTTAGCATTTGGCATACTACTTTGTGTAGCAGTTCACATTAGCACTCAAGCCGGCTTCTCTTCTGCCAGAAGTGGACATGTTGCAAAGAGGGCTCACCCACGCTCTAAAGGGGAGGAGAGAATTGGCTGTGGTGCTCTGTAGGGACTGCCTTTGGCAAGCCACCAGCTTTGTTGGTAGAATTCAGAAAAGTCTTCATCAGTGGGAAGGTCTGGTCTGTGACCCAGCCTGTGGAAGGGCATGCGTTGTAGTTCTACCACAGCAGGAAGAGTATGGAAGTCCAGCTCTGTCTGTTATAACAGTATTTGTCTTGCAAATGTATGTGGGTTTAGACCATATAGAATTATATACCTAAATCTAAAGCAGGGAATCAGAATGTCAATATCTTTTCAGGGGCAAGAGTATATTTAACATTTCAAAAGCTTTACAGTAAAATGAAGATGTAAGGTCATTACTGTATTGATATTTTGGGGATATCAGAAACAGAATGAACTCCCTCTTTCTTCAACACCAAAGGCTTTTTAATGCCATCATACTTTACATCTGTTTCTACCCTGCTTTCCCACAGAATATGAACTCTAACTCAAAATTACTGTCTTTACCTTCAAGTCTGTGTAATTCCTTTGGGCTGAATTTTCTATTATATAAGTCAAATTCCTCTTCATAGATAAGTCTGCTTTCGGTCAGTCACATGGCTTCAAGTCAAGAACCCTCTAAACTCAGTCATTAAGCATTACCTTCCAAGTGCAGGCTGCAGTTTTTTCAGTCTGTCTTCTCAATAAAAAAAAAAAACAAAACAAAACAAAACTTAGGAGGACAGTAAACAAAATGAAGTATATCTTTCATGGTAAATTGTATCCATATTCCTTGATGTATGGCTAGAAATTGCTGAGACACTTATCAAATGCGATGGCACAGGCTTCTGAAAGGGGTGCCAAAAATATTTATCAGGTTCGCATATAGTGACTATAGCATTTATTTTCTGGGTTTGTGTAGACATTGTCTTGCAGGGAATGTATGTATATAGTGGGTCTTTGTGTACAGATTAGGTACGTTTCCCCAAAGTGTTTAGGAAATATGAGTATCTATCTATCACTCATTTGAAAAATCTGTCATTCTCAAATCAGTTTTTCAGAAATCAGATGTAGAAATTTTGGAAAAATACCTTTGTTCCTTTTCCAGTTAAAGTTACCATTGCCTGTTTTCTGCAGAAGGTGATCTTATGGACTGTGATGGAAAATCAGATTCCAGCCCAGAACGGGAAGCTGTGGATGATGATACCAAAGTGGCAGAAGGAGCTGATGGAATTAAAAAAAGGAAGCGAAAACCATATAGACCTGGTAGGATACAGTAATTTATGATAGTGGTCCCTTATTTGTTTTAACAATTTTTTTTCTGTATAGCTAAAAAAAATATTAAAAAACAGTATGGAATTCTGAACTATTTTGCTGCTACTTGTTGATTTTAGATTTTTTTTTTCCCTGTTCTGTTTAAAATAATTTTTAGTCCTCTTATCAAAATACATTTCCAAAGGTTGCTGCTTAGCAGTACTCCTGTTCTTAGTATGCTGTCCATTACTGATTAGTAGTTCAAATCTATACCTTGTATTGATTTTTAACTTGATAGGAAAATGTACCGTATTTATATGATGAAGACCAGTTTTTGTGTGTGTGTATGTATGTATATATATCTAGCAATATCTGAACTTCAGAGAACTTTTTGCGGATGCCTTATTTTCTGAAATACTTGAGAGGGGTAATATACTAAATATTTGCAGATGACTTCTGGCAGTGAATTTTAATGAATTCAGTTATTGGATGAATTAATTTATTTTAATTTATTAGTGCAGTTGACTCTTAATTATCTTGACTGTGGATTAACTGTGTGTCCTGGGTGCAGAAACACTTGAGCTGTCTCCAGCCAGAAAAAGCTAGAGGTACCTAAGTGACTCTGTAGGAAGTAGCTCTGATTCATTAGGGCTAAAACTGAGCCCAAGATAAACCTCTTCTGAGACACTGCCTGGCTTCTTGAAGAGGCCCTGTGTCACCTACTGTGCTATGTCTCAGAATCTGCGTTAACGTGTTGGTTTTGTGTTTCATTATGCAGCCTCCCACTGCTGTGGGTAAGTTGATTGTAGTCTCTGCAATCACAAGTACTGTTTTTGCCAGTCACCTTGTTTGTTTAGCCAGTTTTGCCCATCCTGATTGTTCTAATGGGCCATATTCTCTGATTAGGAAGATAGTAGGGGAGGAGAACAGAAGCAGTGAAATGATTGAAGAGGTGAAGGAAAGGAACACAGCAAAGGAAGGACAGGAGGCAGGAGTTACAACATGGTCCAATTTCTCTTGCTTCTCTCTCAGTTACTAAACAGATCTCTACCACCTTTTACCCTCCCCATGTCATTCCCCACACTGCTGAGTAAGAGCCCTGTCTCAGCAGGTCATGCCTGTGTGTATGTTGCCTTCCATCATGGGCCCACCCTGGGGAGACGGTGGTACAAATCCACGTCACTTAACAGAGATTTCTCAACAAGTAACATACCTCAACAAGACATTTATTTCTACGGCTGGGTCCTCAAGAGAAGAGAGTTTTGTTTGCTCTGAGTGGTTTTGGATCATGAGTTGAGCAGCCATCTATTAGTTTTCTGCAGCCAACAATTTCCCTGAAAAATGAAAGAAACCCAAATCTTGTGCATGTACCTACATACACGTGAAATGTAAAAGGTCAGGAGCACTGCAGTCAATCTCTAGGAAAAGATTCTGGAGTTTCCAGCACCATGATGTTGATTAATTATCTTTTTACTTGATGATATGTCCTCTAATACTGTCATCTGGAGAGGTGGGATCTCTAGAGCAATTTGTAGACTTTTTTTTATGGTCCTTTAAGGTTCTTTAATAGGTTTCATTTGGTAGATTTACTCCTAATTCTAACAATTCTTCACCTTACCAGGGGAGGGGAAAACCAACATCTGGAAGTTGCCAGGTTTGGTGATTGGAACTTCTTGTGGATGTTTTACAGTCCTAAAATTCTGATCCTCTCTGATAATTACATATTTACCCACCAAGTAATTAAAATTCAGAATTTTTTTGTCAAACTCTGAATGAAAATTTCTTAAGTTTCTCATATTCATTCTTAGACCTCTGCAGATGCAGTAGTCCCCTTTACCTGCAGAATAATCTTGCCTCTAATTCTTACTATGAAACATATTTTTAAACAGTATACTGGATTTTTGCTTCCTTGTTAGGTATTGGTGGATTTATGGTACGTCAGAGAAGTCGTACGGGACAGGGGAAGACTAAAAGATCTCTCTCCAGGAAAGATTCTTCTGGATCTGTTTCTGAGCAGTTGCCTGTCAGAGATGAAGGTAAGTGCAGAAACTTGTTTTTAAATCTCTGTTCATCCTTAATGCAGTGAAAATAATGCAACTCATCAACATGCAATTCTTTCGAGATATGTGCTACAAAGGAAGAAGTTTTTTGTGTTTGTCCTGATGGCTTTATTAATTCAACTGAAAATACTCATTCTTACATACTTATAATTTCAGCAGAGCCCATTATTTTGCAAAGAAACTGAAACAATGAATTGCAGGCTATTGTGGGAGATGGTGAGGGTTATAAGGACTGCTGTATTGTGTCAGAGCTCTGTTTAGCCTAGCTTTGACCAGTAGAAGACAGAAAAAAAAAAGTGTAAAAAATTAGGTGGGTTTAGAGCAATCCTCTTTCTGATACATCTTCCTCCAGATGTAGTCCTGATCCAGAGGTGTCTTCTGGACCATCAGTTTTAATATTCAACAGTGTTCCATGTTCCACCAATATGTGTGATATTTTTATGGATCTGTTTATGCTCTGGAAAATCCTGTATTAGTGAGTTCAACAATATACTATTGTTGCATGAAGAAATAATTCCTTATTTTAAACTGGATATCTGAAAGTTTCATAAGCCACCCTTGTGTTTTATGTTATGAAAGATGATTTTTAAAAAATCATTCCTTGTTAATTTGTAATACAGAAAGATTTTTTAGATGTCTGTTGTGTTCTCCCATCAGTTGTCTTTTCCAGGGCTGAAGAATCCTACTTTGTTTGGTCTCTCTTCTCATAGCAAAACCATTTTAATGCCTCTGACCATAGAACTCAGTAAATTGGGCACCTAACAACAATTCAGATTTTGTTTATGGGCCTTGTTCTCTTGCTTGTTATGTGTGTTTAGACTAAATTATTTCATCCATCTGGATTTGTTTACACTATCTAATCTAGAAAATACTGAGGTATCATTAAGGTGAGCTGTGGAATATGTTTAGCTCAGAGCCTGCTTCATATAAAGTCAGGAGAAAGATGCAGCTGTTTCTAAAGGTTGCCTGGTATCATCTCCATTAGAAGTCTCTGGCCTTTGATTTCTCCTATTACTCTCTTGTGTCTGTTTAGCTATTGAGTTTTTAGCCTTTTTAGAGCCAGATCGGTCTCTTGCTATATTTGTACAACATGGTAGAGACTGGATCCTTTACTACAGCATCCAGACAGTATTGAGAACTAATAGTTATATACAGTCTTCCCTTGCATTTGTAGAACTACGTTATGAAGCCAACAAATTTTTCTTTCATCAGTGCAGTCCCCTGCTCAGATATAGTGCTTGCTTTCTCTTCAATACTAGTGTTTAGCTATGTTTTCCTGCTTTGTAACTATTATTTCAGCATAGTATGCTACATTGGTTTAGGTAGAACTGAAAACTTTGCTTTAAAGTTTTTAATTTCTATAGGGATCTGCTCCTTTAAGTGAAAAGCAAATTGACTAAAAAGTTAATTCCCCATTCTGGGTAACAATACAATGCATATTGTTAAAAAGCAGTATTGTTAAACAAGTATTTGTCAGTTAAAAGCTTGTGCTTCTTTTTGTCTGCTCACACACAATTGCTTGTTAAGAAAAAAATAACTCAGAAAATCTTTGTATGTTTTAAATCATCGTAGCTTGCTGAGAGTCTGCTTTTCAGCTGCCAATACTCATCAGCCGTACCATGTTTCTTGCTACTTTTGTCATGTTCTACCCTCTTTCTCTGCAAAAGCTCACTTTTAAACAATGCAGAGGTCACAGTGTTGGTGAGCCTCATTCTACTTGCTGTCCTCTGAACATGGTACAAGAGATTACTATAGTACAAAGCATAGATGATTTTATTACCACAATAATACAGTTTCTTAAATAACTTCCCTGGGTCATTAACTTCATGGAGTTAGCTCTGGCAAGACAGAAATAGCAGGACTTAAAAAGTTCTGCTTTTACCTGCCAGTGTTTTACCTGATGTGCTGAAATAAAATACTGAATGATTGATGAGCACTGTTTGCTTTTGCGTTTATTAGAAAAAACAGTGCCACTTTGGAATACAATAGCTCAATAAATGTGTAATTTTTCTTGAAGGGCTTCTTTATAGATTTGTTTTTCTAGCCTGTTCGTTATTTAGATGACAGTCTTTTCTCAGATTTAAAAAAAAAAAAAAAGTTTTCTACTGACAGAGCTCAGATGATCAGGTGACAGTTCACAGCTGGCTAGATAAAAGCCACCTTTAGAATACATCTAGGGCGATACCCAGGTAGGTGGTAAGATACATTGGGTATGCTGCCACTGTAACTTTAGTGCAAGATACCAAGTATTTTATTTATTTGTGCCTGAATGTTACTTTTTAGGTTGGACAGAACAGTTGCCAGACACTCCAGTTGAGGAGTCTACCCCAGCTTCTGAAAGTACTGAGAAAATAAAAAAGCGTTACAGAAAAAAGAAAAATAAACTTGAAGAAACCTTTCCTGCCTACTTGCAGGTAAAGCTATTGGTATACTTCTTGTGTAAATTCATTTAAAAACCTGATCTTTGTGTTAATTCATAGTTGATTTAAACCACTAAATGTTTCTTTCCTGATTCCCAGTTTATCATTCAAATGAAGTGGGGTTTCTGTAAAGAATGCTTGTAAGTTTATACAGAAACACATATATCGTGTTAAATCTCCAGTCCTCTGATGTTATTTCTCAGTGTATAGATTTCTACTTGTTCTGAGAGAGGAGGCAGGAGGGAAAGCCGTTCTTTCTGAACTGGCATGTGATGTTTTCAGCATTCAGTTCTCTAGGATGTGTTAGCCTGATCATGCCATTTCCTCAAGAGATTAATTTTTATTTTCAGAAGATTATAGAACATGATTTGATAGGGGAAACTTGTTTTCCTACAGTTTTGTGGTTTTCTATGCCCTGCATCTCCCTCCCACAATAATCTCTGCTCCTTCCCCCCCAATAATTCTGTGAGGTCCCTAGCAGGTAAGAGGTAGCAGTTGTGGATAATAAGCAGGGTATTAATGGTGATTGAGGAACTTACATACCTTCAACTAGTTTATAAACTGACTGGTTTATAGATGTCTCTCACCAAGAACATTATTTGGTTCACTTTTCTTCCCAGCCACCTTTTTCATGAAAACTTTATTATCTTGCAGGTGTTCACCAAACTTACTGACATAGATTATATTGGGGTTGAAAGCAGAGAATTGACAGACAGGCAGAACAATATCTGTCTAAAAATAATTTGTATTTCATAAGTGAGTTGGAAAGAAAATACTTTAGCAACATTTCATTTGAATTAATAAAATAAAAAATAAAATAAAATTAATAAAATAAAATTTAAAAATGATAAATACTTTCTTCTTACTGCACGTTTTACTCCTGTAAAACATAGAATATTTCTTAGATTCTTCTTTTGCTCATGTTTGAATAACTGATAATGAAAAATCTAGCTTTATTTTTAGCAGCTGTATCCTAAATCAAGATTTTAAAGACTATGTGAAAACAGAAGTTCTTATATAATGAATAAAAGTTTAGTTGAAAATTTGATAGTTTATTGTCAAATTACTGAGTACTCAGGCTTAGGTGAGTGATAGCTGTTACATGTTGAAAGATACTACCATAAGTTAAACATCTTTAGGTGTTTTGCTACTGCAGTTGGATGTTAGGATGATTCTGTGCTGACTGAAATGCAGTGTATGGTTGTTCTAGAATTTGGACCACAGTGCACTTGCATGTTTTTCATAAACTTCTTGTGTGGCCTCGATCATGTTTCCCAGTAGTATTTGCTTTCTTCAGCTGTCCTTTTAGTGCAAGGAGAAATATTTTGAATACTAAAAAACTTAGGATGTATAATAATACTGTATTGGTACACTGTCTGTGCCACATGTACATAAGAAGACTATAGATTTTGTGTATAAATTAAGGTGTGAATTTAATCATGATATATTAATCGTGTAGCTACCTCAGGTAAGTCATATCCACACCTCATAGCCTGGAAGAGATTCTGCCATACTGGAAGGCATATGAGACCAAGACTGTGTTTTTATATTTGTAGAAGTCACTGGCTTTTAATTTTAACTTTGTCGTTTTCCCAACTTTTTCAATATATACAGTGTTCTTCCTACATTGAATCATTTTGTCGTCTCTGCAGGAAGCTTTCTTTGGGAAAGACCTACTAGATACCAGTAGACAAAACAAGATGAGCCTAGATAATTTACCTGAAGAATCACTTCCACTCTCATGTAAAACGAATCCTACCACCAGTTTCCTGGATCCTTCATCTGACCCCCTTCTTAGCTCAACCTCCACTCCAGCTCAGGCAAAACTGGGACTTCAAGGTATACAAAGCTAAAGTTAGTGATAATTCAGTAGTTTGATTTTGTTGTTGCAACTTGGGCTTTTCCGCTTTCTTTTCCACTTTTCTCACAATGTTTATCTGATGTACTTTTCAATATTCTGTGTATTAACCGTCCTTGTGAAGTTAAGTGACATTGCTAATCAGTGGTATTCAGCTTGAGGGCTCCAGCTGTTTCAGAAAGAACAGTGGATGGCAAAACAATTGGGACTTAATGCAAATCTGAAACTCCTTGACTGTAATGTCCATGTCTATAAAATCTGTGAAAATTAATTCTGTGTAAGAATAAGCATACAAATCCATTATAGAAGAAGACAAAAATACTCTAATTAAAAGATATTTTTCGTAGTCTAGTGAAGATTAGTCGGATGAATACCATCCAATTTTTATTTTCTATAATGTTTTAGATTATTTTAGGCTGCAAGTCTTCTCAGAACTTTTGGTTCACCATGTCTTTCTGAACATGAGTGCCCTTTCCAGGTACAGTTTATAGGCCCTGGGCAATCTTTTGCTTTCACTATTGCACAACTTTACTGAAGTTACTGCTGAGAGTTTTGCAAATAGCCATAGGGTTGTAAAGTGCTGCTGATAGCTTCACACAAGCAATTAAAAGTGAAAACCTCACTGACCTCTTCAGATTATTTTTTTCTCTGTGTCTGGTAGTGCATGCTGTTAGCTACAGGTGTCATACCATTCTGTGTTTTTTAAAAACTTACTGTTTCTTGTGTATGTTAGTTACTTTGTGGCTTGTATTTCAGCTTGACCTCAGAAGATTTTCCTTCTAAAAATGTTTACATACATTGATAAAGTTTCCCATGTCCAGAGAGTCATTTGAAGAATGGTAGCTTATTTGTGATTGTTACTTAGAGAAAATCTGCTAAATGAAAAGCAAAACACTACATTATAATTAAACATTGTTATACAGTTGAAATTGTGAATAATAAAGAATGCAAAAGTTAACTTCCCCTGAAGGGGAAACCTCTGCAAATGGAGTGTTTCAAGGTCTGTATTTTACTGGTTCCAACACTACAGGAAGATATGCTCACATAGGCTTTTTTTCACCCCAGCATTCTTTTGAAGCCAGAGGAGTACAGATTCAAAAGTCTTTGCTGGCCTATGCAACTGCAAGATTAAAGTCGCTAATGTTTGATGTATTATGGTAGTATTAAGGCTTTAGAAATTCATGAACTTGATGTTAATTTAATGCTCTACTTTTCCAAAGTTTGAAAGGAATTTTTAAAAAAAGTGTTCTGTATGAATAAGAAAAGTTGTAAAAATTTGACATTTCCTCTTCTTTTTATTCAGAAGAAAAATCATAATAAGGTGGCTATTAATGAATAAATCACTAGCAGTGGTTTTAGTGTATAACCTACTGTCTTTCCCATTTTATGTATGAGAGACTCAAAGGACAGAGTTTTCTGGCCATAGGAATGTTCTCAACAATTGTGTCTCAACTGTTCAGATTTCCAGCCAAAATTGTGTCCAGATGGAGCTGTTTGTTGTAGTTGGAGCACCAGTGGGTGAAGTCATCTGCCAGGATTGATAGGTTCCAGTGCAGTTTTTCTTAACTCTTTCACTGTGACTTTGTGGGAGACAGTTATTTCCACAATAGCATCCGCACATGTGAAAGAGAGATTCATTCTGAGTAGTGGAGACCCTGGTAAATTGGCTAACTGCTGAGCTAGAAAGAGTCACATCTTTTCTCTGACTGCTACTGCAGAGGAGCTGGAGGTGAGAACAGTGTCCCAGAGCACCTGTGATGTTTTGTTGTTTTGATACAGACCTGGCTTTGGAGCAGGAACAACATGAACTGCTTTATTCACTTCACTGGGAGGCTGTAGATCTGTGTTGTTACCAACTGTGTTATTTTCATACAGTGCCATTTCTCAGAAGGATTGCTGACTCCTGTGAGAGTCCTTGCTTAACTGGATAAGTCTTTTCCACAAGGAAAATGTTGTTCTCTTGGAAACTCCACTTGTTTAATCTCAAAATTAAGGTTTAGATACACTTCTTTATCTTCCAAAGAGCTCTCAAGCATCTAAAGAAGTTACCCTGTCTGCTTTGCTTTTCAACATGTGCATAGGACTGCTAGGGAGTTGAACAGTGATGTGTTCAGTGTGCTCATGAACTGAGGGTGCATTTCAGTGACGTGTTCTGTGACTATTTATTCTTAAAGCTTCATTAAGGGTAGCTGAAGCTTTTGCTAGATAAGATTGCAGTAGTGACAGAGATTGGCAGAGCCAGCCAGAAGAGGGTCTGGGGAGTCCTTTGTTTGCTATTAATTTCTAGTAACTGTGACTGAAGTGAGATTTAGTCTCCCAGTCCTGATTTCTATCTGGCAAGGAGGTTGTAGTTTTTATTTTCAGTTACAAGACTTACCTTTCCTATGGTTTTATAACGTGGCACTCTGCACAGTATATTATGCATAGGACCAACCCTTAAAATAATTTCTAAGACAGTGCTAGGGCAGAGTGAGAGGGCTTGCTCACTACAACACAAAGTATCAGATCTCCAGTGTCTCCCTGGCTGTTCGTGGATGAAGTTGAAGGTGGTAATTGGGATGTTGCATCCTGGGTCATTTGAGGACTCTTCACGTGTCACTTGGGTTTCTTGATCTGGGTGTCTTTGAGGAAAGAGAGGCCACTTGATGAGCTGTGGTCTGTGAAGGCTCTGGCAGTATGATCTTTAGTTTGAAATAGCTTAAATTAAGTATATTTTTTCTAGAGATGTGGAAAAAGTCATCTGTTCAAGCAGGGTCTCCAGAGAACGCTAAAGAAATTCTTCCTAGACAAAAGGAGAGGAGTTGTCTGAGTCTCTGTGCAACTGATTTAAATGCTGCTGGGACATTTTATAACTAGATATCTTATTGCATGATTAAACATCTTAGGGTGGCTGCAGCCTTGAGAGAGGTGTTTTTATTCTTTTAGAACTTCATAAATAAATAAAAGTAAATGCATTGGAGGAATCACGATCACAAGATAGCAGTAGAACTGTGCTTTCTTAAAGATTCAGCATTACGAGCAAATTATTTTCCTTTTTGCTTTGTCTTAGTTTTCATCTCCTTTCTGAAAGAGTCAAATTAATGTGCAGTATTGAGCTATTTGTTTGGCAGCAGATGTCAACCAGCTATTGATTCTGATCTGAAGCAGCTGACTAAAGTGATTCAGTTGTTTCCAAGATAATATTTAGCACACACAGAATTAAAATGGGGAAAAAATAGAAGAAAAATGTAAAAATATGCTTTAGATTAGATGTCTTATATAAGACTTACAGATCATAGAGTCTAGCCCTCTGCTATCACCAATGCTCAGCCTTTTTATAAACTTAACAAGCTCCATTTTGGAAGCAGGTAGTTTTTTTCCAAACTATTAATCTCATTGGAAGGCCATTACAGAATCTGATTGCCTTAATAGTTAGGAGCCCTCTAATTTGAAGCCTGAATTTATTCATGGCCAGTTTGTAGCTGCGGGTGGTAAACTCTTCAGTTACATCTTTCCAGCTGAGCTCTTTCTAGCTACTTATTCAATATGTTTGTATTCAAATTAGAAGTTGAATTTTTAGGGACTGTTCCCAAGCACATTACTAAGGGCTGTGGAGAAAAACACCATAACATAAAATACAACAGAAGAATTAAAGGCTGCTAATACACTCTTGGTGCTTCCTTCATAAGGGCTTTTTTTTCTCTGATACTTACCAGCCTTCCAGTAGGAATTGAGAAAAGTTAAAGAAATGCTGAAGTTGATCCTTTGCCTACCAGCCAGCCAAAATCATTAACATCACCTTGTGGTGCCTGGTGTTAGTTACTTGCATAATTAGACCAAATTGCCAGAAGGAAAACAAGTATCTAAAAAAAAAAAAAAAAAAACCAACAAACTCAAAAGCAAAAAATGAAACAAAACAAAACACCCCACCAAAACCCCAGCAACAAGGTTCTGTTTAAAACCTTACATTTCATAGTACTTTTTATCAGATTATCCTGATTTTGGCTGGGTTTTTTCCTTTGGATTCAGTATGGGGCTTGGTATGAGAAGAATGTTAATAATACACTGATATTTTTAGTTGTTGCAAAGAAATCAAGGACTTTTCAACTTCCCTTGTCCTACTAGTGCGCAGGTGCACAAGAAGCTGGGAGGGAGCAGAGCCAGAGCACCAGACCCAAATTGGCCAACGGACTATTCCATATCATACAACGTCATGCTCGGTATATAGATTGGCTGGGAAGCTCACTCTTTCTCTTGTGGGATTGCGGTTTCGGGATTTTCTCTTCTCTAGGATTGCCGGCCAGGAATGGGAACACAAAATAAACTATACCCACAAAACTGATTTGGTTTTGAGGCACTTCTTAATGCTCCTCATCCCAGTAGGAGCTGTATTCTTTATGTACGTGTAAATTAACTGGTCAGCACTGGCACATTGATCCACGTAGTTGAGCGGCAAATAAAAAATGTGATTTAATTAGGGTGGTATCATCTTGTCTGCGTTAGGATAAAAATAAAGAATAAAAATAGTAAAGTGAAGAAAAAATAATTTTCATTTTGACCTTCAGTAATTGTAGAAGGGAAAAGGGCTATCTCTGAAAAACAGCTGAAGGAACTTCTAATTCATTGTAAAATCTAGCATCTTGGAAAGTAGCCTCATGATAAAAGTAAATCCTTGGCACCAGGCCTCTGAATTAAGCTAGAAATATTTTCCTGGGGCAATTGGGTTGTAACAGTAGGAAATACACCCATATATGTTCGAAATCTGTTTGTTCTTTGACTTTCTGGTCCCTCTTCAACCTGCACATATTTGTTTTCCACATAGTACATTTTATTATTTGTGTTAATCCTTTTCCTCTGTTTAATTATATGCATATTTACCATCTCATCATGTTTCATTGGTCTGGCAATGATTGCTTGTATATTTATGATAGTCTGCAGTTTTTCTGAAAAGTATTTTCCTCAACTTTTGAAAATTGTTTGACAAATAAATAAATGTTTCACATCTGTAATAGTCCTAAAAGACTAGTTAATAAGGCCAGTATGGGCTGTTTGGAGTAGTTTCTCTCTAAAGAATTTAATGTCAAGATGATAATCATATCCAGAATTAATTATTTAATATTAAATAATTTATTGCTAGGACCAGGTCAATTTTTCCTAGTTGACAAACAAATGTGACATTTCTACCTCTGGCTGTTCTCACTTCTTAGGATTTCTTTTGATCCTAAAAATAACATCTCCAATTTCCATTTACTTACTACTCTTTCTTATTCTTACATTTTACTTCCCTGTCAGGGCATAGTAACTGGTTGCTCTGTAGTCACAGACAGATAGTAGTACTACGAGAAGTAACAACACCTTCTTACTATTTGTTTTTTTTTTTTAAATGTTCCCTGTTGATTTGCTGTGAGCTGTGTCCTTCACAAAACCTGTTTTTTGATGTTTACATTCGTAGGCCTTTGTGTCTTTGAGGTTGCAAATTCCCAGTAGATCTTAGGGGTTTTTCCCCTAAAATCATCCAGTCTTTAGTCTTTCTTCCACATGACTGATTACATTATCACTTTTACTGTATCGGAGAAAATGCTGAACAACATAAGCATGTGAAGATGGCAGCAGTACCGGCTGGGAGGGGATGCTGGTCAGCACAGTCTCTCACCCCAGTGACTTGCAGTGCCTGACACACTATAGGAGGCCCTTATAGCCTGATAAATCTGTGTTTGAGTTCATAGCTCAAGCGATAGTACACCACCAGAGTCGTGTATGATTGCCAGGACTGGTTGATTTTATTTATTGCATTTTACACAGGTAGCGCCGACGATCCTTTAGCAGATCTTTCTGAGGTCTTAAATACAGATGATGATATTCTCGGAATACTTTCTGATGATTTGGTGAAGTCTGGAGATCATTCGGGTATGTACGTTTGTAAGGTCTCTCTGGTATTTGTTGTTTTTTTCTCTTTATTATAGATGTCTTTGTTTTATATCTATAGGTTATGCTCTAGGTGATTTCGGATACAATTTTCATATCTTAAGAATACCTTGGTTTGAGATGATTTTGTTGTTTTTTACAAAAAAAAAAAAAAAATCCCCAGCCTTTTCAACATTTTGTTTTACTTGGCTCTCTGCTTTGCTGCTTCAGAGAGAATAAAATGTAGCTGCCGTTGTCTATCATACCTGCGTAGCTTTTTTCAGCATGCAGCTTTTTCTTTACTTTTTTTTATTTTCGTGTTATAATCATCCATTTTATCTGGTTTGGGTCCTGTAGGTCTTGATTTATGCACTTTCCAGGTTGAGAACTCACCCTCCCCATTTGGTAAGAAACTAAACAATGGATGATCCATGGATAGAAGTAGTTATCTTTCCTAGTGGTTTTAGCTGAAAGAACTGCATGTGTAGAAACTAGTACTCCTTTACTGTGTCACTAATTCATGCTTTCATTTTCCACTCTTTCTGTGGTGTTTCAGTCTAACACAACCTATAAACTCTGCACTCCACATTTAAGAGTACTGCATAAAGTTTTGCTTATAGCTTTTATAAACCTTCCTGAATTTTTGTGTTTCATGATACAAACCCATGCATTTCCTTGCTGCGACTGTTAATTTTAATATTACTTCTAGTAGCGTGTAGTTTTTTGTCATAGTGGTATCTTCTGTAAATTAAAAGCATTTTAACAATGTGAACATATTAAAGCATGAATAAAGCAGTCAGCATCAATCTTTGTTTCTCCTGGATGATGATTCATCATTTTATGTAAAACACAGGTTGGTGATAAGTTGAATGACATGTTTCGTTATTTTAAATTTGGTTTTATTTGGTATCTAGTACCGAAATATAGTTTAAATACTGAAGTATGTAGTTCTCTTTTTCAGAGATCTTTCTCATTTGAGGGATTTATTGATTTGTAAAGGATGTTAGGAAATTTATGTAGTAAGTCATGTTTTCTCAGTACCAACAAATCACTTTGTCTGATGTAACCCAGAATACTCAGTAGTTGTTTTTGAAACAGAAACTGCTATAACCTGTTTGATATTGACTGCACTTCAACAGCACTTTAGTAGATATTTAATGTAATATTGTAAGAACATTTGGAGTGAACCTTAAGGTACCTGATGATGAACCACATTGACTCCTGCTGTCATTGTTTTAAAAATGTGAAAAATAGTTATAGCGGAACTATATACTGAAAACTATACACTCAAAACCATGCTGTACCTAAACTCAGTAGTCTTATTTCCCATTATTCCAGTTTCATTCAATTGAATTATCATTCCTCAAACAATAAAATGGAGGTAAATAGTGGGCAGTTTTATTTACGTTTCCTAATGAATGCCATATTTTGCCTTGTCTTTCAAATCTTAGAAAGTCTTGATAAAATTGATAGCTCAACTCTAGGGGAAAAAAAAAAAAACAATTGTGCTCTTTATTCTATACCAATAAATTTTACTATGTATGTCTAACTTAATATTCTTTCTTCCTTCAGCTGGATTGGATATCGGTCCCATCTCTGATGATCCTTCTTCTCTGCCTCAGCCAAATGTCAATCAGAGTTCACGGCCATTGAGTGAAGAACAGTTGGATGGAATCCTCAGTCCAGAACTAGATAAAATGGTCACAGATGGTAATTTTTTTGTCCTTTATCTTGGTCTTCTAGAAAACTTAAATAGAAATCTCTTCTTTTCTCAAATTATTTATCTACATATTACAACATAGCTATTTGGACTTGGTTGCAGAATTAATTTTATTGCATCTTTTGATGATTACTCATTCCATGTTCTCTTTACTTTGTCCAGGTGCTATTCTTGGCAAACTGTACAAAATCCCAGGTACATGTTCTAATCTTTGTTGTCTTTTATAAAATATAGTTCATAAACAATGCCAGCCAACTCATGCACAGTGTTTTTGCAGAGCTAGGAGGAAAGGATGTTGAAGATTTGTTCACAGCTGTATTAAGTCCAGCAACCACACAGCCAGCTCCTCTGCCACAGCCTCCACCTCCACCACAACTTATGTCTTTGCACAGTCAAGGTGTGTTCCTTTGTTACTTTTAAAAACAGCATCTGGGCAGGAGAATTCTGCATCTTTTAAATACTAATGTGAAAGTAGGACACTTCTTACTTTCTGCTACTCTTAATTTGTGGAATCTGCCATTGTTAATTTATGAAATACTATTCTAAAACTATTCTGAAGGGCGTATGTGATTAACGTGCACATAAATGTTGCTAATAGAAAAGGACAGCTATTTCAGATTTTTATGACATTGGAGCTTTTATTTTAGGTGACACTTTCATAGTTTTGAAATTTTTCTGTAATAAAGCATGTGTTCTCTTCTGACTTTACTCTTTTAAATACTTTTGAATACCTCAAGGGTGAGGAAAGAGTCTCTATAACAGTGGTTTACTGAGTCTTATTTTCCTTTAAGAATTCAGTTTAACATATTAGCTAGTCCTACCCAAATAATAGAGAGAAGGCTAAGTAATTTTGAAATGTATCTGGGAGATTGTAATTTATTTTCTTTGTTGCTACTAAAATTATCATGAGTTGATAAAGCATATTCTTGCTCTGATACAGAAAGCAAGGGGCAGATTGATTTTGTTTATTGCTGTTAGCAGTAGAGCATAATTATTTTTTTTTTTTGGCAGTATACATGAGCATAATTAAATGCACTAATTTCTCATCAGACATCGCTTCTAGTGGATTTTTCCTGAGCTCATGTAAAGAGTGCCCATTCTGTCATACTGGTACTATAAAAAGTAGTATGCAAATTGATTTCATCAGTGAATTAATCATTAGAGGCAAAATGATTGGTTTCCTAGTTGGATGAATTTCTGTAAAAAGGAAAGACTTCAAAAGGTCTTAGAAAGGAAAAGAGATTAAAGCAAATAATAAGGTGATATAAAGCAAAAGATAATACAGATATCATTGCCTGTTTCCCGGTTACTTGAGTACTTGAGATAACTTCAGCATTTGAGCTCTGTAAGATTGTTTAACTTCTGCCTGTGGAAACTGCCACAGTTGAAAAGTTTTAGATTTATAATTTGGTTCAGTTACAGTGTAATGATCCACGTGTCTCTGTGAGGTAAGTGGCTCAGTAATGCAGAAGCTTGCATCAAGTTTCATCAGTTTCGAATAAAATTAATGCTCTCTTCTCCTAAAGATATGTGATCCTACAGTGCAAACCAGAGGCTTGACTCTCCATCCTGTTTGTTTGCCAGGGCTTCACAGTTACTGTGTACTATTTATTTAGCAGCTATAATAAAACATGTTCTCTTAAATTCTGAGTTACTTTCATCCAAACTATACTTTTTGCACAGTGTATGTAACCTATAGATCAGAAGACAGTCTCCTGAAGCATGAGAGGATGATTCAGTGTCATCCTACAAATGCATCTAATTCCTGAGCTACTTCTGTGCTTTTAAGAAAATACAGGGACAACAGTTATAATCACACTTAAGTGACAGGGATTCAAAGGCCAGTGTTAATTCTGTGTAGGAACATCTGCAAATACCATCTGCTGGAATGAATCTTCCTGTGCCACATTTGTAATATTGTAATCAAATAAATAAAATTTTCTGCCATCGTACTGCTAGGCTGGACATTTAATTAGAAGATGTTGATGCTCATTTGACTAGATTTATCTGTTTCATTGGTTACAAATTAGGGAGTCAGTAGATAATGAGCCTGACTTTGGTATACTGCTCAGAAGTCTCAGAAGAGGCGATGTTTAATTCAGGTGACTAACGATAATTCTGCAAGGCTGAAAACAATCTTCTCTATGCTTACTGCTTGGATCTGGGTATAACAAATATGACAGACCATTAGCCTTTAAGAAGGTACCTCAGTATAAAGTGCAGTATCATAGCATGGGCTACTGCAAAAGTTTTGGAAATCCATTTTTAAAAATCTGATTTTTCAGACAAGAAAAAAAAGAAATCTGTGCAGGGATGTGATGTACTAGAAAAGAATCCCTTAAGATTGTAAGGAAGCAATGTAAACTGATCTAAAATCTTTTCCAAAAATGTAAGGTCCGTACTATAAAATTTTAAAGCAATTAGTTTTTCCCACTAGATGGGACACCATTTTTTGACTGAAAACTTCCATCTCTACCTTAAAAGTAGTCACCCTTTAAAACAGTAATTTAAACTTCTTCTTTCCAGGAGAGAATGCATTTCCAAGAGTGCCCCTTATGAATGGTCTGATTGGCCCTAACCCTCACCTCCCTCATACAGCTCTGACTGCTGCCAGTGGACTGGGCACCTTCTCTCCCATTACACAGCAACCATACACTGATACCAGGTAAATCAAGATGGGAAACAAAAAATAGCTGTTGTTTAGCATTTATCACTTGCAGGCTGTTGTTATTAATACTGTGATATTACTAGTATTTAACTACTTAGCTCTTGACAGCCACTACAAAAACTCCTGTATTCTTGCAGCCTGTTTACTACTAAAATAGCAAAGAGAGTAAGTACTTTGCTAATTGTTTGGGGTGTTTTTTTTTTTATATTGAGAGCAATCTATCTATAAAACAAAGCCCTTTTCTGATTTGTCAGGGATAAGAATCCATCATTCAATCCAATGGTAAGTGATCCGAACAGCTCATGGGCACCATCTGCTCCACCTTTGGAAGGTGAAGGCGATACAATGTCCAATGCTCAAAGAAGCACTCTTAAGTGGGAAAAAGAAGAAGCTTTGGGTGAAATGGCAACAGTAGCACCTGTTCTCTATACAAATATCAACTTCCCTAACCTGAAGGAAGAATTCCCAGGTGAGTGATTTACCAAATAAAATTAAGTATTTTGTAGCAATCTATGCATCTTGATTTGAAAGAATGTAAAATAGAATTATCCAAGCCTCCTGTATTAAGGCATTTTTTGCTTGCAGACTGGGCTACAAGAGTGAAGCAGATTGCTAAACTGTGGAGGAAAGCAAGCTCACAGGAGAGGGCTCCATATGTGGTAAGAACAATTACCACCTACATTTGCATAGTTCCAGCAAGCATATATTTAACGTATAAGGTTTTGTTTTTGGTTTTGTTTTTTTTTTAATAAATTAAGTTCTAGGGTTAGTGAAAGTTCACTTACTCCAAGAATGCCTTCATAGTTTAACTTCTAACTCTGAATACTTATACCTGTATTCTTTGCCTTTCGGTCTTTTAATAAACTATATTAGTATTGTGCAATCTGAAGACATCAGCTGAGACAAGAACATTTGTGGTTCCCACTGCTTCTTTGCTACATTTGATTCATGCCTTAAGTCTTACTTGCTCAGTCTCTCTCTGCACAGGATCTCACCAGTTTCTTCAGAAGGATAATTAGAAATCATTATGTGACTTTACTCTCTTTCATCTTCCCCTCTCACTAGTCTTTTCTTTTTTGCCCCACTAGGGTTGCTGAAGTCTTTCACCTGTTGAACTAACCATTCCAGAGGCGTCATTGCTCACATGCCAACTTCCCTCATTCTCCTCTACTACTGTGTTCTTGCCTTACCGTTCCCCTTCACTGCTTACTCTCTTCCATTACTTTGTGGTGGAAACTCTTTTGATACCTTCCATGTTGTGGGGAGCGTCAAGGACTACATTTTTCTCTCTGAAAGCATTCACCTTCTTCACACCTGAGTCAAGTGAACACATGGATTTGTAGTATCTATGTGGAGTGATGTGGTCATTGATTCTATTCTGTAGAACTTCTGCCATTCAAAGGGTGACCCTTATGCTTTGTTGAAACCTCTCGTTGAAACCTGTCCACAGCCAAATCCCAGAACCTGTATTATTCATTCTTTTTGACCTTCCTAGCCATTGTTAGCAAATGTACTTTTCTTTAATTTCCTGTCACATCTCCATCCTCTTCTGGTTCTCACCTTTTCTTTGTTTCTTCGCAGCAGCAACTGGATGATCACTCTCACTTTTATAGATTTTTGTAGATTTCTCTGGATTTCGCAGGGTTATGTTTTCAGTCTCTTAACCTCCCCCCACCTGCACTTTTTTAATATAGTCCCATTAGTAAGCAAATTTGATTCCCATGCTCATTGATAACTCAGAGTTTAACAGTACCAACATCATCTCCTGCTGTCCAAATTAAAAATCCCCTTATCTCTCTGACAATTTTAGAGGATAAAACAGCTGCAAAAATTATTTCCTTCATGTTCAGGAAGAGAGTGCGTGCAAGTGCACACACATGCACATGAGTATTTATGTAGCAAGAAGCAGTTACTTCCTTACAGAAGTTACAGTCCATGTACTCTTGCTATTCAGCTATTGCTAGTGTTCCTGGCATTGTGCACACAAGAAAGTGCTGTGCTACCTCTCCTGAGGGACTTGCACTCTGTGGGAATGAGTAAAGGCTACCTTAGAAATCAAATTCAGAAGAGTGTTAGTAAATTTTCACTGTAGGGTTTTTGCTTTCCTTAGTTTGTACAATACTATCACTTATAGGGGAAAATTACACTAATTTTCCTGCTGCTGTGACATTGGTGCTCTCATCCATGTCACTGTTTCATTGTTAGAGGGGAAGGATTAAAGCCTTTTCTGCTAGGCAACCCCTACTTGACAGCTGCAAATAGAATTGTGAAAATGAAGATGTGAGGGTTTGGTTCAGAAAAGGAATCACATCCTAGATTGGTGGTAAAACAGACTCTCTGAAACTTCCATTAAATGCTTTAAAGTGTCAGTATGGCTGTAAAATGCCTCATTGAAGAGGAATTGCTGTTCTTCCATCCAATTTTTCCTGATCCATAAGCCTATATCCTATGTTTATACTGCTAACTTAACACAGACTGAGATCTATAGAGGTTATTTAATGGAGTAGACTGTATTTTTCTTGTCATTGAAGTTCTCCACATTAGTGGCTTTTATTGATCCAAACATCATCTGCTGTGCTCATGTCTTCAGATTGCAGATCACACCAATATGTGATTTGAAAGGTAAACTGGTGGGATTCATGCTTTCTTGGCACAGCACAGTACCGAAACAGACACTCCTAATGTATTTAAAACCTCAACGGCTAATAATGCCATAGTTCTTTCCATGTATGTGAAATGCAGAATTTCTATTGAGATGAAGTATTTCCAGTTTGGAATTCCTTTTAAAGTGCATGCACATGTTTAAAACAGGCTGTACAGATAATTTGGTGATAGATTTTGTGGGAGTAACAGATGCAGTATTCTCACTTAGCAGAAGAAAATAAGGCTAACTACATTTTTTTTTTAATCTTTTCCCAGCAAAAAGCCAGAGATAATAGAGCTGCTTTGCGCATCAATAAAGTACAGATGTCAAATGACTCCATGAAAAGGCAGCAGCAACAGGATAGCATCGATCCTAGCTCACGCATCGACTCTGACCTCTTTAAAGATCCATTAAAACAGAGGGAATCAGAACATGAGCAGGAATGGAAATTCAGACAGGTGTGTTGCATTTAGGGTGTTTTGTTATTTTTCTTCCAGCTTTTTGTTGCATAGTTAGAATCTGTTGTAATAAAATCAGTTTTAATCTTTCTTTACAGAAGAGTATAAAGTCAGCCATTCTGCATAGGAGGGAAACATGCTATCAGAAGAGAAGCTGCTTGTAAATGTTAGAAAACCTTGTTTTAAAACTTTGACTCTTATATCCTACCTATTATGGAAATAGCTTGTTCTTTCTCTGTACGGCTGGATAGTGCAGCAGTTTGGTTTTGTATACCCTATATTGTGGGAACCTTGTCCTGCACACTGCTGCTTTAAATTGGGCCGGTTGTCTCTTGGACCCCATTTGCCTCACATCAGTGCTGCATCTGTCAGTAACCTTTCGTGTTCAGAGTACAAGGTTGGAAAGTAGTGCTGCTCTTTAGGCAGCCTGGGAAATGCTTCTTCCCGGGCAGTTGAGGTGCATGTCAGGGTAATTGGACTTTACAAATAGGTAGATCCTCCGCTCCCATTGCATTTAAAATTCGCAATTTACTGTTATTTATAATTGATCTTTGATGTGTCCTAAAGTTTTAATTATAGATTTAGTTATCAGAAAGATTTCGTATACTCTGAACTTAGAGGTGTAACTTTTTTCCTCATAATTTTAAAACAGCAAATGCGGCAAAAAAGTAAGCAGCAAGCCAAAATAGAAGCCACACAGAAGCTTGAACAAGTGAAAAATGAGCAGCAGCAACAACAGCAGCAGCAGCAACAGCAGCAGCAGCAGTTTGGTTCTCAGCAGCTTCTGAACCAGCCTGGCTCAGACACACCTAACAGTGGGATTCAGAGCCCCTTAACGCCCCAGACTGGCAACGGAAGTATGTCTCCTGCACAACAGACGTTCCATAAGGATCTATTTACAAAGCAGCAGCTACCTGCTACGCCTACGTCAGCATCCTCAGATGATGTGTTCCTAAAACCACAAGCCCCTCCCCCTACTCCCACCCGAATCTCTGTACACGATTCACTGTCTCAGACTCCTCAGACATCATCACAACAGATGTTTTCTCCAGGTTCCACAAACACAAGACCTCCTTCTCCAATGGATCCATATGCTAAAATGGTGGGAACACCTAGACCAGCACCCATTAACCAAAACTTTGTTAGAAGAAATACCATTGCCCCGTTGGATACCTGTGCACCACAGTCATCCATATCTAGGCCCATTCAGGTAACTGAACCATCGGGAAGCAGGCCTTCACCAGTCAGGGATTCGTGTTCTTCATCTCCAGGTAGCAGTGATCCCTATGCAAAGCCACCAGACACACCCAGGCCTGTCATAGCATCAGAGCAGTTCTCCAAACCGTTGGGGGTCCCAAGATCGCCCGTAGTTATGGAGCAGTCAGGGAAGGTTCCTTTAACAGCAGGAAGCAGTGATCCGTTTACTAAGCCGGCTCCTAGAACTGATACGTTTCAGAGACAGAGAGTCACTTCTGCTGATGCCTATGCACGGCCACCGTTGACTCCTACTCCTGCTCCTGTTGATGGTAGCCCTGGACCTTTTAAAACGCCTATGCGCCCACCTCAGTCTCCGCAAGATCCTTATGCATCAATGCCAGCTACCCCAAGGCGCGTTGCTGTTGATCCATATGAAAGGCCCGCTTTGACACCAAGGCCAGTGGATAACTTTTCCCATAACCAGCCTAATGATCCATATAGCCAGCCTCCCCTCACTCCCCATCCTGCAATAAAGGAGACTTTTGCCCATCCACCCCGGATAGTGCGACAACAGAGTGATTCTTTCCCTCAGTCTGGACCCATTTCAAGGCCAGCTTCTCAGGACCCTTACTCCCAGCCTCCAGGTACTCCTCGGCCAGTTGCTGATCCTTATGCCCAGCCTCCAGGAACTCCTCGGCCCACCACAGTTGATCCATATATGCAGCAACCACCGACACCAAGACCTGCTCAGCCAGCAGATTTATTTGCTCAGTCCCCAGCAAATCAGAGACATTCTGATCCATATGCCCAACCTCCTGGAACACCAAGGCCAGTTCTCAATGATCCTTATTCTCAGCAACCAGCAACTCCAAGGCCAGGGATTCCAGAGAGTTTTAACAGACCTGCAATGACAAGACCAGGACTAATACCAAATAGAGATCCTTTCCTGCAGACACCACAGAGCAGGTTGCAGGGCACTTTTGTCAGGCCATCAGATCCATGTTCTCAAACTCCCAGACCTGCAGGACCTGCAATAACGGATTCATTTAGCCATGGTCCAGCTACTCCAGCACGTGACCCATATGATCAACCACCGATGACTCCAAGACCTCAGCCAGAATCTTTTGGAACTGGACAACTGGCCCATGATGCTGCTGAGCAGCCACGGCCGGGATCTGAGGGCAACTTCAACGCATCTGGAAATTCTCCAATGAGTTCTCAAGGACAACAGTTTCCCAAAGTTTCACAAGTTCCTGGCCCAGCACCCACTACAGGAGTAACAGATACACAGAATACCATGAATATGTCTCAGGCAGATACTGAGAAGTTAAGACAGGTGAGAATATTGTTTAATACTGATGGTATTAAAATTTCATAACTAGAAGAATTTTTTCCATTCTTGTTAATATTTGAAGTTTCTTGCCATTAAAACATAGCTATATAATGTAGAATTATTTTTATTCACTTATATATGTTGATTTGGTCCTCCTGGATAGAACCACAATACGTAGACTATAGAAACATCAGTAATTTTTAAGGAGTTTGGACAAGATCCAAAAAGGAAGAAAAGGCCGTCTTTGAAGCCACTCAAGGTGTAGGTCATTGGTCTGTAATAGCTCTTTTATCTCTGTGTGAGGGGAAAAAACACAGCTTGAAAAGACAATTAATTCTATCCTATAATAGATGAGATGTAGAAGTGATGGTTCAGTGACTTGTTCACTGACTGAAAAAGGGAGCATGTACAAAGATCTCAGACTAGACATCTAACTTTTCAGTTGGCCGACATATTGAGGTGAATCCTACTATTGGGCACTGCTATTCTTGCAGCACATTCACTCCAGGTTTTTGTCAGTGAAGGTTTGGCAAGCAGCTCTTGCTGAGACATAGAATTACATTCAGATTGTGAAAAGCTGCTCAGTCTTTTATTTGGAAGGAGCAATGGGAAGTGAATTTAGTGGAAAAATCGGTAGTATTTATCATACAGAGTCAGAGTGAATATTGCAACTTTGGTGTAAACCTCTTGCTGAATTTTCTTCAGTGGACCTCTGGTCACCCTTCTTCGTCAGAATGCACTTTTTCATGTGGTAAAAGGATCCTGCATTATTGCAATAGGAAAAGGAAAGTAGAGTTTCTTGTATGCTAATTGGTAAGATGGATTCACACTCTACACTTTAACGAGAGGCCTGGAGATTAAGTTGCGTTACCAGCATCTTGCACTGTTTGATCCCTCTTCTGATTTCTGAGGTGATTATGGTAGTTTATAATATTTTTCTGTAGAGATTGAAGAATTTCTCTGCTCCAAAAGGCTTAACCTAGCAGAGCGTAACACTTCAAAATACGTCAATTGCAATGTCACGCACAATGATTTATTTCTTTTTAAACAGCGCCAGAAATTACGTGAAATTATTCTACAGCAACAGCAGCAGAAGAAGAATGCAGTTCGTCAGGAAAAAGCCTTGCAGGATGCAGCAGCTCCTCCCCATGCAACTCCCCTTCAGCACTGGCAGCAAGACAACTTAAATCAAATTTTTAACCGCCCTCCTCCTCCGTATCCTGGGAATATTAGGTCCTCTGTTGTCCCTCCAGGTGGGCCAAGGTTCACCGTATACACAAAAGACCAGCGTGGACCATTTCCTGCTGATGGGCAGTTCAACAGACCCCAGTTTCCAGGTGATATGAGTGCCATGGGGATGAGACCTCATGGTCTTAGGTAAGCTCTTTGATCTCTTAAAATCAGGATATTACAGGGGTAGTTCTACATTTACAGAAGTTGCTAGATAAAGGTGGGTTTTTTTGATGCAAAAGCATCTGTGTTGTCTACAGTAGCTGGTGTAATCTTCCTGAAGTCAGTATGTACAGTGAGTTTTCCTGTAAGCATTTGTAACATTAGAAGGTGTATTTTACACTAACACTGTTTTACACTTTCTTTTATTGGAAACTAATCAGAAATAAAAATGGAGAAACTGCAGTACTTGGGGAGGTTATGAGAGCTGAAAGATCTTGTCACCCATGGTTTTGGGACATTTCTGTTTTTTAAAAAAAAGTGAAAGGTCTGACCTTTCGATGTCTTAATAAGGAATAAATATTATTTTCATTTATAATGAATATATAATCAAACGTCAACTTCTGTCTGTGCCATTTTTACAGTGAATGCTGTGATGTAAAATGAATACCAGTACTGACATACATTGTCATCTCAGGAATTATTGTTTTCAATATTTCTCATTTTAGTAATTTCTAAATCTACACTTTTATTTTTTACACTAAGTTGCATTAACATGTAGTTTATTTACTAAGATAGTTCTTACTGTCAGAGTTTTCTATCCATTATTGGAATTGAAAACAGGTTGTTTATTAAACATAATTAAAGCAATTATTTTATTGTAGTCATAAAGTTCATTTAAATGGAAGCATAATTAGTCAAAATATTTATTTAAATATCTTAATGAATGCATCATGTAAAGCATTTTGGTGAATAGTTATTTAGTCAAATATGCCAGACCTAGGCAGTTATTTAGTCCTTCATACTTTATTTTAGGTATGCATTTCCAGGAGGTGGCCATGTTCCACCATCAGGTCAAGAACGTTTCCTTGGTCCTCAGCAGCCAATGCAACGCCCTGGAGTTCCACCACAGCTGAGAAGATCTCTGTCTATTGATATGCCTCGGCCAGTGAGCAATCCACAAATAAGTAATACTTCTGGAATCTCTCAACATTTTCCTCCACAGGGAATTCCAGTTCAGCAGCACAATATACTGGGTCAGGCATTTATTGAGTTACGTCACAGAGCTCCTGATGGGAGGCCAAGGCTACCTTTTAATCCTTCTGCTGCAAATGTTATGGATGCAGCAGCACAACACCAGCGACATGCAGGGTTTATACCGAGGCAGGAGTTTCCAGGCCCAAGACAGGCAGAACCACTGAGGCATAATTCTCAAGGTATACCTAACCAGTTGCAGATGTCTACAAGTTTGGAGCATATGTCACAATCCCAGCAGGATCAAATCAATCCTGACAACCCGCCTGCACTTGTAATACGTTCTCTAAGTCACCCAACAGTTGCCGATGCATTCCCAGGACCGTCTTTGTCTACATCTGCACCAAGTGATGAATCTGCAAATTTACAGATTCCCAACCAGCCAAGTGATGGTCTAGAAGAAAAGCTTGATCCTGATGATCCTGCCGTAAAAGATTTGGATGTGAAAGACCTTGATGGGGTTGAAGTCAAGGATTTAGATGATGAGGATCTGGAAAATTTGAATCTAGACACAGAGGATGGGAAAGGAGATGAACTGGACACTTTAGATAATTTGGAAACCAATGATCCGCACCTTGATGATCTTCTAAGATCTGGGGAATTTGATATAATTGCATACACAGACCCAGACCTTGATGTGGGAGATAAGAAAGGAATGTTTAATGAAGAACTAGATCTTAGTGTCCCCATTGATGACAAACTAGATATCCAGAGCAAGACAGAAGAACCAAAACAAAAAGAACAAGGTGATAGAACTGTTTCCCCTCCTGAGACCCAGTCTCCAAAGAAGAAATCTACAGAAAATGAAATTAAAACAGAAGTACTTTCCCCAAACACTCAGGAGGAAAAGAAGAGTGAAAATGAAAAAAGTGATGGAAATGTTGAATCCACAAGTACTCAACAGGCTGCTGAAACGGAGTTAAAGGATGGAGAAAAGGCTCCTGCACAGCCTGCTAACCCAGAATTCCCTGACAAAACTACTGCTGTTCCTAGTCAAGAAACAACTGTGCCTAGTCCAGATGCTCAGGGATCTGCTTCACTGCCTGCTCAAGGAGCAGCAAGTTCCTGCAGTATTTCTGGGTCCACACCAGTCCTCTCAAGTTTGCTAGCTAATGAAAGCTCAGATAATGCTGAAGCAAGGACTCTAGGATCTCCATCTCAGTCTTTACCAACACCACAAATGAACCATGCATCAGGTATTCCACAAACACTAATGACACCTGGTGGACAGATCTTGGAAAACACTTTAAATTCAAATTTGACCATGGTTCCACGAATGAACCATAATTTTTCTCAAGGGTCACCAAATCCAGGATTTATTCAGGGTCAATCATCTAATCATAACTTTGGGACGGGACAGACATCTAATCAAACTGTGGCTGTAACAAACCGTCCTGGTCCTAGTGGCATATCTGGTCCCCAACAGATAATGCTCCCTCAACCATTAGCTCAACAACAAAATCGAGAGAGACCGCTTCTGCTAGAGGAACAGCCACTTCTTCTGCAGGACCTTTTGGATCAAGAAAGACAGGAGCAGCAGCAGCAGCGACAGATGCAGGCCATGATTCGCCAACGTTCAGAGCCATTTTTCCCCAATATCGGTATGTGGGTGATATATTTGTCTGTGTTCTGGTTAGTTTTTTAAAAATACAACAGTAAATAGTTAAATAATCCATAGCACTGAAAGAAGCAGGTAGGTGCTTGGAGCTTGAAGGTGGCATAACAAAAATAACCTGCCTAGTAGGTACAATGGGAGTATGGAAATTCTGAAATCCGTGGCAAGGCTTCCGTTGACATTACCAGGATCAGGGTAACTCTGCATTACTCCTTATTTTTCTGACATCAGCTCTGGCACATATTCTCTTTATACTTTAGGTTTTCATATGCGATACAGAGTAAATGCACCCTTTGTAAACAAATGATCAAGTGCAACAGCTGACTGTGATATTTGATCTATCAATTTTCTGTTTATGGTTGTTTAATTACATACTTTTGCGGTGTTTAGTGTGTCTCAAGGAAAGGGATCATCAAAAGCTGTATTACTCACTCATAATCTAGGCAAGGCCCGGAAACATCACGAATAATCCTGCATATACTAGAAGTGTTTAAGATATATTAAATAGGAGGTGACAGTTTAGGATAGCGGTTTGAGCATTCACATCAAGACCATCACTATCACTTAATTGTTATTAATGAAATATGAAATTTTGTGAAAAGTATTAGTTGTACCTGCACCGGCCATCAAGGCTGTTTGTTCAGAAGACAAATTTAACCTACTCCCTACGTCACAGTTCCATATTTGTAGTGTGACTAGAATGGGCTGCAGCCACCCTAGTTGGCTAAGATGACCTCACTGGTTCTGTACACCCATTTATCCTGCTCGGCGCAAGGCATCTAATGGAAGAGACAGCAGAAAGGCAGTGTTCACCACGCTTATGGTCTTTTCAGAAGCTGTATGGAGCATGTGCTTCCTTGCTTGTAGTGCTACTGGTAGTGAGCAGAGCAGCTAAGCCATTTTCTTAGTACATTAGCGATGGTGTGTCAGTTTTACCACCTAAACTCACAGAAACAACTCTTCTTATGGATTCTTAAACCTGTAAATAGAATTTATTAATCTGTTAGGTCATAAGCTGAATTTGGTTTTAGAGCCCTTTGAAGACTGACCTGCTTTCTTTGTATGCTGTGGCTGAAAACAAAGACAGTTGCTGCTGGAGTAACTTTTCTTAGAGTGTCTATGAAACTACATATTAACCATGAATTTCAAAGTGGAGACGACAAGTAATGTGAAATAGTAATGTAATTATGTTGTTTCACTGATGATTTATGCATGAATTAGATCTAAACAAGTCAATTCCAGTTAATAACTTGTTCAGCTATGTAATTCACTTTTACCGTTTTTCTTTTATAGACTTTGATGCAATTACTGATCCCATAATGAAAGCAAAAATGGTAGCTCTTAAGGGGATCAATAAAGTCATGGCTCAGAGTAACATGGGGATGCCACCGATGGTTATGAACAGGTAGGCAACACTTGATACTGTTCTTTAGGGCTGCCAAATGTAAAAGAAAGTGATAGAGCACAGGAAATGAAAAAAATTAAAAGTGAAAAAAGATCTTTTTGTCATGTAGTTCACAGTGCATGCTAATACAAGATTATCTCTTAAGAATAAAACTGGTGTGGCAGTAGAAACTATAAAAAATACTAAAACGCATCAGACGTGTGTTCCAGTTGTGATGTCGTTGGACTACATGGCTTCACTGCTGATGCTTTTCTTGTTTTCCCACTTACTAATTATGTAATGACACATCTGCCATCCGTTGTGTTTGAAAACTGCTGATGGCCATGAAACAGTTAAACTCCATGTTACAGCATATCGTTTGATGCTAAGTATAGTTAAGATTTAACCCAAGTAATGGAAGTTTCATCGTCTCTTTAAATCCGTTCTGAGAACAACAGGAGCTCTGAACTGTGCACACTTCACCATGACTGCTTTAACCATAGGTGGGGAGCCTATGGGCCAGGAAGGATCTGCACTTTTTCTTTTTACGTGTCCATTAAAAAGGTGCATCTTCTCCTCCCTAACACATACTTCAGTGTTATATGATAATACATAGCTTACCAGAGGTGTACATTTACCCAACTCTAGTTGACTGTGCTGGTGAGCATGATATCTTAATTTCTTAACTCTTTTTTTTTTTTTTTTGTATCATAATATATTAAAATAGAAATACAGATACTTTTTTTTTTTTGTGCATCTTCACTGTTTTCGCACAATGCATCATGTTTACTTCATCTCTCTGAGGAGTGTAAAATGCAATAGTTTCAACCAAGGGCAAAGTGTTGTAGCATCAAATGAGAATTAATGTTCTCCAGACGCTGAAAAAATTTGGTACAGAAGTTCAAGCAAACATCTATAAAATATTTGGATGCTTTGTATAAGTTTGATGTAATACAAAAGACTGTCTCTCCCCTAAAATATCCACTAGTTCTAAAGGTTATAGTTTTAAAGGTTATAATTTCACTTTCTGTATATGTATCAATAGGTTTCCTTTTATGGGTCAGCCAGTGCCAGGGGCTCAGACCAGTGAAGGCCAAAATCATATGCAACAGGCAATTACACAGGTAATACAACTCGATACGGGCTTTAAACAAAAGTGTTTAATGATTGATAACCAGTTTTTGTTTTTTCAATTGAATCATGATTTAATGTTCTTGTCTATATGTTTTACTGAAATTTCTAGGATGGAAGTTTGACGCCTCAGATTTCTAGACCTAATCCTCCCAACTTTGGTCCTGGTTTTGTCAGTAAGTACAGATTTAATAATTTATTGTATGTTGATGTTTCATTCTACTGTTCTGTTTTCTTTAAAATAGAATATCCATAAGTGGATCCTGTCTCTCAAAAATTCATCCTTTTAAAATTGAGTTATTTCATCATTATGATACCAATGAATAAAGGGGTGCATAGTAAATGCCATTACCATTTTTTTCTAGAAGGTATCCTCAAAGAGACACCATAAAGAAAGAGGGAAACAGAACAAACAGAAAATTAGCATTATTTGGATTTGTGTGAGAATAGTAATCTATTAACTGACAGACTGCTGTGTCAAAAATCTGGTCTTCGGTTGTGTTGTAATATTCAGAGCTCAGTGAGAACAACAATCTATATTTATGGTTGTTTTTTTTTATTTCAGAAACAAAAAGTTTCGTGCGGCATCATTGTCGTTTTAAGAAATACCAATAAAAGGTTTCCAGGCATTAGTTAAGCAAGACTGGCTGGGAACCGCAGTTGTTGAAAGCAGAAACATACAGCACTAGTATTTTGCATTCCTTGTTTCTGGTTGCCCTAGAAAAATTGTAAATCCTAGTCTCTGTGATGAGAAAGATTTATTAGCAGAAAAACGGAGCATGTGTTGGGAGAGAAAGACCACATGTAAAAAAGTGTTTCTGTCACTACAAAAACTTGTCTTGATATTTATGACTAAGAAACAGAAGTAAATACCTTCACCTTTTCCAGAAACTGGAGTTAGCAGCACTGAGTATGCAATAAGGAGCTTTTGCCATATTATCTGTATTAACTTCTGGTGAGATTTGACATGGCACTCAGCGGTGGCCTCACTCTGGTTGGGGGGGTGGTGGTTCTGAGCACTTGAGAAAATCTGTTTCTCATTTCACTAGTAGTTATTCTTACCTGGAACTTGTTTATATTTCATTGCTTTCATTTGCATTTTCATGTTGCTCCCATCTGCAGTTACTCTCCATAGTTTCTGCTCAACTGTCCCTTCAGGTTATGTGATAAATTCTGCAAAATTTATTGTTGAAAGAATGAGCACCCCTCGAGACTGTAGCTAGCTCTGTGTATTGATTTAGTTGAGTCATTAGAGTCGATGGCTGTTGCTACCACAGTGACTGTTACTGTAGAAAGTGGAGCACAAGCAGGACATGGTTATGTTGAGATCGTACTGCTGTGTAGGTATCTTCACTAAACAAACTTTCTTTACAAGGAGGATCCATGCCATGTTCCTGGTTACCCAGCTCATTGCCACAGTGCAATCAGGAGACAACTGATACCATCACCAAAGCTCTCTTGCCTTCTGGGCTTAGGGCAGATCAAGTGTTACCAGACGTTATTGTTTTGCCTTGAGAAGAACATTTGAGAGCAATGGACTGCTCATAGCAAATGAGCATTTCTCATTTGTAAAAAGAGTAATGGTCTCAGTTACAATCTAAATGAGAGTGTATTTGTTAGTGGGGAGGAAGAGGCACTGGTGCTGAAGGCCCTGTGAGGAGGACTGACAGCTGTTTTTACAAAGACAGCATCTTCCTTTCCTTTCATGAATATTTGGTGGATGTTTATCATTTTAATTTTTTTCATAGAAGTAGTAATAAAAATAGATTTTATATGTACAAAACACTTCTGCAAACACCAGAATTAATGAGGCAGTGTTTGCTGTAAATTTGTGTCCACAGTCCCTAATCTCTTTCCCTCTACCTGAGTACTTCCAGAGGTCTTCCATTCCCCTCTTCTGTGGCAGAGCAGGGTACCACCACGTTCTGCAGCTGCTTCCAAAACTGCGTTTCTTCACTGACTAGCAAGTGCACATTTACTGGCCAGACATCAGGCCAGTTCCCTTGAAATTAAGGGACTATGTTAAAGCTGCTTTCTCTCAATGAATGCAATACTTTGGATCTCTGTCTCCCTTACTCAGATCACTCCAGGAGCTTAATATCTCTCAAGATACCAAATCCGCAGTCAAATTTAGCTGAACTTGACCAGTGGTTTCTTAAAATAAGGGGGGAACCTGATTGTTAAACTTCATCTCTAAAAAGTAGGATGAGAGCCCATCCCCAGGATGAGCTTGTATCATACTTAATTTCCCTTCTCTCTAGATGATTCACAAAGAAAGCAATACGAAGAATGGCTGCAAGAAACACAGCAACTTCTTCAAATGCAACAGAAGTACCTTGAGGAGCAAATCGGAGCACACAGAAAATCAAAAAAGGCACTCTCAGCAAAACAGCGTACAGCCAAGAAAGCTGGCCGCGAGTTCCCAGAAGAAGATGCAGAACAGCTTAAACATGTTACTGAGCAGCAAAGTATGGTCCAAAAACAGCTAGAACAGGTAATCGACTGAATCCAAAGTGATCATCTTAATACTAAGTTGTCATACTGATATGATTCTTTCCTTTAAATCTAGTTGAAATGCATGAATATAGTGCAGCTTATTTAAAGGGAGCCACTCCCTATCATACTTTGTGTGTGTAACAGCATTACTCTGGATTGCCAGTGGCACTGGAGTTGTAGGAGAATATGCGATGGCAAACATTATGATGAAAAGCTGGTTTAGTACTTTGGGAAGAGGGGAAATTGCTTGGCAAAATGACTTGCAGTGGAGTTCCTGGCACCGTGAAAAGCATAAATGAAAGATTCAGAGGAAAGGCTTAGCATGCAGGGCTTTGTTTCAGTCTTGAACGAACCTCATAACTTGATCTTTTTCAGGTGTCCTTACATAATTAGAACCTCTTGGTTATATGCCAGTTAAATGTTACTGTTTGAAAATCTTTTCATTATATCTTTAATGTTAGTCTAGTTGTATGATTGGTCTAGTTCCTAGATGCTGATCATCGATATGTGTTAGCTGTTCCTGTATCATGGAATAATACAGGTCAAAGGGATATCTGGAGATCATCTAGTTCACTGATGAAAGCAGAACTAACTTCCCAGTTAAATCAGGTTGCTCAGCACCTTGTCATTCAAGTTTTGTGAGTCTCCAAGGGCGGAGATTTCCCAGCCTCTCTGGGTCCCTGTTCCAATGTGTAATCACTTTCACTGGGTTTTGGTTTTCTTTCTGTATATTCAGTTGGAATTTCACTTGCTACATCTTTTAACTGTGATTATAGTGAGAATAAAATTAAACCTGTGATAGCTTTGATAAATCTATGCTTTGGCCAACAGTGTTGAATGCTGTGTTCCAAAAGATGTTGATTATAAATTATCTGGTGTGATTGTCAGGATCAGCTAGATCTGCTGAACATAAAAATGCTTTAGAATTATCCTTCATTAATCTGAGGGGAAAAATTGGCAGCAGGCTGCCTGGAATGAAGTCCTAAGTGTGATACCAGACCCTCAAGTTCTTGCTCCTGTGCTGCTTCAAGACAAAGTATGCACTGGGTGGAATATTAGTTGCCTCGTCTTTTCACTATGTGGAAGAGGGATGAAGCAGATAAATTATGTCTACATCATTTCTTCTTTTTTCTTTTTTTCCCTTCCACAATGAATCACTAGTAGAATAAATGCAAAAGACTTTCACTTTAGCCAATCTTTATTGTACCTACATCAGTCTAGTCTTATTGTGGAGTTACGTTAAAGTAACAGCTGCTAATCATGACATTGCTGGCAGGTTCATTTAATGTCCCATAATTAAGGTTCTTTTATTTTTAATTTTTAAACTTCAGTTTCATATACTGATGGTAAATGTCCTCCATTCCCCTTCAACCACTGATTTAGACCAGTCATCCACATCCTAACCAGCGCTTTGTTACATACCTAGTAGGAGCTTAAATAAGGTTTTATTAAAGTATGTTTTTAAGGACCTTCTATTTGAAGCAGTTCACCACTCTTTCACATCCGATCAAGTAATTTTTCTGTAATCAAGCTTCCGTTAGTTTTTGAAAAGGGCAAAGCCTCTATACGTATATCTAGAGAAAAGAGCTCTCAAATCCCTGTGAGTTGCTGGTCCTGGACACAGGCGCAGAGAAACCAGAGCTGACTTTGTGCAACACGAGCTTATGTCTGACAGGGTTATTAGCTCAGGCACAGAGCCATGCAGACACTACCATATTGTCTCTGCGGCCAGGGCAGTTTAACTGCTTTGGTGTGGCACTGTGCCTGTGCTAATAAGCTCTGCCTTGTTCTCCCCTACACTGTTAAAATCACCGGGTCGATCTGTGCAGGTTGGCTCAGGTCCAGCTGGGTGTAGTCAGTGCCGGTCCTTTGAGATCAAGACTCATTCCAAGTACAGTCACGCGGCTGGTCTGCCACTGCGGATCCTGGGTGGGCATACTGGGTTGGATGTCTCCCTGCATAGGCATACAGAGCCAACACGGTGCTCTCTGCCCACGGAGCAGTCCTGGAGCACCGGGCCGTGCGGTGCAGATCCATCCAGTTGGTAGCTTTACGCAGTGGCACTGTTTATCTGGAGGTGTGGGTGCCAAGCCAGAGCTCAAAAATCATCTTGGACCTGAGATTACTGTGTAAATAGCCTTTTGGGTGCATCTGTCCTGCATTCTGGAGTGTATCCTGTAATATCTCTGTTATCGTGAGCTTTCTGGCTTGTCCCTTGCCTCAGACAAAGGAGAGTGCTATCAAACATTTTTAGTTATGTTACGGACTTTTTCCATCAGTATGAACAGCACATGGAATTTGTGGAAGTCATAATCTAATGAATAAAAGTGAGAGAGATATTTTCCATAATGTATGTATTATTAGCTAGTGGATTACAAGTCCTGTTATTTTTTTTAGAGAGCAGTGTAGTTAGGTATCTGTTGTGTTTATGAAATGCTCACTCTTGTCTGGTTGACATTGTCATATCCTTCCCATTGGCTTCTCGTGCTTGCCTTAAAAATAAACCACTAGGCTTAACTTCTAGTGTCCAGGTCGAGTTTATTTTCATCCTAAATTATAAAATTTTCAAGCAGGAGTTGCCATTTTCATCTGCCGTGTGATGGTTGAGGATCTGCCTGTGAATAAATGGGAATCTACCTTGCTGTTTTCCTGCAGACTTTTCTTTTTCAATTACATCTTTTAAAACTTTTTGCCCATGTGTGAAGTTAATCCATCTCGCTGTTCCCTTTTTCCTGTCTGTTCCCAGCTGTTGTTATTCTGTGCATGGATGGTAAGATCTGTAGGACAGGGCTCACTTTTGGGTTAAGTTTGTATATTCTCTAGCACAGTGCAGTCGTGGTATCTAATTAGAACTCGGAGGCACTGTTATTTCTTCTAAAATTTTGGGAAAAATAGTACTTCTAATGAAATAATGGCTATTCAGCCTTAAAAAGGGAGAGAAAATAAGATGGTACAGAAATGCTATTTTTGCGTGAGGTTCATTATCTACTGAAATTATAATGGTGAGTTACATGTTTTATGGTACTTACACAGTCAGTGCATGTCAGAAATGAATAATGACTTCTTTAATTTTTAGATTCGAAAGCAGCAGAAAGAGCATGCGGAACTAATTGAGGAATATCGAATCAAGCAGCAGCAGCAGCAGCAGTGTGGAATGGCACCCCATGCTATAATGCCAGGCGTCCAGGCTCAACCGCCAATGGTTCCTGGAGGAACATCACCAGCAATGAATCAGCAAAACTTCCCCATGGTGGCACAACAGCTCCAGCATCAGCAACATACTGTGGTAATCCCTGGGCAATCCAACCCAACCAGAATGCCAAATTTACCTGGATGGCAATCTGTAAATGCCCCTGCCGGCCACATTTCCATGAATCCAGCAAGGATGCAGCCTCCAATGACACCGTTGCCAATCACTCCCGGGACACCAGCTCCTGTGCCTGGTCCAAATGCAACTGCACAGTCAGGGCCACCGCCAAGGGTGGAGTTTGAGGACAACAACCCTTTTAGTGAAAGTTTTCAAGAGCGGGAAAGAAAGGAGCGCTTACGAGAGCAGCAGGAGCGGCAACGCATTCAGCTTATGCAGGAGGTAGATCGACAGAGGGCTTTACAGCAGAGGATGGAACTAGAACAGCATGGTATGATAGGGTCTGAATTAAATAACAAAACATCCTTATCTCAGATATCTTTCTTTAATTCTGATCTACCTTGTGATTTCATACAAACTCCGCGACCTCTTCAGCAGTCTCCACAGCATCAACAGCAACAAATGGGGCAAATTCTGCAACAAGGTTCTGTGACCTCGCCTCCTGCCACAAATTTTATGCAAAGCGGTGAGCGAAGGCCAGTGGGACCTACAGCTTTTGGACCTGATGCATCTGCTGTTCCAGGTGGAGCCCCTAATTTCCATAATGTAAAACAAACTCATGGGAATCTCCCCGGGGCTGCCTTTGCGCAGAACCAAGTGAGGCCTCCATTTGCTCCCGCTGTACCTTCATCCACAGTGCTCAGCAGTGGTGTCCCATGTGGTTCGGACACTAGTGTGCCCCAGGCAACAAACTTCCCTGGATCAAACCAGTCTCTCATACAGCTGTATTCTGACATAATCCCAGAAGAGAAAGGAAAAAAGAAAAGGACACGAAAAAAGAAAAAGGACGACGATGCTGAGTCAATAAAAGCCCCGTCAACTCCACATTCAGACATAACTGCACCATCAACTCCAACCATTTCTGATTCTACCTCCACCCCCACAGTTAACACCCCCAGTGAACTCTCACGTCATCAAGACGAGCAAGAGTCAGTGGAGTTAACGGGCCCCTCAACGTCAAACGCAGGAGAGAGCCAGGCCTCTCCAGAGCTGGAATGTCAGCTCCCCAACAGCAGCCTGCCACAGAAACAGCCGAGTGTGAATACAGAGGCTGAAAAGGCTAAAACAGATACACCTACCAGCATTCAAGAAGTTAAACTAGAAAAGGCAGAAACTGATCAGTGCTTGGGTCAAGCTGAGCCTAAACCAGAAAATCCAAGCACTATTAAGGTGGAAGAAGACAAGGTGGCATCACAGCCTGCCTCTTCAGCTCAGAGTCCAGCGCAACCAGCCAGCGTTCCGGCAGCGAAAGGGGAGTCAGGGAACGAACTGCTGAAACACCTGCTTAAAAATAAAAAGTCCTCATCTCTTCTCAATCAGAAATCGGAGAACAGCGGCCGAACAGAAGAGGAGGCTTCTGGGGATAAGAAACTAACAGAGAAGCAGAATCCAGCTGAAGGAATGGTGAGCTTGTTACTGGTTTTGTTGTACAGTGGTCATCAGGAATCAAAGGCTGGTTTGTGCCTTTACCGCAGGCGTTTGTGGAATGGTGGGGAGATAGCCTACCTGCACAAGGGTGGAATAAATGGCTTTAAGGAATTTTTACTTCCCTTCCTGCCTTTTCTCCATGAGTAAATCATCTGTGTTACAAAACCAACAAATTTGAATGTGACTTCATAGATGAATGTATTCAGAAATTATTAAAGTATAAAAAATAGCTTTTCTATAGATACTCATCTTTAAAAATGCCACTTCCTAATATTTACCAAAATTAAGGCAAGATTTTACAGTATGACTCTTAATTACCTGCTGGTATGTTTCTGTACAATATACTGTATGTCTGTATGCTGCTTTCTTCAGTGACTCCACCTCACTCAGGTATAGGATGACCTGTGTGCCTCTGCGGGGGCATAGGGCTGGGCTTCACACCCCTTCATCTGCACCATTCGGAGTGTTCTGTCAATAAACTAAGTCCATGCTTGGTTTTTGCCTGTAAAAATCATATATTGTCTCTCATTTTAATAGAGACTATGATCTGTGATTTTCATCAAAACTGTGAAACTGTTAAATCTCCTAAAATTGCTGGATTTCAGTGTTGCAGAATATTTCTCCAATTAATTTTACTTGAATGGAAGGAAGCATTAACTTTTTATATTAGTGACATTATATGGTTTAATAATTTATAAGATTCTTAAAAACAGACCTAAAGAAAATTGCTTTCTGTGGAGGTAGGATAAACTTTATACTTAGATTAGTTGGTTGTTTTATTGTAATCTTTAATCTCTACTCAGTTTTGGTTTATGACTGCCTAAACTCTAAAGACATCCTTGAAACCAAATTTAAACACATTCAAAATTAATGAAGGCTGATAAAAATAAAGGTAATTGTGAGTGACAGGTAACTTAGGTAAGTGTTAAAGATCCACAGTTAAAACATACATGACAGGGATAGTGGTGACAGTGCTTGTAGAGCTGTTCAAAATAATAATTGATGAAAAGAGATTAGACTTGCTTTTGGCTTGCCACTGTCGGTTGCATTACCAAGTCCCATTCTGATTGCTTTTACACAACTATCCTTTTATGTGAAGAATGGCTTTGCAAATCCATACTGAAAATATTTGAGGAAATGATACCATCCAGAAGTGTTTCACAATACTGTTTTTGTTTCTAAGCTCAAAATATATTTGTATTATATTAACTTATATGCCTTTTTTCTGTAACCAACTTTGTCTTTCATTATGCCCCTGTGAAAATCTCTAAGGTTGCACGCACATGTAGATTTATTTTAGGGGCTATTCAGAAGAAGGTGTTTCTGGTCTGAGTTTTTAATGATGCTTTCAGGTGTCAGTGGTGTTAACAGTAAGCCGTAATTCTATGTGTAGGGACAGTGCAGCAGTTACAGTTACCAGTGAGATGGCAAAGTAAACAAACCATAAAATAGTTTGTTATCGATGAGATTTATTATACTGTGCATGTTCTTTTAGACTATCGTGCAGTAAACGTGAACGAACTAGATATTAAAAATGTCAAAAAATCTGCTTCACTTTCTTTTTTTATACCAGCAAACTGCAGGAAACCAGATGCAAAGTGCATTTGGGTGTAGTAACAGCCAGCTTCAGAGAACAGATGTAGGACCTGAAACCAAGAAACAGAGAAATAAGCGAACTCAGAGGACAGGAGAGAAGGCAGCTCCTCGGTCCAAGAAAAGAAAAAAAGAGGAAGAAGAAAAGCAAGCTATTTACCCTAACGCTGATACATTCATCCAGTTAAAACAGGTAAGTACACAGATGCTGGGTAATGCATCAAGAGGACACTTGAAAGAGTGGTCTTCTCATGATGGAAGTGAAGTTGATCATTAAGTTGAATTTTGAGTACAGGGTGGAGAAAATGAAAAATTTCACAAAACTAGGAAATTTAAAGTTTTGCCATGGAGTTCATGTCAGCTCTGGCAGCCTCAGTGGCTCAACTGGCAGGGAGGCAGAGCTGTGGCTCCAATGGACAGGGGACTGCCTTCTTTAACAAACAGAGAGGTCTGTGTTTGATGCAGTTTTCTGATAGTGGGTAAATTCCAATTATTTTTTCTAATTGGAAACCGCTCTACTGATGTTTGGAGGTTTGCAGTGCTTCTGTGTTACAATTAAATTAATTTCTAACTTTTTTTTTCGTTTACTATAGCAGCTTTCTCTTCTACCTTTGATGGAACCAATAATTGGAGTGAGCTTTGCACACTTTCTTCCCTATGGCAGTGGCCAGCTAAATGGTGGAAATCGGCTTGTAGGAAGTTTTGGTAGTGCTACTCTTGATGGGGCTTCAGATTACTACTCCCAGCTCATTTACAAGGTACAGTTTTAATCTGGATTTCCATTGTGTTCTCTCTGTATGAAAATTTCATTACATTATTCCTACGAGTTGGTTAGAGTTCCTGCCTTCTATGCAACCAGAAGACAGTAATTTTCTGTTGCTGGACTAGACAGACAGTGCAGTGGTGAAACAGTCACCATTGTTTTACTCTCTGAATGTGCAAATCCGTTCTGGAAACTGTTGTAAACTCATTAAAAACTACAGATATTCCTTTTACAAATGGATGCTAAATAGTGAAAATTGTAATTACAGTTTTATGGAGCAGAAAAAGCTGAATCCTCAGTACTTTGCGATGTCATTGAAAGCAATAAAGCATTTCTTAATACAAATTAAATGGGAAATAGACTTTCTTAATTTGTCCAATAAGCCCTAACAAAGAACCTGAGAACTCTGAACAATATAGACTGTTTGTTGATGAGCTAATAACCCACAGAATTTAAAACTCAGTCTCTGAGATCAGAGAGGCAATACTGGGAGAGCAGCAAGGTAGTGAACGGACAGAATCAAATTTGCTGCATGGCTACCCTAATACAAGAGCTTTAGTAACTTATTAAAAAACATCGGTGTTTATTCCAGCCTTACATGGCATGTGAGCTGGGAAATGTGACCTAGCAGAAATAGTTGCTGTGGTCAAAAGTGAATATTAAGTATTAGCTTTGTAGGCATAACTGCCACAAGAACAGATACTGAAGTTCTCTTTTAATTTTTGTTTAAAATATGGGCAGTTAAGTAAGCTAGTGAGAGGTAGCCCAGAGTGTGAACTTGCAGAGTATCTGCTTCTCCATGGTAACTGCTTCACTGAAAACTCATCCTGTGCTAAATGTGGGTTAGCTTCCCTTTTAGTGGAAATTGGGTAAGCTGGTTTGTTCCTGGTGATGGAGAGTCGCTGCAGAATAGCTCTCTCTGTCTTGAGTTCAGACCTCTGTAGGAACTTGTTGGGGATCCCAAACCATTCCTAAAAATGTTCTTCGTGCTTTTCTGTAAATAATTTAGGTGTATCTTCTTTTCTGTAATGTATACTCCTCATGTAAACTATTTCTCTGATAATATCATTGATATAAGCAAAGCATTGTCTTTTATAGTAGATACTTCTGTAGATTTGGTCACATACTTGAGAATTAACTATTGCTTCTTACCAGTGCTACCTCTGGGTGTAAAAATATGTGAGTGGGTTACACTGTCTAGAACAAGGCAAGTTTTCGCCTTGTGTTCTGTGGCTGATTTACGGTTCTTTCATCTCATGCAGCAGAACAATCTGAGCAATCCTCCGACACCTCCAGCCTCTCTTCCTCCCACACCACCTCCAGTGGCATGCCAGAAGTTGGTAAATGGCTTCGCAACCACTGAGGAACTTGCTGGCAAGGCTGGTATGTTAGGAGGTCATGATGGTAAGACTACTATGTATTGTTTCTGTAATAAATGAGTCAAGTTTGTAGCAAATTGCAAAATAGGTAACAGATGCTTTTCAGTTGCTATAGTCTTCTTTTATAAAAAGTATGCCTAGACTCTTCAAGGTTGTAATCATTATTATCCAGCTTTATTTTACACCAGTGTAGTGTCAAACGACAGCCTTTTCCCTGTTCCTTTTCAAAAACATGTTGAGAGCTAGAAACACTCCTAAGAAATTAAAACCTTAAAATTAATTTTTTATGGCCAGTACAAATGACTGACCAGTTACTGAGCTCAGAAGCAGTATATCCAAAATGTTTCCTTTCAGGCTCTGTGCCTTTGGTCAATCAAAATTGCTTTCTGTTAAATAATACTTTATACTGCCTCTTCATAAAGACTGGTCAGCAATTAAAATCCTTTTTTTCCCCACCCTTTTTCCTTTGCTGTTACAAAGCTGTTCATTTTTTTTTTTAAGTAAAACAGAAATCCTCTCATACTGGCAGAAGGCACACTTAAAAGCCCTTCAAGCCTTTTGTACTCAAAATTTGCAGGTTTTCATAAATACAGAGATTAATAATGAACGATCAGAAATTTTTGAACTACAAGTGGATGAGAGCATTGTTACCATCTGCTGGAATGCCTTGGTTGTATCAGGGAGCCACCAATACCCCGATACACCCTCTGTATATCAGTGGAAGAGCTGTACAGATGTCTCACTGTACTCTTCATTTCTGGTTTTAGTTACCAAAGCTCTGGGACCAAAGCAGTTCCAGTTGCCTTTCAGACCACAAGATGATTTATTAGCAAGAGCAATGGCTCAGGGCCCTAAAACTGTGGATGTTCCTGCTTCACTTCCAACACCACCTCACAACAATCAGGAGGAGTTAAGGTAGGTTTTCTCTGACATCTTGAAAAACATGGAGCAAATTGGAGCAGATTCTGTGATCTTTTAGTAGGAGATGAGACTGTGAAGGTGTGAAGAAACAAAACCCATTGCACACAGCCACACAACGCAGAGAACGTGATGGGACAAATTGTCCTGGTTAACTCTTAGCGTTCCACATGTAGAGAACAGTGTAGTGAAATACATGACCTTTGCCATTTCTAGACTAGATTCTGTTCTACTGTTCAGAATTCATTACCTTGCTCTATCAAAAGTGGAAGAAAACTATACAAATTGGTATTTTTCTTGGAGCAGCCTTGTACTGTTGCACGGTGACAGTACGTGACTGCTGTACCAGAGAGCAGGCAAGAGTCATCCTGAAAACTCTCCAGCTCTACTCAGTTTCTGTTACCGTGTGAGAAATGCTTGCTAGAATATGAGTCTCCCTACAAAGATCTTTCCTTTTGCCTCCCTTTCACTTGCCTAACCAAGAGTTGGGTGTCTTTGAAGCACTGAAGCCTGTGCATGGATGAGGGGGGATGGACCAGTGAATACACTTAAACCAGAAAGCTTAAATATTAAATACTAATTTTTTACATAGATAGATGGAGCCATGGGGAGCAGACAGCTTTATGATGGAGCCTGGGCTCTGTTAGTGTCTCTGTTTTTCTTTATATATCTTTCTTGAGAAACACCATGTGCAATAGAGTATGAGATACCCAGAAATATTTTCCTTCCACATAATCGTGTTCCATGACCAATAGCAAGAAGCAAGTTCATTATAGCTCCCTGTCATGATTTATAACTGGCTTACCAAAGGTTTTTAGACTGTTTCCAAAACAGCTTTTTTGGGTTTTGTTCCAGGGTTCAAGATCACTGTGAGGACAGGGACACTCCTGACAGCTTTGTTCCTTCTTCCTCTCCTGAAAGCGTGGTGGGAATGGAAATTAGTAGGTATCCAGACTTGTCAGTTGTAAAGGAGGAGAACCCAGAGCCTGTACCATCTCCCATCATTCCCATCCTACCTAGCAGTACTGGAAAAGGTGAGACTGCAACAGAGCGAACTGTTAGAACTAGGCTTTTCTTTTGCATTCACATGTGTGTAGGATTAACCTGCTGTATTTTGTTTTATTTTCAGGTTCGGAAGCCAAAAGGAATTATATAAAATCAGAACCCGGTTCAGGAGCGTTACCTGGTTCTGGCTTCTTTGCCTCTCAGCTTGGACCATCCCAGAATGGTCCTAAATCTGGCCTTATCTCTGTAGCAATTACTTTACATCCCACAGCTGCTGAGGTAAAACAAATAAGCTTGTATTACATATGTAAATTAAAACAGCAGTTAATATATTTTATATATAGTGAATCTGAAGGGGATATAGCATAGTACAATAAAGCAGCTGTTGCAGTCATCTAAGAATTTATATTACTGCTGTCTTAACTGCCTGTCAGATGAAAACAAAGGTACGTTTTTATTATTGTTTTTAGAACATCAGTAGCGTTGTAGCAGCATTCTCCAACCTGCTCCACGTCCGAATTCCCAACAGTTACGAGGTTAGTAACGCTCCAGATGTCCCATCCTCCATGGCAACCGCCAACAGTCACAGAGTGAACCCATCTGTGGAGTACAGGCAACACTTACTACTGCAGGGTCCTCAGGCAGGATCCATGGGACCTGCCAGGATCGTAGGGTCTTACGGACTGAAGCAACCTAATGTGCCATTTCCTGCAAACAGCAATGGTGAGTGGGCATTCAGTCTTTTCAGTTTTCAGTACCAAATTTTAACTGAGTCAGTATTAATGCATTTCAGCCTCATAAATTCATGCTCTAGAATTGAAGAATTGATTCTTGTTCTACATAATAATTTTCTTATGTGATCAGTACATGTGGACCTGCTCCTGATGGTAACCATAACTTAGTAAGTCTGATCCATCTCTGACTTCCATTATATTATCTACGTCACTGTCAGTGAGGCACCTCTTCCAGTAATTCTCCACATTATTAGGTTTTTTTTTGTCCAGTCTGATTTTAAATCCATCATTCGGAAAAATTGTTCCTATGCTGGAAAACTTGACATAGTTGTTTAAGCATGTACTCCTATGTTGGTTTAGTTACTCATTTTTTATACAAGAATGCATTTTTGCCTTACTGTTCACACAGTTGGTTTTGGTCTAGTTTAAACAATTTTCCCGTCAGGACATAATTTAAAACTTGCCTTCTACGCCCTCTCCAGGAGGATGCTACTCCTCCAGACCACTGAAGAATACTGTGCCTTCTCATAAATTTGGGTTAATCTGGTGCATCTTCTAACAGACTTACCTATTTCCTAGGTATACCTGGCTATAAGGATCACGGTCAGAATATCGCCGAAGGCTCAGCCTTGAGACCTCGGTGGTGCTCTCATTGCAAAGTTGTGGTTCTTGGTAGTGGTGTGCGGAAGTCCTTCAAAGACCTGCCTTTCCTTAAACAGGTACTGCAGTGGAAGCAGAGTTTCTTGCATGTAATGGTGGAGGAGCAAACAAAGGCAGCAAAGACTACTGATTGTCATGCCAACTGATACAGCTGCCAGGTTGCTTTGTAGTCTCCCTTCTACTCCTACGTCCTAACTCGGGATGGGACATTCAGGCACATTTGTAATGCAAATAAGAAATGTCCGAGTTGTTAATTATATAAAAAGGAATTTCAGTAGATTTCATAAAATGGGTACCATGTATGGGACCTATGGCAGCTTCCTAACCTCTGCTCCTAACCCTCTTCTGTGATCCCTTCGGGGACCTTAATTCAAAAAGAGCTTATTTGTACGGCAGCGCTGCATTGGCATGTCAGGAAGACACGAACAGTCAGTAAGAGCAAGAATACTTGTACTCTTTTTGAACTGGAATCAGATTTTAGTCTGTCTCTTGTATTTACATTAGGAACTGTCATTCCTTCAAAAAGTACCATTGCTCTTTCAGTGAGATTGAGATAATTATGCGACAAAGGTATATAGTAAAAGTTTATATACAAAAGTAATGGGTTCCTGTAGTCAGAAAAGCACTGAATTCCCAGTAATGTTTTGCAGATGGATCAGCAGATAAAACAGTATGATGTGTCTTTGATTAGGCTGAAACGAGGCATTCTTTTGCCATCTAAAGATAAAAGAAAATGGATTTTACTTTACAAGTGTGCCTATAGTGCAGATGGGTGCATCTTATAGAATGCTTTATTTTGACTGTTAAACTTCTGTTAAAGGCAGGAGATGCTGAAGAACAAGGTTGTAGGTGGTGGTAACATTCGATGACAAATAATCAAGTATTTATCACAGTATCGCTCATTATTTCACAAATGTTCTGCAAATAAAGAGTTTCTAGACAGATTGGAAGACTTGTTTCATTACACTTACTATGTGAAGAACAGTATTTAAACGTGCTCCTGATAATCTTCCATGTTTGATTCCCAGGATTCCCAAGAAGGCTCTGATAAATTGAAGGACATTGTATTCTGTAGCAACAACTGCTTTGTTCTTTATTCAGCAGCTGTGCAAGCAAAAAACTCAGAGAACAAAGTAAGTATCAAATGCTGGGAGATCCTAGTGAGCAGAAATTATTGCAGCTATTTTTTGAAGAATACAAGGGGACCGAGGGGGAAGCTTGCACTTCATTTTAGGGCTTTATAAATTAATTGCTCTATATTCAGTCTTTGAGATTCTAACCCAGCAGCCTGAAGTAAAATTCATATTTGCAGAACTTTCTGTCTGACAGGGATGCATGGCAGAACAGTAGCCACCTTTTGCTGTCCTCACAGGCTTTGCAGCTGCAGTCTCAAAAAAGCGGTCAGTTAAGTTCTCTGAGCATCGTACAAAACCATAGATGCATCTTTCAGGGCTATATTCTGCATTTTGATTTGGCTTCTACACTAAAAAAAAAAAAAAATTGCAGCTGTGCAAGTAATAACTGAACAGCAAGTTTGCAAGAAGGCTTTCATTTGTTCGGTGTAACCGGGAAAACACAATTCTATTCTGTTGTTTTATCTAGGCAAAGCTGCCATTTTAAAGCACTAATTAGCCAAACGCTAGTAAAAAGCCTGCTAGCTGACAGTAATGAAGAAAAAGAGGTTCTCATTCCTGGAGAAAGACATTTTAAGAAATTTGTTAAACTGAAAGTGGAATCAGGCCAGGGATTTCTCTCAGGTGGTCCCAAGTAGTGTGCTGTACTGCTTTACCTACAGGCACCCTGAGGGGTACACAACACCCCAGAGCTTCCCCACAGGGCATTGTTTCTTGCTATGTCCAGGTTCTTTCAGTTTCAAATGAAGGTAACTTAAATTTATCTCTGTTTGTTTAATCATTAAAAGTGGAATAGTCTTCATTCAAGGCTAAATGATCCTGCTAGGTTGTTTTTATCACAGATAAAACTTTTTGAGTACTTCTTTTAACTAACTCGGTTTTTACTTCGAGTTCAAATGTACCTTTTTTTCCTTAAGCCAGTGGACAGAACAGGCCATGTGCTTCAAGCATTACCTAATTAATGCCTTCTCATAGTCCTGTATTTACTGTAGAATTTGCGGACTTCCTTGAAATGCACCCTACTTACCTTTTCCAAAGAAATTAAAAAAAAAAACTCCAAAGAAATTTAAAAAAAAACAACCAAACAAAAAAAATATGGAGGAAAAGATAAATGTGTGTGCATCCACATCCTTTTAGTTTCCCATGTAGCTCATTTTCAGTAGTATTTAAACAGGGTAACTTTTCTGCACAAGTGCATCAGCATGTAGATAATTAAGTTAATTAAATGTCATGTTCAGCCTCTCGATCCTTTCATTTACTCTTTCAAGATTAATCATGCAAACCACATTAAGCACTTCTTAATATAAACTTCCTTTGTTGTTCTTGTTTTCTCTCCTTTTTTTAAAAAACAAATCTCTGCAGGTATAATTCTTGTTTACTGTGACTGAATAGTTAAGTCCTCAAGGTGGATCTAATCTAGAGCTCTTCAGGAATTTCCTCCTCACATGTTTCCAGGAAAAATATGTGGCATTAATTCAAAATCTTCCCCTTCTACCAAATAATAAGATTCTTACTCTTTAAATTAATTCTGGGACCCGTGTTTTAAGGTTATTTTGTCTTGTAACAAAACTTTCCAAAAATACCTAAGAACTAAATCTGTCAGGGCAGTTGAGCAGTTTTTCATGCGAAACCTGGACAAAGGATTATTTGTGCTTCCCCTTCTCTGTTAAAGGGCACCACGTTCCAGGCTGACTGGGGGAACTTTTGTGCTCCATAGCCCGGCACAGGCCGTGATGACACGGGTCAGGGTAATTCCCATCTTTCTCTGTTGCTGCATCATGATTTTAGGCATTCTGAGGAGCCTCTTCCATACTAACCTGCCAGTGTTTTCAAGGTACATTTAATGGTTAATGGTTTGGGGTTTTTTTCTTAAGCGTTTTCTGTTCATTTCGCAGGAATCGGTTCCATCTTTGCCACAGTCACCGATGAAAGAGAGGCCGCCTAAAGTATTCCATCAGTACAGCAACAACATCTCCACTTTGGACGTCCACTGTCTGCCTCAGTTGCAGGAAAAAGTTTCTCCACCATCATCACCTCCCATCATGTTCCCCCCTGCGTTTGAAGCAGCCAAGGTAGAGGCGAAACCGGATGAGCTTAAGGTAACGGTGAAACTAAAACCGAGGTTAAAAGCAATACACAGTCTGGATGACTGTCGGCCTCCAAGTAAGAAATGGAAAGGAATGAAATGGAAAAAGTGGAGCATTCAGATTGTGATTCCTAAAGGATCGTTCAAACCTCCTTGTGAAGAAGAAATAGATGAATTTCTTAAAAAACTGGGCACAACCCTTAAACCAGACCCTGTGCCTAAAGACTATAGGAAATGTTGCTTCTGTCACGAGGAAGGTGATGGATTAACTGATGGACCAGCAAGGCTTCTTAACCTGGATTTAGACCTTTGGGTCCATTTGAACTGTGCTCTTTGGTCTACAGAAGTCTACGAGACACAAGCTGGTGCCTTAATAAATGTGGAACTAGCACTGCGTAGAGGCTTGCAAATGAAATGCGTGTTTTGTCACAAAATGGGTGCCACCAGCAGTTGTCACAGGTTAAGGTGCACCAATATTTATCACTTTACCTGTGCCATTAAAGCACAATGCATGTTTTTTAAAGACAAGACCATGCTTTGCCCCATGCACAAACCAAAGGGAACTCATGAGCAAGAACTTAGTTACTTTGCAGTCTTCAGGAGGGTCTACGTTCAGCGTGATGAAGTGCGGCAGATCGCTAGCATCGTGCAGCGAGGAGAACGTGACCACACTTTCCGTGTGGGAAGCCTGATTTTCCATGCCGTCGGTCAGCTGCTGCCCCAGCAGATGCAGGCCTTCCACTCCTCAAAAGCACTCTTCCCCGTGGGTTACGAGGCCAGCCGGTTGTACTGGAGCATGAGATACGCAAACAGACGCTGCCGCTATCTCTGTTCGATCGAGGAGAAGGACGGGCTTCCGTTGTTTGTCATCAAGGTTGTGGAGCAGGGCCACGAGGACCTGGTCCTTACTGACACAACACCAAAAGGTAAACTTTGCGAACTAAGATCATGACTTTTGCATGTTTGCTGTTTGTTTTATTACCACTGATACTTGTGGAATAAGAAATGCTTCAAATAAATGTTGCAGACACTGTTCTAATGTAATGCTTATAGTGAGCTTCCGGCGCTCATTTTTAATATCATGCTATGAAGCCAGAGGACACCTTTGAAAAAACTGTATAAGCTGCAAGTAAGATGGCTTGTTACAAGTTCACAGGGGAGACCCGAGACTGAGTATTGCAAATGAATTTCAACAGCCAGGACGTTAGCGTAGGTTTCCTTTCCTGGAAAGTGACTTTGTTTAAATACAATAGCATTACTCAGTGATCTTGAAATCAGCTGTGCTGAAGTGAGCATGCAATAAAGACAGCCGAGTTGGCCCCGTTGTTCTGCGGGCAGGCAACGCTGTCTCTGGCAGGGAGAAGAAGAATACGTGGGGCCATAAATGTACGGGCAGGTCTGAGGAACAGGGCCGGTGGGTGAGCGCGGCCTGTAACGCGCAAGGTCTCGCCCTTGGTGCTGCGGGTGCCCACGGGCTGCTGCCGGGGGGATTGCCCATGTACAGCTGGGAGCTGACTGTGATCAGCCAATGGAAATAGGATATATAGGTTATTTTTAGCAGATTCTGCTTTGTGCGGGATTGTTAGAGGACCGAAGGTTTCCTTGCTGCTGTTGTGGTTTAACCGCAGCCAGTCAGCACCGCGCAGCCGCTCGCTCACTCCTCCCCACTCCCGGGGGGGGAAAAAAGTAAAACTTGACATTTGAGATAAGATCAGTTTAATAACTAAAATAAAACATAAGATATTATTACAATAACTGTAATGAAAAGGAATATAACAAACAGAGAGAGAGGAATAAAACCCAAGACAAGTGGTGCACGGTGCAGCTGCTCTCCCCCCGCTGACCGATGCCCGAGCAGCGATCCCCCCCTCCCAGCCAACCCCCCCCCCAGTTTTTATACCGGCCGTGACGTTCTGGGATATGGAATATCCCCGTGGCTCTCCCGGCCGTGCTCCCTCCCAGCTTCCAGTCACCTGCTCGCTGGGGGAACTGAAAACTCCCCGAGTTAGGATAAGCGTGACTTAGCAAACAGCTACACCACCGGTGTGTTAGCGTTACCAGCGTTATTCCCACCCTAAATCCACCGCGCAGCGCTGCACCAGCTACTAGGAAGAAAATTAACTCTATCCCGGCCGAAACTGGGACAGCTGTGGATACTAAAAGCTTTATTCCCAAGAATCAAGAGTGCAGTAGAAATGTCGTGCTTGTTTGGGATTTGTTCGGGAAAAAATTGCAATTCACCAAATGGTTCTCTGCTCCACTTTTTAAACGCCGGCCTCTTTGTGCGCGCAACCAACAACAAAACTTTTTCAGTATTGGTTTCTGGTTCTTGGTATCCCCAGGCATTTGTTTTAAAACCAGTAAGATAGAACTTTATTTTTTTGATCGCTGTAATTCTTTCCCATATGGTTGTGTAGGTGTGTGGGATAAAATCTTGGAGCCCGTTGCTTCTGTTAGAAAAGAGTCTGAAATGCTCCAGCTGTTTCCCGGCTATCTGAAGGGTGAAGATCTCTTTGGTTTGACAGTCTCTGCAGTGGCCAGGATCGCCGAATCGGTGAGTCGTCACCACGCCAGTTCTTGCTGGATCCCCCGAAACTGTCGGGTATCTCATATGCACATGAGAAGGGGAAGAGGAAGAAGTGCGGAAAAGTAAATATTTCATTGCACATGAGTAACATCTAATTACTTGTGATATTTTCTTTTTTCTTTTTGTCTGTTTTTTTTGCAGCTGCCAGGGGTTGAGGCCTGTGAGAACTACACTTTCCGCTATGGCCGAAACCCCTTAATGGAACTCCCTCTTGCTATCAACCCCACGGGCTGTGCCCGTGCCGAGCCTAAAATGAGTACCCATGTCAAGAGGTTTGTGTTAAGGTATTTTGTTTTAATTTCACATAGTACAGCCCAGGGTTTATAGGCTGCTTAGGGTTATTTGTGCTTTCGTCTGCTGCTTACAAACCCTGTCGTCTTTGGCTGTGTATGTGCATGCCCAAATCAAAGGAATCGCTTTGTTGTCTTTGCTAGCTGGCTTTAAGTGTCTGTATGTCTTAAAGAATTTTTAATGGGTTTTGTGGCAGTTTTCAGAGAAATCTTCAGTTTTCCTTGTATTCTTTCCTGCTATATGCCCAATTCCTACAGGCCTCACACCTTGAACAGCACCAGCACATCGAAGTCATTTCAGAGCACAGTTACGGGAGAGCTGAACGCGCCTTACAGTAAGCAGTTCGTCCATTCCAAGTCCTCTCAGTACCGCAAAATGAAAACCGAATGGAAGTCCAACGTGTACCTGGCTCGCTCTCGGATTCAGGTCGGTTCTCATTTTAGGAAATGTATATTCAAAAAAATCATACATTTATCGATAGCTATTTTCTACGTGAATTTTATATCTTTGTGTGTTTTATATAAATATATTTTTATATGAATTGTAGAAATATTTCTCTTAAACTTAATTAAAATTAATAAAATCTTAAATTTATATTTTTAAAAAGTTGTTGCAAAATTCCATCAAGTCTCATCCCAAAATTGGCAATTTTTATGTGGCAAATCACTTCCACGGATTTATCTTAAGTAAGATTTCTGTTTACTGTAAATATCTTAAAAATTAATTTGTTACAGTCATCTAGAAAAAAAAAGCTTCTTTCAAGTTTTGGGTTTGTTTTTTTTAGCGTACTTCTCAAAAACTTAGCAAAACTTAACAGATATTCAGCGGAGATACGACACGCTCAGACCAAGCTGAGTAAAGCGGTATGAGACTCGGGTGAAGAGCTCAGGATTTACTTGCATCCATAATAAGAAATTCCTTGCTTTCTGGAATTCTCTTGGCGGTTTGCTCCACAGACTGCTTTGCAAAAGCTTTGTAATTACTCTTGCTGTGTACGAACACAGTTGTTTATTTTAGGTTGGACTTCACTGTGCTGTTGTGTCCCCATTAGGTTTCTCCGTTCTAGTAAGGCCTGCTTTACTTTTCAGTGATTCTGTAATCTCTACACAGTCAGGTGCCTGAGGTATAAGAGAAGCTTTCTCATCTAGGCAGAAGCCAAGTACGTTTTCTTGCATCTTAAAAACTGAATGTGAAGCTGGGTTCTGCATCTCGGCCGTCACAGCATCAGTTACTGATCTGGGCTACTTCATTCTTTCTGGGCCGTTTAGTTTTCCCGTGATTTTTTGCAGGAACCAGGGCAGTGGAAATGTAAATTTATTACAGAATTCTAAATGGCAATCTATTTTTTGTAGGGCCTGGGCTTATATGCTGCTAGAGACATTGAAAAGCACACTATGGTCATTGAATATATCGGAACTATTATCCGGAATGAGGTAGCAAACAGGAAGGAGAAGCTTTATGAATCGCAGGTATGGGTGGTGGTTGTTCACGGTTTCTTTCCCCTTCCCCTTCCCCACGTTCACACAACAAAGCAAACGCAAATTCTTCTATTTGATGAATTCAGGTTCCCCCATTTCTGTTTTCTGCTGTGCTCTAAATGCGATGGGCTAAATTCTAACCAGAAGAGTCCACTGTGTTTCGTATGGAAGGGTTAGAGTGTTTCAATGTTTACTAAATCTCAGAGCACCCTGGCCAGGTCGGTAACGCGTGTCCTCTGTCCCGGAGGACAGGGAGCTCTGACAGAGATGTCAGGACCTCAGTTTTTAGTGAGACCTCCTTTAAATTTAGAGCAACTTCCTTTGTGTAACTCAGTGGTACCGTAACAGTTGGTACGTATCTGTGAAGCACTTGAAGGCCCCAGAGGAAGGGCAGCAGGGAAGCGTTCATTTCCCAGAGCTTCATGTTCAGGACCCATCCGTTCGGCAGAGCAGCGAGGGGGAGGGAGCGCCCCCGCCTTCCCTGCGGGCCGGAGCGCAGCAGGACGCTTGGCGGTCACCCCGCGGCTGCTTCCCTTTAATCCTTGGCAAACGGTATGAAATCCACAAGACTCTTCTTTTTTCCCAATCCTGTTTTCCAGAACCGCGGCGTGTACATGTTCCGCATCGACAATGACCACGTCATCGACGCCACCCTGACGGGAGGTCCGGCAAGGTGGGTGCCCTCGCTCGGGGAGCCTCCCCGCTCCTGGCCCGCCGCCCCCCGGGAGGGACTCCGGTCCCTGGTTGTCTCACTGGTTTTGATTCAGACTGTTCCACTGAAATAATGTCTTTCTCATTAGCTTTGCTCATCTTTGATTGTGTTTCTGGGCAGCTGTGAAGGAAGAATGGAATATTTTTTTAACGCTTGACTCTTTTTTTTTTTTTTTTGACGTTTTCTAGGTAAAGAAACAAGTACAGAGTAATATAATTATATCTGGAAAGTCAGTGCGCCCCTGAAGCTAAGGTCATTCTGAGGTTTGCTTTAGATTTGCCTCAAAGGATGCGTTTTCTTAAAAGGTTACCTTTTTCAAACTCTGTTTTCCCAGGTATATCAACCATTCGTGTGCGCCCAACTGTGTGGCTGAGGTGGTAACTTTTGAGAGAGGACACAAAATTATCATTAGCTCCAGCAGGAGAATCCAGAAAGGGGAGGAGGTAGGGCGGTCGCCTTTGGTTTTACTCACCTGTTGCTACTTGCATTTATTTCTAGATACCCAGGGGGGGGGGGGTGGGATTTCCACAGCCCGGGGCACAACTTGTTTGTGCTGGGGAGGGAGAGGGACATTTCCCTTCCCCCTTTGCCTCTGAAATCTTGCCAGCTCCTACAGGGCCACCTCTAGCGTATTTTGCTATTTAACCCCTACAAGGAATCCTGGGGTAGGTCCCGGTTGTTCCGTAACCGTTCTCCTCCGTCTTCTTGCAGCTTTGCTATGACTATAAGTTTGATTTTGAAGATGACCAGCACAAGATTCCATGTCACTGTGGAGCTGTAAACTGCCGAAAGTGGATGAACTAGAATGCATTCCTTGCTGTCTCTGAGGGTTGCTTGTCCCTAGGAAGAAGTGATTCGCATTTTGATTTTGTCGACAGAAAATTGTTGCCTTTTTGAAGGGGGAAAAAAAAAAAAAAATTTAAAAATCACTTCTGGAAGTACAGATTTCTACTCAAGTATTTAAAAATAATTTAAAAAAAAAAAAAAAAAAAAGGAAAAAAAAAAAAACACACGAACAAAAACAAGCACCAGAAGCAAGCCGGCAAAATCTGAAGCTAACTTTCCAGACACATGGAGGTTAAACTGAATTAACAGAATGGTCCAGCACTTTTGTTTTTGAGCTCACTAAGGAGAAACTGTTTAACTTGGGCAAAGAACCGATGGCCGACCTGCGGGAGTGCAGGGGGGCACATATGAATGTAAGACTGAAATCACCAGCGAAAGGGAGAAGTCCAAAGTGCTGGCCACAGCCTTATTTGATAAAGGGGCAGGCCCTCTAATTAAAGAAAAATTTTAAATAAAAGTAGACACCACTGAACAAGGAATGTACTGAAACGACTTCCTTAGGGATAGAGCTAAGGGAAAAAATAACTTGCACTAAAATACATTTAAATACTTGATTCCATGAGTCAGTTTATTGTAGTTTTTGATTTCTGTAAAATAAGAGAACCTTTTTGTATTTATTATTGAATAAGTGAATGAAGCTATTTTTAAAAAGAAAGTTAGAAGAAAGCCAAGCTGCTGCTGTTACCTGCAGAACTAACAAACTCTGTTACTTTGTACAAAAGTGTAAATATTTTGAGAAAAAAATACAGTATAAAAATAGTTATTGACCAAATGCTACCAGACTCTGCAGCAGTTCGGGTGCTTATTATAAAACGTCAATAGGGATGTCACAATATGATCTCATGTACTAACAGACATGTGCTACAATTACGGAATAACCAAAATCTCAATTTAAAGAGAGAGGGGTTTTTATGTTTAAAGCAGTCTCAACTGTGGTCTTACGAGAATTTTTTTAAGTAAACCTTAAGCCTGGTAAGGGCATGTATATTACAACTCTGACTTTTGTAGTTGTTTGGGTAATTTAGATTAATTTTATTTGTATTATATTGTTGCATCCCTATTTCTTAAGTCAGGTTTTTTGTGCTTACAATTTGTGATAACTGTGAATAACTGCTAAAACCACCCAAAATAGAGGCTGGACATTGTTTTTTCTTCAGCAAAAGTAGTCAGGATTAGGTGACTGTTCAGCCTACATTAAATCATGTAAACAGCATAGAATCATGTAGTTGGAGCTTAAGTCTGATACGATAGCCTTCTTAAAAGGAAAACAAGGAAAAAAAATTAGATGTAATGTGCTTGCAGCTGCAGGACTCTGGCAATAGGGTTTTGGAAAATGTAATTTAAAGATGTGTTTGTATGGATTGTTTTTGTTTACATTTCTTTAAAAAAAAAAATAAACACTGTTTTGTGTTTGCTTGTAGAAATTTAATCAGCATTTTGAACCAGGTTAGCTTTTTATTTTGTACTTAAAATTCTGGTACTGACACTTCACAGGCTAAATATAAAAAAAAAAAAAAAATGAAGTTTTTTTTTTTGTGTGCACAATTAAAGTGGACTGTAAACTGTTGGTATATTCAGTAATACAGTTCTGAACTTGTAATGTATATGGCATGATGTATTTTTATCTTACAGAATAAATCAATTGTATATATTTTTCTCTTGATAAATAGCTGTATGAAATTGTTTCTTGAATATTTTTCTTCTCTTGTACAATATTCCAACATCCTACCAGTATTTGTCCTACAGTTTTTTCTGTTCTGTATAATAGTATCTAATGTTGGCAAAAAAAATACAAAAACACCACAAAAAAAAAATTTTTTTGAAGTATACAGAGTGTTATGGGTTTTGGAATTTGTGGAAACAGATTTAGAAGATCAGCATTTACAAATAAAAATATTTTACATCTATAAATTATATCCTCCTGTTTTCATTTGAGGTGTCTGTTTTCTAGTTCTTTCAGGATTTCAGTGTCTGCTTCCCTCAGCGAGAAGCGTTTGCCTTCCCCCGCCCGCTGCTCCCTGCAGTCCTGCTCTGCCCAGGAAATCTACGAAAGACAGAGAAAGAATAAAAAAAAAAAAAAAAGAGGAACTAATCCTCTCTCTTCTGCTTGTGCTGGCTTTGGCTGGGATAGAGGTTTCTTCCTGGCAGCTGGGCTGGGGCCCTGCTCTGCCCCAGCCCCCCCGGGGGGCAGCGGTGCCAATTCCTGCCTTTGCTTCACCCCTTAACCCGCCCCTGCCCTGACCCCGGGGTTCTCCCACGTTCACCCTCCCGCCTCCCCCCCTCCTGCCAGGGGCTGCGGGGAGGGGGTTACACCACCACCCCAGAGACAGTTCTGGCAAGAGCTCAGGCCTGGGCCAGGGCTAAAAAGGCTCCGGGATTTAGTGCAGAGAAGCAGGGACCTGCCAGGCCCAAGCCGTTCTCCTGTGTTACTTTTTTATTTTTCCACTTTAGGTGCTGGAGGCCAGAGGAGCCGCCTGCGGGCTGGTGTCAGCGTTGGGGATGAGCCGGGGCGCGCGGGTTTGGGCGCTGGGGAGCTGCACCCCCAGCCTTGAGCCCCGGCACACGGGCCGGGGGTAGCGCAGGGAACGCGGGAGGGAAAGGAGCCACGGAGAGAAGCTGCTGCCCAGCACCCCCACCGCCGGGAGGCAGCGGGAAGGAAATGGTTGACACAGAGGCTCAAAAAGCCGTCCCAGTCACAGCTGCTTTACAAATAATGAATTCTCAGTCTGACAATGGCAAACTAATAAAACCTAATCAAAAATACAGCTGAATTCCGAAGGGTCAGCTCTGAGAGGTCACTCAAATATAGGAGGAAAACTGAATTTCCACCTAATCCCAGGCAGGGCCTAACGGAGAACAGTCAACCGATTCAGGGCTGGATGTTCACAGGAAAGATTTATAACCCTCCCTCGTTCAAATTCTGCATGCAATGACCTGGCTGTGCGGCTGCAGCACCAAACAGCTACAGCTTCGGCCAAAAATCATGCGCTGCAGAAGCAACTGACTCCTCCTTCACCTCCATCTGCTCCTGGAACCCAGCGCCCGTCCCCAGGGCCCAGCCCGTGGGAGGCTCAGCCCAGCCCAGCCCCACCAACTCCACCTGAAGCCGCAGCCCCACGGAGGTGGGTATCACTAATTTTATAAAAAAATAAAATGTGCATTATTTATATATGCATGAAGTAGAGTTTTTATCCTCTTTACATTAAGGAACAATCCAGCTGCAACTCAGTGGCCCATGAATTCTACATTCCAGTCTATTACCGCAGGTTTAAAGACCACATGTATTGAGCTGGTTTTGACAGCAGCCTCCAAATTTCCTCACCAGGAGCAAAAGGTCAAAAACTCTCTGTGGCAACGGACTCAGAAGGTAAATAAAGCCAGCTTCCGCTTTGCTGGTTTGAGGATTGTTTGCTGTTTGATTTCGTACTACTTTGTAAAAAGACAACATCAAGGCCTCAGAAAAAAAAGCCAGAGCAAGGTTACTGCACAGCCCATTCGACAGCCAAAATAAATCCGAGTGCCGAACCGGCCCCCGGGGCTGCCCCACGGTCACTCGTGGGAACAGGTGGGGTTAACGGGCGGAGCCGGGGCTGCAGCCCATCCTCCCACCCCCACAGGGACTGGAATCAACTCCACCACCGACCCCCCCCCCCCCCCCCCCAGCACGGCACCCTGGGCCGGTTTCAGGCCGCTGTGAGCTGAGGCTGCTCCCCCTGCCCCCCCAGCCCAGCTGGGAGGCGGTTTCGAGCCTTTGGGTGCTCCTGGAAGGGCCCCCCAACCCCACGAGGCACCGAGCCCCCGTCCCGGCGAGCGCCCACCCCACCTGAGGCCGCAGCTGCTCAGGGGGACTGGGCTTGGTTTCAGAGACTTTTCTTGGTAGGAAGGAACGTGGCTGGTGTCTAACTTCATTATTCCCATTGTTCTGCTTTATCTGGAAGCAATTCCACTCCAGCCTATTGGCCTGGTTTACAGTTAAACCCTGCTTACCTGGTTCCTCCCTGCGCCCAGGCCCTGCCGGAGGAGGCAGAAGCCGTGCAGCAGCGGGGGGGCCGCTCTTACCTGCTCCTTTTAGTCCTCTTGCTTTTCCCCTGCCGGGGGCTGCCCGGGCAGATGGCTGAAGGACCACACGCAATCTGTCACAAGTGAATCTCTCCTCTCTGTGGGAAGACGTGGGTCTGTAATTACTCCAACATTATCATTATTTGCCTCACGCTGCCCAAAATGTCAGTAACTGGATGCCGGCGTACGAGTGCAGTTGGAAGATGTTCCTGCTGCCCAAGTGAGAGGGCGAGGGAGGCGCTGCCGGCGGCAGAGCTGCCCGCTTCCCAGGGAGGGCAGGCCCTGCGGCCGGGTAAACAAGGCCAACGTTGCCAAGAAAAAAAATCCACTGGGTAAGAACAGCTTTTCTCTTCTGCGGCAGCTTCCATGCTCTGAAGAAGTATCCAGGGCTGAGGCAGGAAGTCAAAGAAAGGTCAATAGTGAAATAAATGAATTTGGGAAGGGAAACAGAGAAGTGGAGTCAAAACAAACAGAAAGAGAAGAATTATCCATCAAACCTTCCAAGATGTGGGAGAGGGAGAAAGAGCCAGCTGTGGAGAAAAGGGAGTGAAAACAAAGGAAAACCCAAACTGTGTTTGCATCAGTCCCTAAGTTCGTGCTTTATGGTCCAAAGGCTACAAAGAGTAAGGCGGTACAGATTAATAAAAAATTGATACTTTATTTTAAATGCAGCTACTGTCATGAGTCATCAAAATAGACTTTGTAATAGTTACTTTGTTTTAAATATGAGGTGACGAATGACAGCTAAGAATTTAAACTACACGAAGTGTCCTAAAATCGTAAATTAAAAGAACTAAATTTAAATATTACAAATGACACTTTTCAGAAGATAAAAGGGAATAAAAATATTTTCCAGAAAAAGTAAAATAATTTGGCCAGTAAAACCATACTAAAAATGTAAATTAATGAGATACTGCACATGAAATAGTTGAAGAGGACTCCTTTCTGTCATTGTCATTAAAAGATCCACAAAGCTAAAATCTCACAATTTAAATTACATTGTTCTAATAATTTCTCTTACTTAAAAACAGTTCAATACTCCAGGATAATCCAAGGAACCGCTGATAAATTGCACTTCTACGTGTTGTTCTGCAGGGGGGCTGCCGCTCTTCCTGCTACGCCTGAGCAGGGGCCGGGGACCGCCTGGACCTTCTCACGCACGCGGCTCTTCCTCGCAGGGTCCTTGCGCCGGGTGGGCGGGGTGTAGCAGCTGAGGGCTCCTCGCCAAGCCCTCCAGAATGTCTTCAAATCCTGGCTGAAGGGGGATCACGTCTTGGCTTAACGCTTCTCGGCCGCATCCTCGCTGTCTCAGCTCTCAAAGTGCCACTGCTGCGGGAGGGACCCGTCGCAGATGGCCACGGCCACGTACCCTTTGTGGCTGAGTGGATCGACCACCTTCATGCACTGCCCCACGGAGACCTGGTAGAGGCGGTTGTTTTTCTAGAGGAGAGAGAAAGACAGATGGGATTTCTTTATTAAAACTTCCGTGCTGCTCCGCTGTCAAACCGCAGCCAAACCTGACGCTTAAGGGGCGGGGATGCTCCTGCCTGAGGGATGAGCCTTCCCGCAGCCTCCCTGCCACACCAGTCCCACAGCAGCACCGTTTAAAAGCCAGAGCACAGCACACCCCGCAACCACGCTCAGACCTTGAAACAAAAGCTCTCACGTCCTTACAGGGACCCGGTTTGGATTGTGTTTAATCAAAACCCGTTCCCCAGGACTCAGCAATGCCACTGCCCTCAGCACCCCCCGTGCCAGGGGGCAACAGCCAGGGCAAGGCCAGACCCCAGTCATGTGTGAGAAGGGAACAGATCCTGCTCCTCTTTTTTTTTTTTTTTTTTCTTTTTTTCCCCCCTGGAGAAGTATCGTCTCCCCCCACTAACTGCTCGTTGCAGCTGCTTTGAGCACTTTGGGGGCCCCTTTTCTCTCTGGAAAGGGCTCCCTGCACAGCAAGCCCCTGCAGGGAGGGAGCAGGTACACCAGAACAGCCACACTGGGCTCTGCATCACTGCTTGTGGCCGTGAGCAGACACCCAGGGAAGCAGGACACGGCAAGAACACACAAACCCCTCCAGCACAGCCGCCCACTCCGAGTCTCGTACTGCAACCGAGTGCGCAGTCGGCCTTTCTCTGCACCTGTGACTCGCACACCTAACGTGTTTCCCCTCGCTCCCACAAGTCCTCACTTACCTAAAGAGCCCCAGCCTGCTCACATATCCCCCATGTGAAAGGTGCCCCACGCCTTCCGTTTGCCCCGCCACCCATCTCTCAACGTTCTCCAGCCCTAATTGAGCCTTTTTAAGAGATGACCAGCACATGCAGTCCAGGCAAACCACGAGGATGGGATGACATTTCGCTGCTTTGATTCCTATCCCTTTCCTAATCAATCCTAATATTCGACTCGCTTCCTTTTGTTGTTGATCACTACCCAGCACCAACCTGACACCGCTACAGATCCCGCCCCGCACACCCACTGGCTCAAAGCCCACGTTTCACACACGGAGCCCAGACTCTCCACCACCTCCACAGGCGTCACCTAACAGTTACGTGCACTGAATTCCAATGGCCATCCCCTCAGTCTTGTAAAATCTTTGTCCACTAACTCCAGCTGAAGAACCCTGAATAATCGCACATAATTTTCCAACTCCCACTACCACTTGCAGCTGTGGCACTGCTGGGACAGGCTGTGGCAGAGCTGTGAGATGTCTCCACGAGTGTCAGACACGCCCAACTTTGGCCTCACACGATATCGGCCTCTGTATCTCCAAACCACGGTGGACTGCAGCAGCCTTCCTTGTTTGACTGCATTAGCAACTCGTGGTGCCAGCAAGCAGCACGGTATGAACCCGAGACAGTGTAGGCAGAGCTGTCCTGGAAGCACAAGCGGCAGTTCTGGCAGCGCCCTCCTCTTTGTACAATGATATCTGTACTACAGACGCACCACTATGCTGAGGGCATGTGAGGGGGAAGCCTCCGAGTTAATACCCAGGAGCCAAATTTCACGTGTACGCAGCACTGACTCAATTTTATGAAACTGGCCACTCCAGACTCTGAATGATTGAACTAACGAGATGCGATTATAGGGCAGAAGCAACTGTAAGAAGTCTCTCTCAATCGTCCACTCTGCCCTGTGCTTCTTCAAGCACTGAGCAGAAATCACCACGCAGACTGCTCCCGCCTCCTAGTCCCTCAAACAGAACGCAACAAAGAGCTGTGGGGTGGATTTTGTGCTCTCTGGCACATCCCTGTGAGCCACAGTGCCACGGGTGGCTGTCACAAGCAGAAAAAAGGCCAAATGGAGCTGCAGAAACCTCCCTATATTGCAAAGGGCCTGCATGTCCCAGAGCAAAAATCTTACTCAGGCTGAAACGCAGCCACCAAACCCCAGGCAAATTTTGTACAGGCTGCCTGGACTGTGGGCAGGGCCTAGTACAGTACAATTGACTTGGTACATCTGAGGTTTAGTCATAACTAAACTCTACCCCGATGTCCTGTTAGTGCTGCTGTCACTTACTAAGGTGTTAATTACAAGCACCCTGCTATGTGCCAGCCAACTCACCCCGAACGTCCACTGCTGCGAGCCGCCGGAGCCATGGCATTTCATGAGACGAGGTGGATCGGATGAGCGAGTTTCCGAAACATCCAAGCAAAGGAGATTATTTAAAATCAACTCGTGATCTTCATTGTAAATCCAGACCTGAAAGAGAAGATAGAAAGACATTTATCCCAATGTTTCAGGCCAGGTGCCTCGAATCCTTTGTTCAGCTACAGAGGAGGTGCTTTAGCATCTGAATGTCAGAGGTGAGCCTTGCAACCCTCACTGCCTCTTTGCTGCCTTTTTTCTAGCAACTGAAAGGCAGCTGCAGCGCTCTGTTGCCTTCCCAAATCACACAGCATTACCCCACACAGAGGCACTAAAAGGAGTGATTGTGATTCTGCCCTGTAACTTGCATTTTTAGAATTAAGCTGCCCCACCCATTCCCCCTGTCCAGGCAGCTGGGCAAGGTAACACAACAGGGAAAGCGGTGGATCTCTGAGCAGGTGAGCAGCCACTCTCTGAGCAAAGTCATTAAACCAGGCAGTAAACCTCCTGATTCAATGATGACCCTCTGCTCATGAAGGTGGGGCTGGTGGATTGTCTCAGGTCCACGTAGAGAGCCAGCGTGGGGGCAGAGGAGGACACTGGGTGACAGCCCAAGGGCTGTGGGGAAGTAGCTTGGCAGGCACGCAAGGCCAAAAGGGATCGCCAGTCGTCTTTGAAATGGCTGCATTTGGCCATAAACACACAGGAATTTAACACTGTGCTCTGGGGTCAGCTCATAAACACTGAATGATGAGAAACTAAAATCAGCAGTGCAAATTCTGGAGCCAGGTAGCCTGCATTAGCCCCACACTGGTCCCAGGGTCCTCCTCCTTGCAGCTGGTGGCCTGGTGCTCAGAGATCTTTACTCAAGTAGATGATCACCAGCATCCAGGTGCTGTCAGAACTCTCCATATTGCTCTCCAGGGAATGAGAAAAATTGCTGCTTTGCCATTCCATAACTGACAGGTTTATGGCCTTCTCTGCTCCCCAGCCAAACCGCTTTTGCTAGAGGTGCTGTGCTTAGAGGGAGGCCACCCCTCCCCATTTCACACCCACTTTGTTTTGGCTGAAACAACATAAAAATAGCATGATCCGGACCTCAAGAACCCACAAAATATCCCAGCAGCTTACAGAATGGTGGGAATTGAATTCAGCCCCTCTCTGGGGCCCAGCCCTATAAAACAAGAACGCATTGGTTCACATTCATGGCTTCAACTGCTTTTGGGTTCCTGAATTTACATGACATTAGAGGAATTTCTCTGTAGTGACACTGAAAACCATTATCACCCCTAACAAGAGGCATGGACACACTCAAGTTGTCGGTTTGTCTTCTCCTACATGCTACTTTAGCCAAAGCAGGAATTTTTATGCCAACAGCAAAAAGTTTTGGGCACCTTCAGTTGCTGCAGTCCATGCCCATACCCTGCTGGCTCTCCCAGGGCTGCCTAAACCTTGCTCTGGAGCAAGGCCTGGCTTGGCACAGCTGAAGGTTCAGGGAAGCTAGACCATCAGCATGGTCTAACTGCAGGAGCTGCTGGTCCTCCCTCCCTCCTTCAGGCCTACAAAAACCTGGGCCAAGATCAGTTAGGTGGAGGACCCAGAGCTCTCAAAACCAACAGGAGACACTGATCCCTATGTCAGAAAGCAAAGAAATGAAAGAAGTGTGCACATCGAAATATCCTGGGTGAGACAGGGGTAGGGAAAATGAAAATACAGTGTATGAAACCTGTAACTCTGCACTGCAGGGATGATACTGAGACCATCTGGCTCAAGCCCAAACGAGCACTGTTCTGAATTCCCTGGGGGGGCCCTGCACTCCCCAGCACCTGGACAGTGTCGCCCAACCCATCTGGGTGCTGAGCAGGCGGCAGCAGAGCTGCCCAGGGCACGATCCCAGGCTGGCGTGGACACAGAGCAGCCGTGCTCATCCATCTCACTTGCCAGCAGCAACTCCCTGTACCCACAGGCAGACCAAGGTCTTCTGGTGCACCCTTCTTCCAGCCTGGTTTGGATTTCACACAGCTCAGAGCTGCAGTAACCGTGCCTGCTGTGTCATTTATCTATTCTTTTTTTTCCCCACTAAGTCTGCGCGAGTTTCACACTCTGAGCATAAAATATCAAATTCCAGGCAGAAAAGTCATGCAAATTAAACAAGTTCTGATTTTTATTATTTTTTTTTTCTTGTCTGATGAAACCAAAACCAGCCTTCTGGAAGGAGCTGTGATTCAGAGCACTGCCTCAGTTGGACAGCACGACTGCGAAGCATACAGCTCATTCATCATCACAGTGACTGTCACAGTACAGCAAAGGCTGCCTTTGAGGAAGTGCAGGTATTACATTAAAATTTGACCTAACTTCAGGCATTCTGTGCCTTCTAACATACTTTATCTGTTTAAACCCTGCCACAAAAAAAGCAAGCACGGCAAAATTAAAGAGGAAGAGGGAACGGAGAAATAGCAGGACTTGCCAGAAGGGTATTATTATTAAAAGAAGAATAATGGTAGAGCCAAATTCAAACAACAGATGAAACTGGTAAGAATTGAGACAGGGGACTGCAGTGACACAGGGAGCAGACCTTTATTCAAAAGCTGAGCTTTGGCAAAGAACACAAAACAGTGGTTAGATCCAGTGTGATAGTTCTCAAGAAAGGCTTATACAAGACAGCCAAAATTAATTTCAAGCTAATTATGTTTGGTGTAGAAAACAAAGGAAAGAGGAAAAACGGCCCAAATTTGGGACACGATTCCAAATTCAGATTACAGTATCAGTATGAATTTGCAGATTATTAACAGATTCAAGCACACGGAAAGCAAAGCCACACCATGGGGGCTTTTTGTTATATAACGACAAGCCTTTGCATGCTCCAAAATTTATTAACTACTTTGCTGCTGAAGACTAAGAGGATGATGTTTAGCTCTTTTTGATACAGGCTGTCAGGGGCAACAGCCCAGCATAGGAAGGAAACATCTCCTGCCAGCCAGCACAATATCAAAAGTCTATCATCAATAAGGTGCCTGCCTAGGATTTATACCTCAGTTCTGAGTGATGTCTTATTTTATCCACCTATGTATTTCCTACAAAAAATGCCATTTTAAAAATTTATTTTATGATGGGAAAAAAAAAAGGCATGGGGTATTTTCATCCTGCATCCACTTCCTAACACTTAGGAGAGCATCACTGTCGGATTTTGGTTTCTAAAAATGGAACTGTGCCCAATTCCCACCACACAGGAAAGTAGCACCTTTAACTGCTGTCCTGCAGAGACGCAGGCTAATGCCTGATCTGCTCCACAGCTCCAAAGAAAATCACTGACCATTTATATAGGAATCAAAGAAAAACACCAGGATGCAATTAGAATATATTGAATTGTTTGTTTTCAAATAAAACCTAAATGGCAGATGTTATGGAAAAACCTCTCTCCATAAAGAAACTGATCAAGTTTGGGATTAAATAAATGATTTAATGTGGTGAATGCTGTAGGATCGACCCTTTTCTAGCAGCTCTTTTATCCCTACCTCTCAACATAGGCAACAGGTTAAGAGGGAAGATGCAAGGACCCCTTCAGTCTTGTAGTGCTGCAGCCCGGAAGGCTGACCCTTCTGAGGTCCTAGATGTCCCCAGAGCACCTAGAGGTCTTCCCTCAAGCAAAGCATTTCAGATTTGGCAGTGCTCAGATGCCTGCCCAAGTCTCCCACCCATCAGAGTCAATGCTTGCACCTTCGGCTACAGGGGCACAGTGGTCCTGCTCGTGCTTAGTCACCCAGAGCCACGGCAGCTGGTTCAACTTTACCACAGTGGGAGTGGGACCCACAGATCTGGGGTAGGTTTTCTCACTGCCAGAGCAAAGACTGCACGTGTATCCTTCTGGTCCCCCACAGCCAGATGCACAGCATGTGTCAGAGTAGGTCTCCTGGGCAACATAAATGGGAGGAGGTCCAAAGTACGAACTCTGTTAATATAAACCTTTTCTTATACAGGCACATCTTAGGAAGAACTGGATTTTGAATTCAGTCCCCTCAAAAGATAGCTCAGACTATTTACAGATTTAAGACTGAGGTTTCCTAGGGCTTCTAGTACCTTGAGAAATTTGCTTCACCCCTATATAACACAAATCACCCAGTCTTCTGTAATGAAGCTGCCTTAGCAACCAATCATCTCATTTACATACAGACAGATAGGTAGAAACTGGGCTTCTCCTCATACACAGCTTAATGAACAGTTTCAGTTCAGTGATGATCACAGTTTAACTCCTAGCGAGGACACAGTGTGACTGTGCTGAAGAATGGATACTGGAGCTTTTTTGCTCTCTCATTTTACCAATATTTTAATTTCCCCACTGGTCTCAGGGTGCCACTGTTGGTAAAGGAGGCGTGCTCTTCACTGCCTCCGTAAACCCCTATATCCCAGTGATCCTCCTCTGAGATTACTTTTTGCCATAATAAAGAGACACAAGGCTGTGTTACTGAACTTTTTTTTTTTTTGTAAAAGATGAAATTACTCCTACAGTGAGATTAGCTAACGTAAATACATAACAGCTGAACTACTTCAGAAGAAATTCAAGTGAGGAAAGGGCTCAAATGGTGCCCTGTCATCTAGGAGGATGGCCCATACTATCATTTCCTTTTGAAACATGGAGTCCGCTACAAAAGATTGAGTCTAGTGTCAATACAGACAACTGTATTAAAACAAAACTTATCACCCGACTTAGCGAAAACCAGTAAAACAAAGAATCTGCATCAGATAGAAAATGGAAGCTCACTGTTCCTAGGGAATAAGAATTTCAAAATGACACGAAATAAACCAGGAAGCAGCAGTCTACCCTTTGGCTTTCAGAGTGCAGTGGAGTGTAGCAAAAGGCATGGCTGGCCAGCTGGCAAAGCCTTGTGGATATACACTCTTATTTGGTCTGCAAATTGCATTAGCACTAGAAGAACGCATTGAAAAATTTCAGTAAATACAATACAGTAACTACTACAGAAACAGTCCTTTGTGTGAAAGAAAATCCCTGCCGTGAACCATGCTGACAGGGGCAGCATTCCAGTACTTTCATCAGTTACAATCCGTTGCTTAGATTGGCACTATTGTATTATTCAGCCAGACAGTTTTTAAAAGACAAAAATTCAGCTTAAGAGCACAAAAAAGCTGCCTCAGCACTGAGGAAGACATGTGCCTAGCAATTTGCATCATCGCAGCTATTTGCATGTACCTCAGCTGCTGTTATTATGGACAACAATGACATCACAGCACCAAATCACAGCAAAGTTTTGTGGTCTATAAACATTATTTTAAGCTACTGCTACCTCAGAAACCCAACATCCTCCTGAAGGTCATGCCAAAGCAGACACATGCTTTCTGTTTCACAGTTCAGTGCGTTGCTGATGTTTCATGACAATTTGTTAGAGGAACTGAAGAACTGTGTTCCTCCCGTGGATTATGGAAAAGCAGCAAGTAGACTTGCACATCTTCACAGTCACTCTAGACATGTGTTGTATCAGAAAACCAAACTAGCAGCCATGATCCAGATGTTTAGGAAGAAAGATTTTACAGAATTATTGCACATGTGAGCCCATCCTTCCAGATTCTGACCCTTGAACAATTTATGAAGTATGTATGCTTACAGTTATAAAGTGCTACAAGAGTGTTAGCAGAGCTTTTCTGAAATTCCTTGCTCAAATTGGTTATCTTTTAAAGTCCCAGAGCACAGATGTGCATGCTTAGGCACCTCAGCACCATCCCCAGCTTTTTAAAGCTTAATACATTGTTAAGTAAGAGAAAAGTTAAATTACTGAAATGAAGCAAGCACACCAAGGAGAGGTTATAACAACAGAGAAAGCAAAGCTCAGGAGTCAACCTAGTGTATCTGAAAACAAACAGTAGAAAAAAAAATCCACTAATTCAGTAGACTTTAAGAGGAGATTTTTTGGAAAAGGAACTTGGGTTTAAGCATTTAGGTCAGGCATAAGGCAAGCACACGTTAGACATGATAAACCCAATCTTCTTTTAGCTGTTAGATCACAAACACTCCCAGTAGTTAGTCCTGTTGTTGGCCACTATGCTTCATTCCAAAACCTTTCTTTTTAGTGTTCTTTGATGATTCTCTTCCAAGTTTCTCAGTTACTACTACTCCTTCTCCTAAAGGCAGTATACCTAGCCCAAATCCTGCTTCAGCATCCCTGTCTCCTAATCAACACCCAGTTAATCTTGGCATGACATTTTTGCCACACCACATAGTCATTTACTTCCACTTTTCAGACATCTCCAGCCTTTCATGAAGATCTTTCAAAGTGTTTCAATATTTTCTATCCTCTTTCAATACCCAAGTTTTTCTAATGTGCATTACCTTGTGCATTCTCAGTTTTGTTTCCAGAAAGGTCACATACACTACTGAATTTCAGGAGGGTGTTTACTTCAGTGATCTTGGGAGTTAATTCACACAACCACTCTTCTACTATGAAATTTCTCATTCCATGTTGGTCTTCTGTTTGTAAAATTTATATTCACTTTTTCTGCTTCTTTTGTTACTTCTGACTTCTCCACACTGACCCTCATTCCACTAGATCCTGTCACCTTTCCTACTCATGCTATTTCTGACTACAAAGACTAACACAACTCTTTGTGCACAATTTCTAACTACAAACACCAACAGACTGAATGGCCCTGAAAACAGTGTAACACACCTTTGGCACTTCAAGTGTACAATCACTGGTGCCAGTCTGTCACTATTACATTTACAGAGTCTTTTCCATTTACGAGACTTGCTGACTTTCTTACGGCTAATAGAAGGGATCACATAAGAAAATCTTCACTCCCATTCCAGCTTAAATTCATCAATCTTTAACACAGGAACCTACAATTTGGTCATAGTGATGATTACTCACTACTCCAGGGGCAAAGTGCAGGGATGTATTGCCTGGTCCTAAGTGGCAACTGAAGACCATGTGTCTAGAGCCAACAACACTTACCCAGACCCTGGCTAACACCCCTCACACTGTCTTCCTCTGTCACATTCAACTGGTGAGGCTACAAGGAGGAGGCAGAAAGTCCCTTTAGCTGATAAACACACAGCTTTTTGTTTGGGACTATCACAAATCATCCTGCTTCTACTGCTGCAGTTTCTATATCCTGAAAACTATTGCCCATTTCACGAAGTATCAAGCATGTGTAGCACAACCCACCTTTGGTAGAGCTATGCTGCATTACCTCCCATGCTTCATGTATTTTGTGGCTTTGATTACTTTTCTTTTTAGAGGCAATCTAGCTTTTAGACTCCCATGGGCTCCTAAATCATGATGTTCTCAATGTAGTTCTTAGCTAGGTAAAAGTCTTGATGGCATCAGATGAAGATCTCTCTACCCTGGAGATTGTTTATCCAAGACCTGAATTTCTGTTCCCTGAAAGAGCAGAAGCGGAATAGCAAAGGCTTCATGTAGTAATATAAAAACTCTCACTACATTTTCACATCCATCCCCAATTAGTCCCCAGATGAGCAATTCACCTGCAGCCAAAGAATCTTCTAAATTCCTTAGAATCCCTTATATTTAATAACAACAACAAATCATTCATTCACCCTGAACTACAGCCACTCCACCAGAGGACTAGTTGTACAGTACACAAAGAACAGCAGGCCAGGAAAAGGCTGCCTTAAATCCCAGTATGAGGAACTGACTGAAAGAGCCTCTACAAGTTCTGAAGTGTCAGTCAGTGGGTTATGAACTCATCAGGAGCCACTTAAGGATAGTCTTCAGTCACATACAGAAACTCATGCCATAAAAATAGGAGAAAATAACATCCAACACTCAGCATTAGTAGGTGCAGAGCAGTAAGCTGCACAGTCTCCTTGCCCAGCCTTGCAGTTTGAACGATATGCTGAAATCAGACTGTTTGCTCATGAGATGTCATATTAGGTTATTTTGCCAGCAGGAAAACATATTAGCAATTTGTAAGATGCGAATAATTATTCAATGTAATTAGGAATATCATACCTGGTTTTGATCGTTGTAGTCACATTCCCGAACCACTACCAGGCCTCCTTTCTGACTTGGGTGGCCCTGGGCAACCAGGCATTTGTTGGTTTGAAGGTGATACAACTATGAAAGGAAAACAGTTTAATGGACAGAGTAAGCAACAAATATCACACACCAAAGGGAACATTGGTAATGCTTTGGAAGCCCTAGAACTCAGTGCGCTCACAAAAAAGAAACAAAAAAAAGAAACAAAAAACCCCCCAAAACAACAAACCAAACAACAACCAACCTCACAAAAAAACCTTTCTTTTGTCTTAAAATACCATTTTGTTTTTCAGAGAGTTTGGAGAAGAAACAGCATTAAGTAGTTACATTTTGCTTTCTTATTACGTCAAGATTTCCCTCCCCATGGTACAAGTGCAGTACATACAACCTGGCTCAGCACACGCTGGCCACACACTCAAGTTTTTTTCCCCACTTCACTCTCCATGAAAGTCTCAGGTCCTAGATATTCACTAGCTCAGGAATATCAACTGAACTGTATAAACTATATTTTACTACAGTTTAGCTTAAACATAAGTCTCCTCTTACAGCCTCTCTTCATGAAGCAGGACCACCTCTTTGAAAAAGGAGAAGAAATTACTTAAACACAAACAACTTCAGAGACCTGCGTTGTTTGCAAATATATTTTCAAGAGCATTTCAGTAACTGAAAAGCCATAGTTACAACTATGTTATTTTAATGTCAGATCAGGGAAGAAGAGCATATTTTCCAAACACCCAAATGCTCATTCCAGTTCAAATGCACTGCATCACCTGATTTGCAGTAATGTTGTATCAGAGGACTAGATTCAGGTCAGGAGACAGCCCTGTGATGCAACACTGGAAGCATCTATCACCAAAGCAAACAAGGAGTTTCTTAGCAAGTTAGCAATCTCTCTCCTGGTCTGGGGAATGATGGCCACCCTAGAAGTCACCCAGGAGGTTTTCTGTAGAGTTGGAAGATCAGGTTTTCAGATCTTGACGTATCCCCAGAGAGTTACTCAGTGAGACAAACCACCTCTCTTGTAGCTTTAAATTACATGCATGCCCTGAACTAACTGGTGGCCAGCAGAAGACTTCTTTTCAGCCTGATTATTTTTCTTCCCCTGATGTGGTGGGGATCAGCCTAGTCAGGCAGCAATCACTGCCTGCGCATCAAGAACTGCACTGCGCGCAGCCGAAGGTACAAAGGAGGAAGGCAATCATTCTAGCAATGGCCACAACTACGGCACGTCCTTCCTCGCAGCAGAGCCCCGCTCCCTGCCGAGTGCCTGGGAGCGCATTTGACAGTCACTGGGTGTGTGCACGTGTGGGAGATGGCAGGGCCCCAGATCTGGCATACACATTAAAAATCATTATTTCCAATCTGGAGCTAAATGCAGAGGAAAAAAAACATTTGCTGTCCTGAACTCAAGGCCAGGCTGATTAATTAGCTAGCTGCATTTTATTACGAAGACATACATAGCTATCTCAGTATTTGTATTAATTCTACAGATTTTTAGAAACCAAACAACACTTCCAGTAATGAAAAGGAAGAATTGTACCATCACATGATAACATCAGAGAGGGCAAATACCAAATAATATTCTTTACTAAACACCATTTCTGGAAATAGCTGTCTCAAGGCACATCAACAGCCTCCTCAAGTGCACCATGTTTCTCCTGTTCCCTACACACATCTGAAACAAATTACACAAAACATTCTAAGTAACATTTCCTCACACCCTAGAGACTTCTAGGAGATCTCATTTTCATCATTCCTCACTCAACAGAAGGCTTTCAAACCATGTAGCTATATGAATTTTATACGATTTCTGTCCTTGTTTTTATTGGCCATGATGATCAGCATTTGATAACACTGTTAAGAACTGTCACAATTTGTGATCACTGCAGTTATTCCCAGCTCTCAAACCAACACTTATCTCTGGCCCAATTAGTTTTTGAGAATAAACTGGGATTTGGAGTGATTCATCCCAAATCCTAAAGAGTCTGGCATGCAGTGGTGACATTGGCTGATCATTCTGTTCCTTGTAGGCATCTGGAAATAGTTTATACAATCATCAGAGCCAAAGCTGACTCTCTCACACAATGCTGGGTATAATTCTTGAACCCTGGAGAACAAAGCCAAGTAACTGCACTTTTCTGTGTCTGGTCTCCCCCTTCTTAAAGGGTACACAAAGTTTTTCTCCAAATTAAACCATGGGAAATTATTTCTAGGAAGATTTCCCCTTAAGTGTTGTTGAGGGATTCAGATCCCTCAAGTAGCCTCTCCCACGTCAGCAATTCCTTAGTTAAACTTCTGTCTGAATGAAAGCAGAAAGCTATTAAATTTAACGGCGGGAGGTGGGGAAGGTCTGACTAGAGGAATAACAGCATTTAACAACTAGGGGAATCATCTCACTGTATCAGTTTTATCCAGGGAAACTATGCATGTTTGCCCTAATAAATAACTTTACAGCTTGACTAGGATACTATTATAAAAATCCTGCAAAATTGTGGATTCACCGATAGCTGCTTCCAAGCAAAAATCTAATGATGTCAATAGGTTCTGCATGAACTTGGGTCCTCCAGCCTGAATCTACTTGCAGGAACAGCAACTGTCAATAGCTACTGCAGCCTGTGTTACCTTGTGGAGAGGGCTACATTGCTATTTAATGCTTCCAATTATTGAGCTAGAAGGGAATCTGGTACACATAATCTATGTGCACATGAAATAGTTTATTCAAATGTCTTCTCATTCACAGAGAAGACCTTGAGAAAGTTGTCTTGAGTTTGAAATTATCCATTATTTTGGGGAAGCGTAAAAAGCACACATCAGATGAATTAGGTGCTGGAAAGAACAGATACAACTGTATGATGGCTTTGCCTGCATACAAACCCATAAACATAGGTGTCAGAGCTAAGGGATGAATTTAATTATTATTTCCTTCATAAATACACGTAAAAAAATACCTCTTCACTTTGACTTTGAAGAAAAAAGAAGCAAAATTAATTTTTTGTTCATTATCTAACAGTCAAAACTAGAAAAGCCATCATCAGTCTCAGATGCAAATGTTCATCTTTGCAGAAAATTATCCAGTAAAAGGAATGGGTTTGGAAACTAATTACATTGTACTCTTATCATAAGCCAACAGAACATGAATATTTGACACCAAATTTCTCTATCCAAATCCATCTTTAAGACCAACAGCCATGAAAGCGCATTCTAAAGACATCAAAACTTTACAAGGCAGAGCTTAGTAGAATAGTATCCAGTCTGAAGATTACCTGAAATATAGATGAGAGTGAAACCGATTTACCTTGGTCTGAAGACACAAATTCTGTTATTTTTAAGACAGCTTGTTGCAAAACCAAAACTCTGTGCTCTATTGAAACAGACTATTGTTCTTGTATTTGAGCAAATCTTTCAGAAAGAATTTCAAATTCATAAATAAAACAGAATTCTATGTTTTTAAGAAAGTTTATCTTACCCTTCCACGCTGGATTATTTTCGGTCGTTTCTGTGCTCTATTAATAAAAACTGGCTGCGGAGCTTTGGCATTGGGCCCAGATATTTGCATCTCAGGATATATATTATCTAAATACCATTTAAATGACTTGCAGTTCAATCTTTTTCTCAATTCTACACGGTCAGTAATATTTCCATAGTTCCTCATCCTTAGCTCGGGTCTCAAAGCAAAATACTGCTCCTGTATTTAAGAGAAACAGGTTGGGGACAAGAGGAGAAGAATTTCAGATTATTTATTTCAACTTTTTCCTGTTAGCAGAACTCCCAAAATTTAGTTTAATTTTGCTAGTGCTTTCAACCATTATATTTGAAACTGGCATTAGGAAATTCCACTGTTTAGATAGCCACAGGAGGTGAGATTTATCTTACCTAACTCTGAATTAATCTTTCTAAACTCTTATTTTTGATGAAGACACTTCTCGGGCATCTGCTCACCTTTTTTAGATGCCAACTTGAGGAGGAAACAAATCAGCCCTACACTCCATTGGCAATAAAGGCATCCTAGAGTCATTAAGTCAGAAACAGATGTGTATATCGTCATCTTCATCTGGCAAAGGTTTCTTTAAATTATTTTGTCTAACTGATTGTTTTTGTTGTTGTGGAGTTAAAGTGTATTTTGTCTTCCATAGTTTCCATCCTTCCAACTTTACAAGGTACCAGGGCAAAAAAATTCTATATCAGAGTAGACCTATAAAGGGGACTACCTTGTGGAGTTCAGTTTTTCCCATTCATCCGCATCATCTCCAGAAAGGCTCCACCAGTGTTATTTTTTTCATGTTCTGTTTTATGATTAGACTCAGAATTGTACCTGGTTAGGCAAGGACTGATTAAGAATCCAGCTCAATCTAGGAGCTGGTTCAACTCGAATGCAGAGGCAATGGGGACAAACAGGAATTCATGAACATACAATGTGGCATGAATACTATTACCGAAACTAGAAGAAAACTCCCCTTGTATAGTCTTTAATTTCAGCTAGGAGTACAGAGCTCATGAAAAGGCATTGTATTTGCACACTAACTCATTTACTAGATATTATTTAGAAATCATTTTTCAGGGCACTGAGCTATAGTATTTTGTTGGGTTAATCTCTAGTAGACATCTGGAATTTACTTCCTATAATGTGGTTCTGACAGTTTTCAATTACCTACTGCTATCTCTGATATTCAGATGACAGACAGTATCATCTCAAGACAAATTACACATCTGTCCTTATCAACATTTTTGATCTTTTAGATATGCTTGATGTATCACTGCTATCTTAATAGCAAAGGAAGGGGAAGCAATAAGTACATTGGACTGTTGAACAACTCTGAGGAAGCTTGGAGATGGACTGGACATCACTATCAGAAATTGGTCTGCTTCAAAAAAGTAGCTCTGCTATTACAATTGTGTCTTTCCTAGTTAAAGTACAAATTTTAGTATCCTACCTTTTCTGCATTATTTATTTCCATTGTATACATGAACCTACTCTTTACATTTTGCCTTTGACAGTAATGAAAATGTTGGTGTTTCCCTTCCATTATGCAATTTAATTTATTAAATATTGGTATTTGCTCTTTGCTGCAAAACAGGTCCTTTACATCTTTGTACCATTCATCATACAATCACTTCGGTAAATTATACTGGCCCTATATATTTGCATTACACTTATAACACCAAAAATATTTCCAGGCTTGCCTTCCATACCTAAATCTGTCATAATGACACTCTCTGGCAGCTATCAGAGAAGTAAATTAGAAACAAGTGGAAACATTCAGGACGCAAATTGTGATAAGGGACTGCTAGAATCAGAAGTTTAAGTCCTTGTTGGACAAAGCAGCATTAGCTGGAAATTATAACAAAGAATCAGTTCCAAGCTTCAGAGAAAGCCACCATTAATCACAAAACAACTGTGCCCAGACACCAATAAAAGGGAAAATGATAGATCAAATCCACTGATGCATTATGGAGATGGTGAATGGAGATAAAAATTAATGACCCCTAATAGGTTTCTCAAACTGACTGAACATCAAGATAAAGGATGGGGTTTGAAACATAAACCTCTAAAGAATATAAAGTTAATAAAATATATCTTGTATAGAGATTGTAGGGAACACAGGAGCTGGCCACAGAGCAAATCCTATGGTCTCACAAGGCAAAATGTCTCCAAGTACCACAGAGATGAGGGCTTCACAAAAACCTGATCCACATTCAAAAGCATCAGTACCAAGATCTGAAGACAAGGAAGGAATTCGCTTGCCCTTGAATCCAGAAGTCAATCCTGATTGATCTTCCAGCGCAAGACAGACTAAGAATCAGACTGATAATTAAAACAGAAAGCAAGCAATCAACTAACAAAATCCCCATCTCACCAACATGGAAACTACCTGAAGGCATATAGTAATATATGACTGCCACGTAATACTGATTTGGACACAAAGCAATGCAGATCTTACAAGAAGTCATGAATCATCTTTTCCCTCATTAAAAAAAAGGCATAAAACTGTATCTCCTGCAGTCAGCAGAAATAACAGGGAGGAGACTTGAGCACTCAAAAGCCAAAAATTCCTACAGAATTTTGGAATTCATATAAAAATTAAATCAGACTACAGAAGGAAGACCCCATTAGAGGTGCTAACAGACACCACCATGATACAGTCCTTTGACAAACAAGCCAGTTAATAACCTTATTTCCTGACCTAGAATTGTCTCTTACCTTATATTCATCCATCCACACATGTGCCAGCCTCAGTGAGTTATGAGCCATAGTGTCCTGTCCCCCTGGTGAACCATAGGGACGTCTTTTACGGAAAATGTGTCCCACCCTGGAGCAGGGGATGATCAGAAGTCTACCACCACACATCCAGATCTGTCCATACAAAAGTAGAACATACCTCATTGCATATATACTGACAAGGCTCGCTACCTTACTACCTTCTCCCCTTCTTCAAGGGATACTTAGGTAGGTTTATGCATTACAATAAGATCAGGTGTCAGCAACATTGTCCTACATGTTATGATTTCTCACAAATCAAATCATTAGGTTGTCAGGTTAGAGAAGACTATTTTTGTAATACTGTCACAATTGCCACATAACATGTCATTGCTTTCACAAAAAATAATAGTAAATTTTCTAAAATTTTATGCTCTAATGACCTATTAGAAAACAGTGAAATATATCAGCTGGGATTCAACTTGAAGATTAAGATATCTAAATTTAAAATTGATCTAAATTTATCTAAATTTATATACCTACATGAGAATTACATGTCCACACTCCCACGATAGATAATGAAGTTCTGGCGATATCAAGGGAGCCTGAGATCTTTTCAGCTAAGTATAAGCACCTATTTATTTTACACAGCTTATTTATTTTGTTTCTGTTAAGTATATAAGAACTCAAGAAATACAGTTCGCATTCAGATATTACATTTAGGTGCCTTAGTCCAGCTCCATTGCACCCCAGATCTAGATTTCATTTACAGTCTACCTTCCATTTATTTTTTCTAATTTCTTTTTAAACTTCCTCTTCAAGCAAATTATCATCATTGGCCCTTTGTTGGACTAATGTGTTCTCCAATCTCAGAAAAATCTTCTCACATAGCAGTTTATAATCAAGTCACTTTAAAAACTTCTCCAGGATAAGATAAAGTCTAAAAGTTGTTTATAACTCTCCCCCAGGGACAAGGGGCTTCCAAACTTTGTAAAGCTCTCTGAATATAGTCCAATTTTTCAAAGTCCTTTTTTATCGAAACTGTGTATTACAAACTAACAACAATAATTTCTTCACACTCCAACACTTCTACTCAGATAACTAATAATTATATTTCGTACTAAAAACTTGAAAAAAATGTGTTTATTCAGTACATACCCCTTTAAAGTCACTCACATTTATGAAATGCCAGTTCTTATTTTTGAGCTCTAATCTTGATTTATCTAATGACCTCATTTGACAGACTTCTCTAAAGTTTTGGTCATTTTGTGTTTGGTTTTGGGTTTGTTTGGTGGGTTTTTAGATGCTAACTTCACTTTTTAATTCCCTTTTCATGTTTATCATTATAGCATGGTTCTTGTCAAACTTGTTGGTGAATCTGCTTCATGAAAGTGAAGAGGTAAATATGACACTAAGCACAAAAAGTTGTTTTTCTTTCAGTGGAGTGATATGGAAGGCGAGATAAAATATAGGAAGCCAAATGAAGTATCACCTTCAAATCTCCTGATTTCTCATTATTTTCCCAACCAAGCTACTTCTCTACATGACGCTTAATTGAGTCATAAAATATTTACATTTCCAGGCCTTCATAAAGGAGGCTGAAGTGTCTGAAAAGTCCCAAACATGTCTAAGAAAATATAATAAACTTACTTATTATCAATGTCGCTGTGAGCCACCCACCTTTTTAACTGAGTTGTGAAATTCATTAGACATTGCCTATAAACTCATTTCAGAAATGTTCATGGTTGTTCTTTTCTTATGCTTCTCTACAGGTATTATGAAATGCTCCACCAAACAAAGAAAAATCCACAAACATATAACTACAGAGCTCAAAATTCTCTTTAATCTTCCCATTAAAACTTGAAGCTTATTGTAAAGGCAGTTACTGTGTGCTGAAGGAATCCTTCTTGGGAACAAAAGTGCCAATTTCTGCTTGAAAATAGCTATTCCAGTGCTAAAGAAATTGTACACATGGAAGAGAAGCAGCCAGACACTGAGGCTCATACTCCAATAAACATAAAAGCCAGATTACCCGAAAAGATATTTCCAGATTTTCTCCTCCCCAGATGTCCATGCCACTATCGTATTGTCCAAGTTCATTAAAGTACTCACGATCCATAGCAAACAGGCCTCCAGCCATAGTAGGTGACCTAAAAAGTAATATTGAAAGTTCATTCTCTTTTAGAGAAAAAAAACCCACTAATTTTAGCTGAATCAGCTAGTCTCAAAGCTAAAATTTATATCTACATAATACAATTTAAATCCTGCAGACACTAGAAATCATCAGCCCACACTTCTAGTCTCAAAACATTTGCAGATCTGTGAGTAGTATTTGTGAACTTTTATTATTATTTCAATACTTATAAACCACATTTGTTTTTATAGTGAACCCCAGGAAAAAGGATAGGACAGAAAAAAATGAATTAGCTGTGTCTCTACTAAAAAAAAAAAAAAAAAAAAAAAACAAAAAAAAAGGACAAAACAAAATTTAAAAAGTAAAAACTTGTGTAAGTTTGTAATCCATCAAGTTTTCTACGGTGAAACTTTGGAGCTGACTTTAATTAGATGTGTCTTTACCAGTACCTAGCTCCCCTACAGTTACAAACGTGTACTCTTGCACATACTAAAGTGTTCTTCCCCTTCTTACAAGGACAAGCTATACAGATCAGGCTTGACTGAACTGCAGAACGAATAGAGCCCAGAGTACACATTATTTTCTCATATTAAATTAGATCAAGAATCAAGGTCCAAATTTAAATTATACAAGCCAGGAGGCTGCTAAACGAAATGTTACTCTGTGTCATAGAACTTAACACCAGGAGCAGTGTTGTTTCATCACTGATACAATGATCAATTTATTGGTACGTTATTTACAGTTTATACATTTGCATAGCTGTTCTCTTCATCATTTCCCAGTTTTTTGCCTTGCCTGTCTGTTACTAGAATGGTGCTCTATTATGTAAAAATCTGTACATGATCCCCATTATACAGTCTCTAGATTGTACTGCTACTGTATCACAAAGTTATAACTTGTGGTTGTCCTAGAAGAGCATAAAAAAAGAGTGAAAACACTAAATATGATACGATAGTTGGAACAGACAGTGGGCTGGGAACAGGCTGCTTCTCATCCTTGTTAATAAAAACCTGAAGAAAGCAAGCCAAAGTCTGGATTTCCTTGCTTGTTCTCACACAATTTTCTACTACAGTTTCTGTCACTTTAAAACCTGAGTTGAAAGGTTGCTCTCAATTTTTCCATCCCTGACACCAAAATATTTCATTATGAAGGTCTCTAAAACCTAAAAGGCAAGACTTTCCATTTGATAGAAAGACATCTTCAAAGGTTAAATAGCAATCTAGCTTCTTTTTCAGCTGGCAGAGACCTCTGAGTAGGAAAAGTCACTTTCATACCCAGAAAACATAATCTTTTTAGATGATTAGACTCCCTTTAGCTATAAAGTTCTCTGCCTTTTTCATGGCAGTTTTTCCTAAAAGTGAGTTGAAGGAATGCAACAACAGTGTTGCACACAGCAAGAACTAACGCTCAGGCATTCCCCAGATTAACTGTGAGAACAGTTCTTAACAGAATAAGGAGTTTAAGACTTTCTATGCTGGTTTCCCATTCAGATTTTCCCAGTCTGTCCTTTCCCTTCTAGCTTCAGAAACTGCCACAGTGACACTTTCCAAACAAGCCAGTCAAACTGTTAAATAAATTAAAGGATTTTCCTGGCTTCTCAGACCAAATCTTGTGATGGGTAGACGTGGAAAGACTAACTGCAGAGCTGTCAGACGACAGAAGAGAACCTTATGCTGGAGCTGCTTGCATCAGCCTGAAATGCTCTTCAGCTACTGTCCAAGAAAAGAGAATGAAAGAGATGAGACTGCCCAACTTCTGATTTACTTCATAAATCTTTTAAAAGTACCACATTATCTGCAAGGAGTTGGTTTGTAAAAATGGTATAGTTCTTCCACCTTACAAAGCTGGATTCTGTACTTGGACACCTGCAACTTGAAAAGGAACAATCAGCTTCTTGCCATTGCTCTACCAGCACTGGCCCTTCTCATGAAGGGATTCACACTGAGACAGCTTCTATTCTCATGTCTGAACCATATGTGTCTGCTACTAAAAAAAGGTGTCTACTGACATCATTTTATAGCAGTTACATGTCCAGCAGGAACCAAATATTGCCAGTTCTGTACAGGCAAGACAGCCATCAATGGTTAAGACTCTCAAAAGACCACAAAAACAATACGCACAGGTTTCCAACAGACATTTTTAGGTATTTGCAATGTTATGCAAAGAGACAAGTCATATTTTAAAGATAGTTTTCACATCAGTGTGTGGTCATTTAAGAAGCGCTATGATAAAATAATTGCTTGTTTGAGGAAAAATATAAATGAAATCTAAAGCAAAAAAATTACATTGACATGGAGAATTACCATATGCTCTGATGTTCTTGTCCATCAGCTAGGACACCACCTTCCCATTACCACAAAAACATATTTTCCTGATCTATCAGTTCTTTAGTATTTCATCACAGAAATTATAAAGCCTAGATTAGTGGGATAAGCAGGCTATTACTAGCATAAAGGCAGTTATCAAAATCATCATTAAGCCAAACACATTGACGGACTGGAAACAAACATCCGTGCATTGCTCAAAAGTGAAATTATTGGACAAAGCCAATACAGAACAGTAAAAGCTCCTTACGACTTTAACCTTTAGCAAAAGCTGCTGTTGTATAAGCTTTCTCTGGAAGTGTGCTTTCTTGACATGATAAGACAGATATAAACAAGTCAGATATTTGACAGGTTAGGCATCTGCTTCTAAAATTGCACACCCAGATAACATTCAATAATGCTAAGATGTGCTACTGGTCGCCCATTACACGGAGCTTCACACCACATAGAAGGAACCTTACTTGATTGGAGCAGTGGCTCCCTCGGGTCCTTCCAGTTCTGACAAAGGAACAAGATCCCACTTAAAGTGCAGGCCCCAGTTAAACCCTCCGCGCACAACCGGGGAAGAGCTGTAGGTAAGCGTGTCAGCACTGATGATGTCAATCACAGGGCACACCACAGTCCTGCGATCTTCTCTGATGGGAGTCAGCAGAGGTTGTAACCACATCTCGTTCACCTCACAGTGACTGTCCAGGAATACCAGCACTTTCCCTACAGAGGTCAAAGCACACAAACACAAAGATGCATGGTAATGTGAAACACAGACACATGGGCAGTTGTATGGGCAGCAGGGTATCAGCAGTATCCTCACCACGCTGCGTAACAGAGGGGAAACACCACCTGCACTCAGAAGCGCTGACAAACCAGAGTGTCCACAGGGATTAGTTCAGTCACAAAGGCAGAAGGTAGATGCTGACTATTCACATTGAGCTACGGATTGCTCAAGTCGCCCGCTATTTGCATTTCTTTGACAGGGTTTTGTAGTCATCAAATTTTCTACCCGGATTCAGCAGAGTTACTGTACTTTAAGTGAAATATCATCAGATCAGCACTCTAGGTCAGGAGGTGCGTTTGTTCTAACACAGAGCACCTCCCATGCCTGAGTTAGACTACAGAGATAGCCAAAGATGACAGATACTGGGCTGCATGAATTATCTCCATGACAAAGCTGGTTTTGTTTACTGACTATAATTGCTTTGGGCTTGCTTCATATCACACTTCACCATCCATCCAGCTACTGTTGCAGCTAAGATCTGTGGATTCTAAACCAAGTTATTCTGATGAATTCATTTGCAATCATCCATGACACGGGTCATAACATTTCAATTCCTGAATATAAAGTAACAGAGACCATCTCCCCATTTCATTAGCTCTAGAATGACTGGGGATTCATACAAGTTTAAAAGGAGAGTGAGTGCCCTAAATGGGCATAGCCAAACCCACCAGCATTAGACCAAGAAATGCTCTGGGGTCCCATCAGTTTACTTGGGGATTATCCACCACAGTCAGAGAAGGCAGTTTGATCCATGAGATCCCTTCAAGTTCAACTGGTCTAAAAAGTCATCTGAATTTTTACGATATAACATAAAATTTATGTAACACTAGAATAACATGGAAGACACAGGAAAGAGCTTTAAAGAAAACAACTTTGAAACATACAAATATAACGAGTCACCCTTTAACAAGACAGTATTTGACTGAGAAAAAAAAAAAAAAAAAAGGAAAAAGACTCCAGCAGTTCAGAAAAAGCAATAAAATTACTTAAAATTGCACTAATTCAAATAAATCCTAGCACAGCTTGGAAAGTGCAAGCAGAATTTTCTCTCTGGATTATGCTATTACAATGCTAATGAGTAAACATCAATTAAGAGACTTTATCTGCCACTCAAAATTATTTGAGAAAGTAGCACTTACTTTCTCAGACACCAAAGAATCTAACTGGAAGCATGTTGTGGTAAAAGGTGCACAGTGTACATAAAGCACCAAAAATTGTTTATCCCAATTAACATTCACTGCAACAACAGAAAATCTTGCATAAGAAGCATTACAATTAGACTGGTGAATTAGAAACCAGGTTAGAGTGTACCTTAATAAGGAAACAGATTGCCATTTTAAAGCAACAGTTTTCACATGAAACATGCAGAAAATATTCTGTGACCACACCATCTAGTGCAGATAGAGGTGTTCCTGAGACAACATTCTTACAGGGCAGGAATGGGGAAGATTTACATTGCCTCAGTAAATTTTATCAAATACTGATTCTGTTTTATTATTTCATTGACCCACTCTAAAAAATTAATCCATTTAATTGAAAGGAAACTTCTACAGGAAGAAAACATCAAAATAAAACCAATCTACAGTTCAGACAAGGTTTAAGAGACATTCAAATTTTGTTCCAAATTTTGAGAAGTCATCATTGGGGTGACTTGAAAAAAAAAATCTCCCCCCTCTTACACAGCACAAATTTCCTAAAGTTCATTACAAACTATAAAAACAGTGAATTTATATCTACTCTATAATTACATATAAGCAAGTACCAAGTCTTCCTTGCTTCCTTCTCACTGAGTAACAGAAAAACCTCAGATGAGGACTAATTCAGTAAAGCTATGAGAAATACTGGTGAAGGCTTTATAAGGATCATCATCAACTGCATGATCTAAACATTTCAATACACGAGTAGCATTAGTTAAGGTCTCCAATTATCAATACACAGGTATCACTGAAGACTTTGTGTAGCTGTTGAGATATAGGTTAATATAACAGCCAAAGATCAATGCAGTTAACTCATTTCAAGGTCACTGATATCTGCAGCAATTGCTAAGATGTCTTTCACTTAAGATAGCATTATCCCAAATCTTTCTTCCCCTGCGATACGTTGTGTAGCTTAGAACATGCCATGACATGCAGAGCCCCTACAATGGGCTACAGCAATCACAGGTTAAACATTCAACAACTGAAAAAGCTGCACTACAGAAAGAGAGGTCACCCAATTAACATTTGGCCAAAGTATGCAAGGAAAAGAGAAACAAGAAAGTATACCTGTGGCATGAGAGGCTCCAATCATCCTTCCTCGAATCAATCCTTCCCGCTTCTCATTTCTCACCAGTTTTGTGGTTTTTGGAAGCTGAGTTTTAACATATTCACCCAAGTCCTTCTTCAAGTCAGCTGAGAAAAGGAAAACAAGTTCAACAACATGATGGAAATTGTGAAAGCTTTGTTTAAAGTCCCAAGATGTTTAACTCAAAAAGGGACAAAAACTTGATCAAAAAGCTACCTCAGTACAGCGCAGCTTCAAACCAAGAGTTTCAAAAGGACAGTCAGTCATCCTGCATCTTACACCTGTCCTCCAATTCCTGTGGCCTTTTCTTGTTGTTTTATTCACACATTTTCCTATTAACTGCTTCACTTTTTCCTGCTGCATTAGGGAAACCCACATGGACAAAGCAGGTGCATACCCTGCATTGAAGAGGGTGATGTGACTGAGTCTTCCATAGGGCATGTTTCTGCAGATAATTGGGAAAATATAAGGAAGTGCTTAACTTTTCATACACTGCCACTGCCTCAGGTTTTATACTTAGCCTTCAGTTCCTGAATACTGGATTGTTATCTTTTTCTTCTGTTTGTAAAGCCTTTAGTACAATAGGATTCAAGTTAACTGTGACTACTAGACTCTATGCTAAAAGGAATTACTGCTGCTAAAAAAAATAAAGGCACTGTACAAAGAAATAGCATCTCCAAATTCTTGTCATGGTGACTGCCAGTTGCAGCAGAAGTAGTGAAAATCCTTTCACGTTCCATACACTAGAACAAATGCCAACAGCTTTAAAAAGAAGCATTAAGACACCTTTCATTATCTGTACCTGCTTAGCTGATACAACAGCAGATACAAAGTACAACTCACTCGCAGGTGGTTGCTTTTCTAAAAATCCAAAAGGGTCAAAGATACTGCTGGCAAGCATGTGCTTTTGAAGGAGAACAAAGTTCACTGAAATCTGTAGGCACTACTGTAACTTAACTATCATCAATGGCAATTTTAAGAGTAACAATACTTTTTTCACCTGAGGAAACCCAAGCCGTTTCTAACACTAAATTAGGAACACTGAAGAGAATATAGACACATGAAGACTGAAGTGATAGAAAAACATAACTTAGTAAGCTTATGGAGAAATAAAGAGTAATATTAAGTGAGGAAAAAAAAAAAAAGCCAGCTGAGACTTCATGGAAAACCATGGTATAGAGAGGCAGACAGACTTTCAAGAGACAATATGCTGGAATAAATATTATTATTCTGATAAATGTTAAATCAAATTTTAAAGTTGCTATTAACAAGATTAAATGTCAAAGGAATATATGTGGAAGCCAGAGATGTAACCCTGAGGAGGTACAAGGACTTTCAGGCAGGAAGACTGAAAAGGAGATTCCCAGAAGCAACTCTAATAGTTACGATCTCAGGCTTTGCACTGCAAGGTGGCATTGTCGATCAAGAATGAGAAGCTACCACGTAGCAAATATGGTGCTAGAGAATATTTTAGGACAAAGAAAAGTCTCTGGAGAGACGCAGACAGGATTCACTGGAGTCACAGGAATTCTCTTCCCCTGATCTTGAGTGTGACATCATATGCCAGAGACAATAGGAAAAATTTTTTTTGAGAAAATCTCCTAGAAAGTTGATGAAATAATGTCATCTCTAGGACGCTACCCAAGTAAGATACCCAAATAAGCAGGATAAAAGGATTTGCAAACCTAAAATAAACTCCTGCTTGGATCATTCTCCACCTGATGTATCTTAACAAGGGAAAGACAGTGTGCAAGTGTAGAAAACAAGGGGCTAGCGCAAAGCAAAAAGACCAGTTATCAAACTCAATACTTAGGGCAGATAAGACTGCATGAAAGGACTTAACATACAAGAGAAGATAGTTTTGCATGTACAGTGGGATGTGCAAACTTCTTAAAACAGCAAGGGATGGGGGCAAACAAAAACAAACAAAGTGTCACGTCCATACTGGTAGCTATAATCAGGCCCACAACATAGGCTTGAGCAGCAGAATGTAGGAGCCAGTAGTACCTAAGGGCTAACATGCTCTCAGCGAACAGTTTTCACCCAGACAAACTAGTATTCTGCTGGGTACTGTGCCCAGCCATTGCCTGAGAGTGAATATATCATGGACAATTCTCAATAGGCAGTTTAGTCTCAGACACCTTTTGGGGTTTTCTATCAGCTTCATGTCCCCTTGGAAGACTGACGACTTCTGACATAACACAAAAAATTGCTTCAATAGAGCCTGCCTAAGAAATTTTGCTCCAAGGAGGGAATTGCCCCCTTTTAGCTCATAGACAGTGTCCAAAAATTATATTAGCCATTATCTTGCTCCGTATCTATGGAATGAAGGCTCCTCCAAACAAGAGAAATCTAGGATGGGAGTCAGGGGTGTTATCATTTCAAAGAGCTGAGTTGCAGATAATTTGCTCCTTTTCCGATCTTTGATTTCCTCTTCTCTGTAGAAGAATGCCTCCACTAACAGCCTTCAACATATCCTGTAGGCTGTTCCATAACAGGTAAAGCCTAAACCAAGGAGAAAGAGGTTGTACAAGAAAAACAAATCATGTTTTGCAGCAAAGGGAAAGAAAAATATAACAGTGGGCTCAGCTGAGCCATGGAAATGCTTGCTTAGCTAGTACGACTGTTGATGATTTCAGAATGATTTCAGAAGCTTTCTGAGGCAAAACTAGATGCAAAGACCCAAGCTTTGCATAAGAGCACTGATGTGCAGCAGACCTCCTGTATTTAAAGCTGAAGAAATAGGCAGAATTTCATCTAGGATACCATTTCAGGAAATATGCAGTGTAGGGAAAATGAATTTTAAAAAAAGAAAATATCAGAGAGGCATGGAGATTAAGCAATTTGCTCAAGCTCACAGAAGATTCATGGCACAACCAAAGCCTTTGGCCATTTCCTCAGTCACCACACCAGCCTTGACACTCTCCAGCTGTAAAATTCCATCCATTAAAACTAAGTAGCAGTGCAAACATCAGTTGTATCATCATCACCGAGAGCAGTAATTCTCTGTACAAACAATATCTCCTCCCACCTTCAGCTTCAAAACATGTTCATTTGAAATCCGGAAGGCAAAAGTAGCTACTTGAATGTTTTGAACCCAATTTGGCCTTCAAATTAGCAACAGACCAGAAGAGTGATGGTATTACTGCCTAAACACAAGCATTAACCAAATGTATTACCATATGCAAAAGACTGAGTTGTCAAGTAAGCTTAGTTCTGAATATGAAGGTTATGAAACTTTAGAGCAACAAATTGCACAAGAGACTTTGTAGCAAAGAGTGTGTATTGCTTCCAAAACACAAAACAACAAAACAAGCTTTTAAATATTACACATTCTTCTTAGCAAGGGACAGTGTTTGATCTTTGTTCTCTCCTGTATCTGAACATTTGATCTGACCTCTGAGAAATACACTAGCTGCACAAGAGAATTTCATTCTACATTATACATATCTAATCAGTCTCTTAAAGGAAGTGAGACCTTAACCCAGAAACCAAATGATGAGACCGAGGGAATGAATTATAGGTACCAAAAAAAAAAAAAAAGGAATCTAAAAATCATTTTTAAAATGCAAGAAGATGTGGACTTGTTCAGAGGCAAGCAGGGAACTTGCACAGTCCTGTTGGCAACTACTGCTACACTAACACTTTCTTCAACAGGTATTTCGCTTTTGAAGTGTGAAACACTTGAATTGCATGTCTGTCTTTGTCTTTTCCATCATTCGAGAGAAAAATGCCAGAACATCAATCTTCCAACAACAGTAAAGCAATTCTGCAAGGTCTACCCCTTCAGGGCCCCTCCCACATTGAGGGAGGGGAGGCAGCTCCACTAAGAGCCAGGGACAGCTACTCCTAGGGTGGCCACAAGAGGCTGTGCGAGAGCCACGCAGAGCCCTCCCAGCACAGGCTGAGCTCCATCCCAGCACCCACCAGTCTGAAATGCTAAGCAAGCACAAAAAGCTGACGCACTGTTTCCATAGTGCCACATCAATTTATTTGCAAGACCGCAGCTGAGACTATGTGCATTCAGTTCCTTTCAGATGCATTCACAGTTAGTAGTGGCCCACAAAGTTTATGGGAAGATCAGTGTAATCTGCTCTGAGCACCAGAGCAGCCCAAGCAAGGTACTGTTAAAAACAGCTGAACTATCAATTGCTTAATCAGCCCTTCTGCAAATACATGCTCCTCATTATTAGCTTCGAAACCTGGTTTTGAAGTCTGTATGATACAAAGCTCATCAGTAAAATGGCACCAGCAACAAAGGGATGTACATCGTCTTGGGCTTTTCAGAACATCACACAGATCTACTGGCTAGCACTTTTTGGAGATAGACTGCAGTACAAATTGGTTTTGCATTATGGCTTCTATGTTTTTATAGGACCGGTCAATAAAGCACAGGAAGATATAGGAAGGTCAAGAAGTGTAAGCACCAACCAAGATATTACTGAAAGGTTCTCTCACCCAATTCACTGTTGTCATCCACCAAAATAATTTCATGAAGAAGGTGTGCAGGAGTGCGATCCAGGACACTATGTACCGTGCGAAGCAGGGCAGAAAGCGCTTCATTGTAGAAACAGATAACAACACTGGCAGAGGGCAGATCAGGAGGGTAGGACTTCTCTCTACATCTGCAAACAAAATTATAGTACTTATCACTTTATTTTCAGTGGGGTTTTCATAGTGCTAGGTCACTACTTGTCCTGGGTTTGAGTGAGTGGTGGGTTTTTTGGTGGCAGGGGAGGGGGCTACAGCGGTGGCCCCCTGTGAGAAGCTTCTCAAAGCTCCCCTGGCTCCAAGTCAGCTCCACCTCTGCACAAAGGCCAAACCAATCAGCTGTGCCTCTGCAATAATGTATTTAAGAGGGGACCTGGGAGGAGGAGGAAGAGTTGTAACATTATGTGAACATCAAAGTCAGTGGAAGAATAGAGGAGGAAAGTGTGGGGGGGCGGTATGCTGGAGCAGAGACACCCCTGTATCCTGTGGTGAGATGGCAGGGCCACCCCCCCCACCCACAGAGGTATACAGTGGAACAGATGCCAACTTATGGTCTGTGGAGTGCCCCACACCATCTCAGGTGATGAACATGAAAGAGGCCTGGACCCTGTGGGAAGAAGCGGCCCCCGCTGTTGCAGTTCAGCACTGGGAAGATTGCAACAAGCCAGGATGTCCCATGCTGGAACAGCTCAGGGAGGGCTGCATCTCCTGGGAGGGACTCAAGTCAGAGAAAGTTGGTGTCCCATGCTGGAGCAGCTAGGGAAAAGCTGTGGCCCATGGGAGAGACTCGAGTTGAATAAAGTTTGTGGAAGACTGTCTCCTGTGAGAGGGGGACCACACTGGAGCAAGGGGAAGAAGCTCCACAAGTTCCACCCCTATCTCCCCAAGACGGAAGAAGCTGTAGTACTGACTGCACCCCCCATCCCCCGCCCCCTGCACTGCTGGGAGGAAGAGAGATATTGAGAGCAAAGCTGAGCCCAGGAAGAAGGGAGGGGTGGGGGGGAAGGTGTTTTCAAGATGTGGTAATGCTTCTTACTGTCCTACTCTGTCTATTAAGTGTTGTTGATGTTAGCGTCTGTATTAAATTTATGTTCTTTTTTTCTTCCCCCAACAAGACTGTCTTTTACTTGTTACCATAATGGGTGATTTATCCCTCCCTGTCCTTATCTCAAATCCCAAACCTTTGCTTATTTTCTCCTTCCCAGCATTTGGGGGGGGGGGAAAGGGGGAGTGAGCAGCTGCGTGGTGTCCAATTGCCCTCTGACCTCAAACCACAACACTACTAAAACATCAAAAATAACAAGCAAACACTAAATGTATAGGAACAACCCTTACCTTGAACATAAAGAGCCTAGGTGAATAACATCTATAGTAGGGCTCAGCATAGTAAGTTACTCTCCACATAATACAGACTTATAATTAACTCTGATACTTGTTGGAAAAAAGAGGATGTGATGGATTGTGGTGGGAGTGAGAATCACAGATCCTCAAGACAAACAAATAGAAAACACCAAGGGTTTGTTTTAGCTGTCAAAATACTGTCTAGTACCCTCAGGTAGCTCAGACACATGCAGGAATGGCAAATATGACACGAGGCCTACAAAAAAACCCACAGCTTTATTGGCCAGCTGCTGAAAACTACTACGTTGCATATCCTAGAATAGCTCTAACAGTGCTAAATACCTATTTAGACAACCAAGATTGGGATTCAGCCTGCAGATTAAGGCACTTAAGTCTAGTCACTGCTATCAGTGGAGTCTAGATAGCATTCAGTTTACCCTAAGCCTGACAAGTGCATTTTGTCAGCTGAAGAGCTCTCCATGCTCCATTAACTACATTTGACTGGAACTCTGCTAATTATTATAAAAGCAGAGACAATTGACTAACATGCAGCTAACGAAATTCAAGCATCTTAATCTGTGAGCTGAATGCCACTCAAAGCAGAATATCATTCTTTCTTTCTCCTTTTCAAATTTTGACCATACTTCTAATAGGACACAGTATCAGACTAATGCCATATGAAGATGTCAGGCATGATGGAATCCAAATAAAAATAAGAAACTATAAATGAGAACCCAGAATTACACAAGAAAAGTCTCCACATTGACTTGGAATGAACTCAGTTCTTGGGAAAGACATTTCAGCAAGTACGATTCATTACATTTACCCACATCAGAGAAACCACTAGAAAAGTAGATGTAGGTTTATTTATTTTTCAATTAAATGTTGGGGGCTTTTTGCTGTTGATACAGTTGTGGCTTTTTCCCCCCACATGCATCAGAGAGATTATAGGAAAAAAGTCTGCTTTTCAATAGAAAGTATTCAGAGCAGTGCAATCCAGATACCAAGCAAGGACTTTAACTGAGAAACAGAGAGCCTTTGTCATCAATCATTCTTCTATCTCATCCTCTGTAAGCTTACAACAAATGTGAAATAGCACATAAGGTGAAAAAGTCTCTTATTAACTTGGGCACTGGAACATTTAATGACCAGCTTTCAAAAGTACCAAACAGAACTATAGCATCTCTTCTGGTAGTTACAGTACTGAATATCTCAAAATAAAGCTTCAAAAAATAAAAATAGTCACATGTTTTTAAGTAACTGAGTACATAGCTAGGAAGATGAAAGAGACAGGATGTGTAATCCTAGTATTGCTAGAAAGAAAGTTTGATGCCTATGACTTTCCCACACTGACTTTTATTTAAAATATTATTTTCAGAATCTGTTTCTATCGAAATAGCTGTCTGCCAATTGTACTACTCACAAAAAATAAAGTAATATGATAAAAACTGAGTAAATGAATATTCAGTCCCGTTCCTCATTAAGCATCCATAAAGTAAATAAAGAATCAGGAACTGGCTTTCAGACAGTAGCAATCTTTCTTTTTCATGGGGCCTGCTTTCTGTGGGGCTTTACTTATCACATACCTTTTCCAGCTGGCAAAAAAATTCGATCTCCAGAAACAATATTCAGTCAAAAAAGACAGAAGAGACCAAAGAATAAAAATGTTAACCTCAAACACTCCTGTTTAAATAGCTGAAAATCTGCCTTCAGCAACATAGGAGGCTGAAAGAATATCTAACAGAAATGCAATACCAAAAATGTTAAATACTACATCAGGTATAACATGAGTAACAAGTCCTTGAGCACATGAAATTATACCATGTCCTTGCCAAAAAGTAGTACATACTTTGCATCTCTTGTATCAGGCACCTCCCTGTGGTATCCCAGCCGATTGCTGATAAGCATATTAAAAGCATGCTTCTGATAGCCCAAGTCTCTCACTTCCTGGTCTTCTTCATTAAAAATCATTCCTGCAAAAGAAACATGCCAGGATCAATTAACAGGCTGAAAAATAGCATTTGGAAACAATCAAGGAGTGAAACGTATGCTTTAACCTTCCCTAAAACACATAATGTTCTTTAAAAATCCCTCTGATTTTGCAAAGTGTATTATTGTGAAACTATTTTTGTTACCCTTCACAAATACATAGGGCTTATGAGTAGCCCTGGCAGCTGTAATAAAATGAAACAATTTTCTAAAGACTGAGGGTTCCATTGTATTTATTGCCTTACCAGATGTACTCCCTTCACTTAATGGCCTTGAAGACTTAGCACCACCTAAAAATCCAACATCAAACAAGCAACAGAGGATAGACTCTGGCACGTCAGCACTTATCCATACAGATGAAGGGTCTGTAATGGGATTTTTGAGAGAAAATACATATGCAATGGTAGAAAAACCCTCACAATAGCAGCTCCAGATTCATGCACTTTTCTCAAGTCTGCAACAACATGAAAACAGCTATGAAAAAATGTAAAATTCTTATTTCTCTCACCCAGGAATTTGACAGCAAGTAAAACAGCAACAGAGCTAGCTGTTTCTCTATTGATTCTTCTAGCAGAAGCATCAACTGTTTCTGAGCGTGGCAGAGGCAGCAACTGCTGGTATAAATAAGTAGTACACTGCTAGAAGCCAAGGTTGAAATCCTCAATGCCATCCTGCCTGCCTTGACTCGGTGTCACGCGCTTCTCTCATTGAGACATATACTCATCAGTGTGAATAGAAACAAAGTATTATGATGCTTCTCTCAACTCTTTTACAGAACACAGTAGAGGGAGAGGAGGGAAGTGGTAGCCACCACTTGTGTCTTCTAGCCACTTCTACAACAATTCAGGTAGCAGAGTAATGTCTTTTTATTGTCTCTGTTCAGCTGGCTGCACAGATTGAGATGCATATGTCCTCTCCAACTATTATCAAGTTACAATTTCAGTTTCACTGAAATTTCAGTACTGGAAGTGAGCAAGGATCACTTAATTTATCCCTTTCCACCTTGCTCATCATCTCTATATGGTCCAAAATCTGCAGAAAATAATAAGGGAGTTCCTCATTCACATGCATCCAGGATAGTATGTTTCATACAATCATAGACTAATTTAGGGTGGAAGGGACACCTGGTCTAATCCTCTAATCCAACTAGATCAGAACTTGTTTGCTCAGAACTTGTCCAGTTAAATTTTGAAAGCCTCCAGTATTTCTAAGGATGGAGATTCTACAACCTCTTCATGTCCCTGTCCGAGCATCTGACCACCATCTCACTGAAAATGTTTTGTCTCTTATGTAACTGAAATCTCCTTGCTTCAGTTTCTTGTCATAATCCCATGCACCTCCAGAAGAGCCCAGTTCCATCTTCCCTACACCCTCCCATTAAGTTGCTGTTGACAGCAATAAAATCTCCCTTTGGCCTTCTCTCTAGGGCAGAATAAACCAAATCCTCTCAGCCTCTCTCCAATACCTCATGTTCTCCAGTTCTCAACAGCTATGCAAGAGCCAGCTGAGCTCAAACCCAGAAAAAATGAGATGGGTTAAAAAATAGAACACAGAAAGGTCACTAAAAAAGCTTTGAAGCTTTCTTTCTTTTCAAACAAGTAATCCTGGTTGACCTTCAGAACACACCTCTGTCACTGCCAGTTGTGTTTCAGCCAAAGTCTACCTGTAGGTACAAGATGACCTTCTAGAGGGAATTCTGTGCACTCACATTCCCACCATTTACATTTCCCACCCTGTCGCTTTTAGTCTTGAGTACAGTAATGGCCATGCAGCTGCACTATCAAACATCTCAAGAGTAGATGCCTTGACATTTGTGCAGGACCAAGCAGGAAGCTCTGGGTAGTGATACCTGCAAAAGACGTGGGATACAGCCACACAGTGTGTCTTGTGGTGACTGGCTACTACACTGGTGGACGAGTGCTCCCACCGTGGGTAAGCTGCATCACGGGGGCAGTGCCACTCTTCTGGAACCAGCAGTCAAAAGGGGTCAGTCAGTCCCCTTTGAGCCACATGCATTTCCAAAGTAAGGTTTCCAGCTTGTCAGTTCAGACACTCAGCTCAATCATTCTTGAATACTCAGCACCACAGTAACACTGTGCCACTGGGTCAGCTTAAAACATTTTCTTCATACAAAGCATGAGCTTAACGAACACATACCAAATGTTTCATTTTACAATCCATCCATACCCAACCACTAACTACTTTTTCCCGATCTTCTGATTATAGATAAGGAGTGCTAATATTTTTAAAACGCTCTCATGAAGAACAATATCCAAAATGCATGCAAAAGGCCTGAAAGATTTAAATTCAAACAGCATATAGAAGTCCTTGGAAAATAAGGGCTTTGGAATCAAAACATCACTTGAGGCTTCACTTCAGCAGTGTTATGTGGCTCTCAGATTAATTAAAATAAAATATAATAAAAATAACATAGATTGCCCTACAAGATGGCAGTTTGGTTTTGGCTATCATATGCCAACGTCCCTTTCATTTTTTGTGCTTTGCATGTTTATCACTGCTCTAGCCTAGATAGACAGGAAGCCCTTTCCTGCAGCAACTGATCTAATTCTAACAGAGCACCAGCTGCCTCCTGATGATTCATGTAGAATTTATCCTGGCACTGTAACTCCCCTTGGCTTTCACCAACCAAAACAGTCACCTGGTTTGAAGATCAAGGGACTTTTCAGTTTGAAAGCTCCAATTTCTTTCCTGGCCCATACTAAATAGTTGGAAAGAAATGGCCACCTGTGAACTGGCCTTCACCTCACTTGGCTCTCATGCTTTTTGCAGTGAACTGATAAATATTTGTAATGCCATAGGGCAACATGAATCGGCATTTTTCCTACATATTCACACAGGTCTAATGACCATCTTGGAAACAGAAGTTTAGTAAAGTTCTATAAACTCTTGAAGCTCATGATCCATCATTCATCCAAAGTAATGACAGAGGACTTCAGTGAGATATGAGTACTAAACTCCTGGCTACAAAGGTGCTGTGCCTTATTTCCCAAAGAAGCAGCAGAAACCAGTACCACAACACTCAATATCTGCCTCCAGACTTAAAGCAAGTTTGCAAGCCAGTACGCAACATGCCTCAGTTTGCACATCTGAACACAGCGGCGAATTAGCTGTAAGCAGTTAAATACACAAAGCCTTTTAGTTTGGAAGACAAACCCAAATCATCTCATTGATGAAGTATGCTTCAGTGAAACACACAGACCTTTGTTGGTACAAAGCAAGCAGGATTCAGCCCTAACCACTGTCATGTCAATAAATCTTTCATTGTAATATTGTCCCACACACACTTCTTGTAGATGATCTCATACTCCAAGGATATTCTCCAAATCAATGGGTCCTCTTCACTGTGTATTGTTATCAAGCTATTTTTAATCACCGTATATGAGCAGTGTTTCTCTGTAGCTAAAGTTTATGTATTTGAGCCCAATCAATACAGAAGTAAGATACAAAACAAGCATACATTGAACTTTCCAAAAGCAAGAACTACAACAAGGGTAGACACCTAGCTGTAATCCAGTCCTCCTCATTAGCACTTACACAGCACAGCTGTAAATAGTAGGAATAGTATATTTTGGATTAAACACAGTAAAATAAATTTCAGGTAATTCTTAATGAAGAGGGCCACTAGTATCACTTGCATTTTAACAAACAGAAGTACTTCATTATACAATTTTCCCTGAGATCCTTTAAAAAAAACCCCTTATCTCATTTCTTTCACTGTTTAAGTTCATCACCAACACTGAAAACCACTTACCCATTTCAGGAGAGAATTCTACCTCCCCCTTCACTGGGTCCTGGACATGATTTCCAAGAGGATTTCCTATCTTATTCTCTTTCTGTTGCAATTCAGGTATATGAACTGGCCCCCGTGTAAAACGGGGGTAGAATTTTTTTGGAAACGGCCTCTGAGGTTCCAGCCCCTTGATGGGCACATTCTTGAAGGATTGGTTTTCTTCACTGAAGTTGAAATAAACAAAGAGCAGAAGTGTCCAGGTCACAGATGTGAAAAGGCACCCATAGCAGAAATAGCGAAGTGTGACACTTCCCATTGTAGACTTAGCATTGCTGAGAACCCATTCTCAATTACCTGAAAGAGAGTGAAAACACACATTTTGAGAGTGCTGCCTGTTATCACATCAGGTCTATACATTAGGAAATGTATTCTATAGGTTACTCTTCCATTAATTGATTTTTTGGAATTCAAATTTTAAGCACAGACCTTAAGAATGAAATCCCATTTCACTTTCCCATTCAAAAATAAACATGACCAGTTTGCACATTCTGTATAGATACTACTGCTTTAAAACATGACACGAATAATCACTAAGAGCCCAGTGACACACTGCAATTAAAGGCAAAAATAATTAATTTTTCCTCCTAACAGTTAAATAATTACCTCTCTTCCACAACAGCATATTTCTTGTATGCCTGCATTCATTTAAACATATCACTAAATATACTAAACGCAGGGAACTGATGCTTCACAGTATCACAGAATAGTTGAGGTTGGAAGGGGCATCTGGAGGTCACGTTGTTCAATCCCCTTGCTCAGGCAGGGCCACCTTGAGCCAGTTGCCCAAGAGCATGTCCACACACGCCCATTTTTGTAGTTCCTATCCTAAAGCATGGAATGAGAGAGCACAGACTCAAGAAGCTACATAGTTCAGTCCCTCTTGCTCAAATTTAAGAACAGGCATCACAAGCGTCCCAGAAATTCCAGAAATCATGGAGTGCCAATTTAACAACACATAGCACTAAAACAGTCACATTTATAGATTCTTCTCTGCAGAAGGGAACAGATATGGGGGAGGGAAAGCGCAAAAAGCTCCAACAGAATTTACTAGGTTCCTGCAGGCCTCTACAGACTCCAGAACTTCCATACTCACTGGAGGAGATGTCCACCTAAAGCTGTAAGAAAGCAACCCAGCCCAGAGTTTTATTTCAGGCACTCATCCACTAACACAATTTTCCCAACCTATATTGAAAATTACTATCAAAAGCAAATCCCTGAAGTGAACCATATGAAACTCATGATAACATTTTGTGGCCCAGGAGAATCGGGTAAATTTTCTGGAATATCTCAAATCTAAAAAGGCCCCCCTAAAAAAAAAGAAAAAACAACAAAAAAAAAGCTATACAGCTCAGCTCCCAAAACTGAGAAAAAACACTAACTCTAAAAATTAGGTTTCTCTCACCATTTTCTAAACACAACAAATTCTTTGCATAGTAACAAAAAGTCAAGAAACCAATTAATCACCTTTTAAATAGCAAAGCATTTGTTTTAAGAAAACAAAGTATTGGGTTAGAAGACAAGGGTTTATACTGATGTATTTTTCAGACTTCTCAAAAATTCAGAAACTACCAGAAGCCTTCAGGTCAGCCTGGCAAAGAACAAATCACAACAACATTTATGAGTACAAACAGATTATTCCCTTCTCAATATGGAAAACTACTAAACAGAGGTAGAAGGCGTTCATGATCCCAAAGAAACCTATAAAGATCCCACTTACTTTGCCAATGTAATTCTGAGTCCTAAGTGACTTGCATTCAAAGAGAATACACATCAAAATTCAAGATCACATTTCCCAGACTGCAGCAGTTCATTGTGTCCCTTCCAAAAATAAAATATTCAAAGTAAAATAAAGCTAAAAACATACAAAAAACTTCTCAAAAATAATTTACCCATTACTCTTACCATGTCAAACTCCCTCACTTCTGCAAGACAACAATCTACACAGCAGTTAAGCCCAACGAGCTTAAAAAGGTCTTAGAGTTTAAATCTCATACTGACCCTGTGCGTACAGATGAATTGCATGCTCTGCGAAACAGGCTCTTTCTCTAACACTGTCACACAGAAATATCGCTGTTTAACTGCAGAGCCATGAAATTAGTCAGGCAACAAATGCTCTGGGGCAGAAATTATTAACACACCCCCCCCCCCTCTAGCTAGCAGAATGGGTTTACCAGTTGGAGAAGTACAGATCACCAATCCCCAATGCCTTATTCCATGTGTTAACACGGGTCAATGATCATACCAAGGCAAATATAGGCTCAGAAGAAGCACAGGAGGCTGCAAAGGAGCGAGATTAGATAGTTATATCCTCTCATTATAATAATTCTTGCCAGACAGTCTGCAGACAATTAATACTTATCCATAAAAGACAATCTGGGTGCTTGCCAGGGTTTTTTTGCACAGCCACAAGAAGGTCATCTGCTGTAAAACTTGTCCAAGCCTAATATACTGTTCCTCAAAACCTGCTATGTTTTTCCATTCACTATGGTAACACAGATGCACAATCCTAACATCATGGCACAAGCACTTACATTGTGGAACAGAACTGTTCTAGGAAGATAAAAATTATTATAACAGAGAAGGAACCTTCTCATTTCAGAGATGTTTAAGGATAGATCTACACTGCAGCTTGCACAAGAAAACTGAAGATAATCCTTGCTATCTCAGGTAACAGTAAGAAGACAGGCATGCAGAGCAGAATTCATCATGGACTAAGCACTTCCCCAGCTTCTTGCATTTCTTTTTATAGCTCACTGCTCCACCTTGTTACTGTGGCACTTCTAGCCACAATAAAGTTAAAGTTTGCTGTGACCAACATCATGCATACTCTGATTAATGAGGAAGGGATAAATTAGTAATCACCAGGGTGAAAAGATTGCTATACAAGCCTTCCATTTCCAGAAAACCCTCTAACCAGGCTGAAAGCACACACTTGGTTACTGTTACAAAGGCAACAAATACAAACCTGAGCATGATATTATTTCCACATGCTCCTTGCTAGAGCAGAACTGCTTCATCTTCATTTTCCCTTCTTCACTGTTTTGCAGTTTTATACAAGGATACAAAGGTTGAAATACTGCATTTAAATCAAATGATAGAACCTCCACAATGCAGAATACTAGGCCCTTTCAGTAGCTTGCTATTTAACCAAGACATTTAGTAATACATTTGGCAAGAAAATACAGACTCGCTATTTATTTCCTTTAAGTACCAAATGTTTTGTTAGACACTTAATTTTGAAGGCAGAATGGAAAAAATGTAAACCCTGCTTATGAAAAGCACATTGAGGTTTATTAGTTTACTTTATTCACCAACACATACACATTTACACAAACACTGTCCTATGGATTTCAACCGCTTCTACCATTTAATCAACCACAGGAGTCACAATCTGTGTCAGAGGTGCACACTCCAGTTCTAGACAGTTTTAGGTTGACCGTGACTTCTTATAGCTGTGTTTTAGCAAAGAGGCCACAGTAAGTTTTCAAGTCCTAAGAAATGTCAGTCCTGCTTGGAACCTGCCCTGAGGAACCAGAACCTTTCCAGCTGTATACTTTTATGCGTACAAAGTACAATCACATTAATACATCTTCACCTCTCCTCAATATACCAAGAAACAAGTATCCCTTTTACTCATGTCAACGTGTAACAAAAAGAAAAAAAAAAAAAAAACAAAACACTACTTTGATTCACATCAGAGGGAGGGAGGAAAGAATACCTCAGCTGGTCATAAGGACCCAGGAAGAAACACTCAGCAACAGAGGCAGCCACTTAGCCCCCAGTTCTTACCTCATCCATCTCCCTATCCATGATTTTCTTCTGCAAACCACCTAGACACAGTGAATAAAAGCCTTACCCTGTCCGGACTCCTTTGCTCTCCAGTTCTGTGAAGTGTTTTAGCAAACACACTTTGACAATTTACCTGACTGTCTGTGCCTATGTATGGTCACAATAACTTGATGATTGTCTTAAACATCCATCCTCTCCCAGTTGGCTTCTCCAAGCATGATTTTGAAACTTAAGCAAAGCCAAACTATTCTATTTTTCTTTTTTCCTCACCATTTTTTTTTTAAAAGGAGACAAGCTGTTCCTGGATACAGGAGATGCAAAGGAAATGCCAAAGTATTAGTATTTTTCCCAGCCCTGATACATGCTGCATGAGAAAAACAGATTATCTATATTTTTAACTCAACAGCCCTAAAGCTCTGCTAATGCAAGCAGAACTAGCAGGTTTGAACAATTAGATAGAAACAACTTAAAGCAGAATTGCATTATCCAGATAATAATGTCAATGGGCTCATAAGACAAATTTTTACCTATGTAATAAATACTGTAACACTGAGTCCAGTCACCAATAAATTGCTATTTAGGCAGTACAGTTAAAATCCATTTATTTATTAAAATGAAAACAAAAATACTAATTGGCATATATATATATATATATATGATTTAAACATAGCAAGAAGAACCATTTCACAACACAGTTCCTCACAGATTTACAGGTAATTGAGACTAGACTTGAAGGGCCTATCATGTTTCTCCCCTTCATTTCTGAAAAGCAACACAGGTGCCAAAAGCAAGTTTCCAAAATACCTCAAACAATTATCTTTCCCAAAATCTCATGTAGTGAAGAAAATCTAGAATGAACAGGACATTTCCTCTCCCTTGCCAGCACAGGAGCTTTCACAGCAAATAATAAATAACACCTTTATATATTTTACAAGCATTCATTCACATGCACAAAATCCTAGTGATACATGGAGTGTCCGGCTGTTTACATTGGTATACTCAGGAATTCATAAATACTCCAACATGACAAACACATAATTCAAGGTAGCACCATCTCCTACATCAGGAAATTACTATTCATTTTGGATACAACTGGGGTGACCAAGAAATTAAAAAAATTATCTTAGAAGCTGCCCACATCAGCTCAGAAGAAACCAAAACAGAAAGTCACAGTATTCTGAGAATTTCTAACCAAATTTTCTGACTTGCAGTCAATTGTTGCTCTGTTTTGACTGTCATGTATTTATTGACTGATAGTTTTCAGATTTTGGCAAAGCCTTGGAACCGAGTTTGCAGACCCACATGCCAGAAATGCCCAGAGTAAAATATTCCTATCTAATTTCCATGAATTCCAGCACAGAAGTCTCAGTTCCTTGCACAACTAGTAAATCATTGATTTTTTTTTAAGACAACTATAAAAGTTAAATATTTGTAACTTACTGAAGTCTCTGAAAGTGAATCAATTGCAAAGCTGAAAAAAACCACCAAACTCCAGCAGCCTACCTGTCAGGCTTGAGCTTCAGTAATTACTGTGCAATATTGCTTTCCGTGTCACACAAGCTTCTTGTAGAGTCTTTATGCCACCACCATGACATTCATTCCATACATCAAATCCAGTAACATTTACATTCATTTCATAATTGGCCCAATGATACAACTCTGTTTCCTCTGACAGGCTGGGAGAGTTTGTTATGAGTAACTTGTACAGCTCTAACACTGGTCCAATGTGTTAGCCTTCAGTACTTTTAAAAGGGAAAAAATGCCAAGCACATTTCACAATATTTTGGCTTAAAAAGCAAAAGTAGCTAAAGGCTCTATGATCTGCCACTGCTTAAACACTGGCATCTGCTTGGATTAACCTCAACAGTTTAGTAAACACAGCGTATGACTAGATATTTCATGACTGTGCCAAAACTCATGTTTGTCAGAGGTCAAACAGAGGATCAGATTAACCTTCAAGATTTTTGAAATAGGAGTAAGAATTACTTGAGAAAACCTTAAAGTCTGCTTGTAGTTTTTCCAAGAACAGCTTTTCTTCTTAAAAAAAAAAAAAATTAAAATTAAGACAGATACACAACTCATACTACCCAGACTTCCTGCAAGACTGCCTGTGTATTTTGGACCTATATTAAGGCAAGGAACAGATGTGTATAATCTTCATTTTTAAAGAGCATTCTAGTAAAAAAAATATTAAACAAATTTCATCTTTCTACAGAGCGTTAGGATCATTTGCTGCATGACCTTCTACAGATGCTCTTAATTTTACTTTGTTACTGATTTTGGGGGGAAAAAACCCCAAGAAGATAAAGTAACACTACTTACAAATGCAATTTTGCTCTTTAAATCACTTCAACTTTTTATATATTCCTTGGCCTCCAAGATGTTATGGCTACCGTTGCTCCTCTTCCAAAACAGGCATCAGCATGAACAGGCTTTCCTATTTTCTTGTTGACTTGCTAGCAAACAACAGCATTAACAACACTACAATGAACAGAGGCCGGATTAGGAAGAAGTAGTACTCCAGTAATACACTCATCACATGGAAATGCCATTCACAGTAGCTTCTGCACTTTCACCAGAACTATTTTTTTCCAGGCATCCTTTACATTGTATCCAGTCTTAAGGGAGTGTCACAGTTAATACACTCGCAAACTGAAAAAGGGACACCTTTAGGCAGCTTTTGCTTCAGACACTAACACATATCAATCACTAAGAGCAATGTCCACTGAACATTCAGAACAAAAGCCACAGATATTTCCAAATAAAAGCTTAGTGTTTCATGTGCTCCAGAATCTAAGCACCAACTCAATTTAACTCCATATAAGAAAATCCCTCCTAATGTATTGTTTTAGCACTACATTGAATCTACCTGCCAGTTCGTTTTTAATTAAAAAAAAAAAAACAAAAAAAAAAACATTCCTTTTTGACCTAAGAGAAGGGATGGGTCATTGTACTTGATGAATTAAGTGGCTATTTTTGACATGGTGTAGGCAGGTAACTACTCATATAAAGACAGGTTGGGCCTACAGGAACCTACCTCATTGACATTCAGCAAGGGTCCTGCACCTGGGACAGACAAACTCCCCGGCTGCTGACACAGAGTGGGGAAGAGCTCTGCAGAGAAGGACCTGGGAGGTCTGGCTAAACAGGAGCCAGCTGCCCCTGCTGCAACGGCGGCCGACAGCAGATGGGCTTATCAACAGGAGCACAGCCAGCTGACTGAGGGATGAGATTACACCACCCCACGCAGCACCCAGGAGACCACAGGAGACTACTGTACCCAGTTTGGGATTCACCAGTACAAGACAGACATCAGTAAACTGGAGAGACTTCAGTGGAAGGCCACCAAGATGGTCACAGACTGGAACACTTGTCCTGTGAGGAGGAGCTGAGGACACTCAGCTTCTTCAGCCTGCAGAAGAGATAGCTTTACAGGGGGACTAAGAGTAGCCTGTGGCTACTGACAGGGGTGTTATC